TTGTCAGCGCCAGCGACAAAAACGTGGAAAGTCAGCGCTTCAAAGGAAATCACATTGCGTATACGCAATGTGCAAATAAACAAGACGAACCGAGAAGACGAAAATCGCAAACAAACATGGAAAAATCGACAACGACCAAATGGCGACAACGTTGCTGCTGCTATTTTCCCAGTTTTATTAGTTCTGCCAGCATTTTGGCCACACGTGCCAGCCATCCATTCAACCATCTCCCCATCGAGATTCTAGATTCTAGACCCATTCCCATCCATCTGCCTTTTGCCCAACTCACAACTCGCGAAAATCTTTTCGCACTGCCTACATATTCTTTGACTTTCCTGTCCTGGGTGTTTGTGCGAAATGAAACGACATCATTCGTCTGTTTGTTGCTGTTTTATTCGAAATGAATCGGAAAATGTTTCTTGGCTATTGGAACTCTGTGGTTTACTTGGACCTATCTGCTGGTGTATTGAATTTCGTATTGGAATGCCTTCAAAAATGCTTTTAAATGTTTCTTTGACACGGGCATTAAGTATTGGCTAGCGAAAACGTATTTTACTGATAGAGATATCACACTCTTTGTTAACAATTTAACTATCTTTGTGATAGGTCGTATTTCCTGGAAGCCCTTGATTTAAATGGTATTATTTAATTTGCACTGAAATGAAAGTGAACAACCTGTTGTCGAATGATTATCCATCTGATAACGGCCAATCGCATTGCACCTTTAATGACAGTCGGCGGCGTTGTGAGCAATTGTTTGCCATTGCCTAGGCCAACACGGCGTATGCGCAATGCCCGCCGGCACTATTGACACTCCGACTTATAGGGAACTCATTCCCACTTATCTGCCTGGAAGCGTAATCATGCAAATATATTATCAGTGCGTTAACTGCTCAGTGAATTGAAGTGTCACCCCACGAATGCCCGAATGAGACGCGTGCTACAATTGTAAAGTTTTATCCAGTCAAACAAGATAGTGGTGGAACATATAGTACCCGCACACTATAGGTATATGTGCCTGCGCACTCGTAGTATTTGTTTATGGCCCGATAAATCACTGACGTCGGGGACGAGAGACTCCACGCCAGTCCACGCAAGAGAATCCAGCAGTGACACAATGTCGCGGGCCAATAAAAATGAATCAAAAATAATCAAATAAATAACACTCGAACGCATTCGAGAAATCATAAATAACCGCGTTGGGGTAAAGAGGGAAATTTATATGAATTTTATTTTATTTTGGAAAAACTTCCGCTGACAGCAGCGGCAGCATCGCGGCATCTTGGCAAATGTGGGTCACTCGCCGGGCTGCCAAAATAAATTTTCTCTTTCGTTCCCACTCGCAGCGAGTATTGGAAGATTATACAAATAACACAAATATATATATATTCGTATTTCCGCGACTTTTGAGGGAAAAATAATAAGCGAAAAGGGCAGTTCACATTGCACAATTGGGATAAACCCCATGGGAACAATGATCGCGGTGGTAATGACTATGCAAATTGCAGTCGCTGGGATGAATGGAGTGAATATTGCATGAATATATATGAATATACATATATATCGCAGCCAATTTGACCCGGCAGATGGCGCCAGTCGGCGTGTCGCATGCAATTCCGCTGATTAATTCAATGCAAAGCGACGACCTGAGCTGAGCCACTATAACCACATGTTGGCGCCCCGTTTCCCGGCCTTTTCCCCCTAATGTTAACCGCTTTTCTTGATGGATTTGCATGAATCATTGGCGGCAGCGTCACGCTCGAGAGGAAAAGCGCGTCGGCCCCGAAATGAAATGCAAAAATATTATTATTTGAAATATGAAAAGTTATTTTAATGCTCCCTGTCGCTGTGCTGTCTGTGCGCTAAATTGGGGAGCAGGCAACGAGGCGACAGTTTTCCTCCTACTCCCCCTTCCATTTGCTCCGTTTTCTTTGGCAGCGCTTCCTTTCCTTTCCATAGTGGCACTTGTACTCTTGCCAGACTTTTCCGGAAGCGCGTCGCGACATCAGCCTTTTTGACGTAGGCACTGGGCCCAAAGTTGTTGACGCACTCGACAAACGCACAACAGCAGGGCCAAACGGAGAGGCCAATGAGCCCAGAACGGCTGGAGGATATCGGATTTCAGTTCGATTCCTTTATCCTTTGGCTCCGAATCAATTGACATTGACAAATCAAATGGTTGTGCGGGAAATCGAATCGAACACAGAACGAAAACTTATGCAACATATTGTTTATTTAGTACTCAAAAGTTATTTAACCAAAAACAAAATCTGAAAGAAATACAAAAAGGATATGATGATAAATTAATAACTACATGTTTTTGCATTTCTGAATTTTATAAAGTTTTATTGATTTTAAAAATATTAAAATAATAATAATATTAAAACATAGAATGACAACTTATGCAACCAATTTAGTACTTAAAAAATACAATAAATGTATTTAGTTTAAAAAAACGAAAATTCACTCAGAAAGGAAAAATAATAGTGGATAATGATACATTTATAACTTCATATTTTGAGAGTTTCCATTTTTTAATAAACTTAAAAATTTTTAAAAACCCTTTAACCAGGGACCGTAAATAATCATTATTTGAGATTTTTATTTTAAAAAGACTACTGTGATTTTTTGTTTTAAACGTCAAAAATAACGTTATTTTTACTCTTGTCCACAAAGTATATGCATTTCAACAAATCTGGAAGGCAAATTAACTGTTATTTGTTCATGTCTATAAAGTGCATAAAAACCAGTTAAATTGTTGATTAAAATATGTAAAAACCTCAGTAGGCCTTTTAAAATAAAAATCTCAAATAATGATTATTTTCGGTCCCTGCCTTTAACACTTTTTAAAATGATTTGAAAACTGAAAAGAAATATTTGATAAGTTTCACATCCTCACCTTTTTTTCTTTCTCTGCAACCAAAAAGACCAATGGCCCGAACAAAAGGCACATATTTTTAAGCGCATAATTAAGTCATAATAAGATCGGTGGAGGCGGCGGGGATTGGGCAATATGATATGCCAATTTTTGGCTGAACCGAACCGAACTGAACTGAACACACGCAGAAGGCAAATAAAATGTTCATCTTATTATTCTGCCTGGGATTTCTGGTTAAATCAAAGCGGGAACCGCTGAGGGGCGATGTGAACGGGGCAATCCGGAGTTGAAGTAGGAGCCGTCCATGACAATTGTCAACTTGTTTTGCGTTTTGCGTGTGCCCGTGTGTTGGGTGCCGGTGCCTTCAATTCTTAATCGCCTTGTGTGCCGTGGACACTTGTGAGTTGACGTTTCGGATCTCTTCCACACACACACAGATGCGGTGCCCGCTCACACAGATTCGCGGCACACACACAGATACGCACGCACACCGAAGGGGCTCACAATTTGGGAGCGTGAGAAAGTGGCGCGCACAATTAAAATGCGGCTTTATGGCCCGACGCTGGGCCAAACATAAATTATAAACAATAATTTATCTTTAAATATACTCAAAATTGTATAGAATAAATACACCTATATAAATATTTACACTGCAAACAAACTAAATGAGTGAAAAAAATGGGACAAAAGACAACTTAATTTTCCAAGTGCCTAAAAATGTTTGATTATATTATTTTCAAGAGGTTAAATAAGCTTACCTCATTATAAACCTCCTCAAATAATTTTCAGAAAAGTTCTCAATTATTTCTATATTTTTTATAATTAATAATTTTAAATTAAAATGCATAAATCATTCTTTTGAATATTCAAAAACAATGCTTGCGTGTCGCTTTCTCACAGTGTACATTTTCGAATTTAAAATCACATTATATGTACAATATACGTATATCCATATGGACAGCTTCGTCTGGCCACGCGATCCTCATCGCATAAATTAACATTTGCCGGGCATTAAATCAGCGCAGACTTTGTAGACTGCTTGGAACTGCCTCGTCCTCATCAGATAGATATGGTATGATATATATATATACCCATTCGTATTCCCTGCCAATTGCATAACGATCGAGGGTGTTTCGTGGATGTGGCTTTGCACTTTTTCCTGCCACCCACACCCACCGCCAGTTGAAGAACCGAAATAGACCCACCCATCGATGAATGATCATGATCACCGCTGGTGAATCACTTGGACAGCGCACGCAGGTCTCAATTAGCATGTGACGAGCACTTAGACAGACCAAGAGACCCGCCCCCAAGCCCCCGCCCACCAGACACGTGATATGGTGGCTAATTTAAGCACTCGCCGACAAATCGGCAATTCGGCGGGGGAGTGGCAAGTTGCAAATCGCCATTCGCAAGAAGCGACACAAGTTTCATTGCCAATTTGTCGGCATTGATGAGTCAGTCTGTTGTGACTCTTTAATATGTAATTGGGTAATAGCTAAGAAATAAATATAATTAAACCGCAAGTGGGGCCAAAACTATTGATAAAGAGCGTATTGCCAGGGACACGTGATGGAAATGGTCACAGGAAGGTGGTCTCAGATAAGACTTACAATATTATCACTTTTTCCTGGCGCCACAATATGGCATTGTTTAACTTTATGGTCTTAACTTAATTTATAACAAGTAAAATGTTGTATTAAATACAACTAATTTCCACTTCCTTCTGATTAAATTCCGAATTATTTGCATTGTCATGGCAACTGCAACAATTTTCCGCCCATAAATCTTTTCACCTTCAAAAAGTGTTAGACAAATTAACATTTTTAACGACCTGCCGGCAACTTAAGAACTTAAGAAAAAGACCAAACAGACGGAGACGACCATAAAAAAAGGCAGGAGAAAATTCTCCAAGAATGCGAATAATTTCTAAATTCCAATTTTGTTTACGGCTGTCTGGAGAATCAATATAAAGTCCACCAAGGCAGGTGGAAAATTCCGCAATTATCTACTCAGGAAAACTGTATTTATTTTTTCGATCGAGGCGAAAGTGGGAAATTGAAATCGAAATCAACGGAAAGCGAAATGCTTGGCCTAATAATTTGCCTGGTCTTTCTTACAGCACAGAACGCATCGATCACGTCGATCACCTCGGTGCCGAGTAATACCTCCATCGAGCATGGCCGGGAATTGAGGATCGTCTGCAAGGTGTCGGGTCAGCCGCCCCCAAAGGTCACCTGGTTCAAGGACGACAAGTCCATCAATCGCAAGCGCAACGTATACCAATTCAAGCATCACAAGTGAGTATGGGAAGCGGTTTTGATGGAAGCATCTAGCTAAGATCTTGTATTTTCCAAATACCCCTTGCAGAAGACGTTCCGAGCTGATAGTGCGCTCCTTCAATAGTTCCTCCGATGCGGGCAAGTACGAGTGCCGAGCCAAGAATAAGGCCAGCACGGCGATCGTCAAGCGCCGCATCATGATCAAGGCCTCGGCAGGTGAGTCTTATAGAATCTATAATATAGACTTGTATATCCCAGAGATCCGTGGGTGTTGCAGCAGTGTATCATCTCTATGTCGATGCTATGTTGCGGGCCAATTCGGAATGCTCCAATTCACTTTTAATTTATAGCCCCATGTACAGATTTTATTTATTTAAAATTATGTTTTAATATATATACGGCATCTTTGTAAATCAAATTATTTCGTCTGCATTTCAGTTCTCTTTCCGTCGACCGTCGACCAGTCGCGCAGCTCGGGCACCCCCTGTCACTTCGATTTCTGCTTCCATGGCGGCACCTGTATGATGATCGCGGACCTGAACGCGGTCTTCTGCAAGTGAGTATAATTTTACATCCCTTAGATCTAATAAGGTTCCCAATACGTTTAAATATACCTTTTTTAAAAAAATATAACAGTTTGATTCAATAAAAAAACGGTAGTTATTACTTTTTTTAATTTTATAGATACCAAAATTTTTTTTTATATATTTTTATTTTTTTTTTGTTGAGCACTTTATCAAACTCGATGTCACTTTTAGCTGGTTATGAATAACTGAACAGTTTCTAGAATTTTTTTTTTATTTATATATTTTATTTTATTTTATTTTTTTTATTAAATTGAAATTGTATGTAAAATGCTATCTATAATAATGTATAATTCAATTACTTTTATGACGAATGAAGGCTAGAATTACGATTTAAAACTAGTCTGGGTTTTTCGCTGTGCACCCGCTGCATCCTGCCTGAAATGCCAGCTAGACTCCTCGAATCCGATCCCAAAACTCAAAACTCAAGTGGCTCGCTTGATAAACCTCTCTCATGTGACAGCTGATAAGACTCCACCGCCGACCCCATCTAAATATATATCTTGTAATATTTTGGCATCGCATTACACGTACTCGTAGGCCGAGAAATCCCAAATCCGGAGAGGGAGCGCAATTAAAAGGCCACAAATTTCGTGGCCGGAGGAGAGAACTCCACAAAGGCCCACTTGCAGGCGTGTGTGTGTATGCAATGTGAATAATGTCTTTCAGCGCCTCGTTTTATCTGGCGGTACGAGTGTGCACACGCAAACCGATTCGATTCGATCCAATCGAATAGGATCCCAAAAAAGCGCATTTCACTCGCTACCCTTGCGATGATCTCGTATTTTTGGTTCCTTTTTTCCCATTTTGTGTTCTTTTTTTTTGAGGAGGCGTCAAAGGAGTGAGGGGAAAAATCAATTTCCATTTCGATCCTATAAACTTGGCCGATCCACCCCTGCCGCACTTTCCCTAGCCACTTTCCCTTTGCTAAAAATCACTTAATTTGTTTGTTCTTTTGTTTATATTTGACCGGATCTGCGAGTGGTCAAGCAAATGCTGCACCGCAGTTCATGGCCATTTCCATTTCGATTTCCCCTACTTGTGTATACCTCTTATAGATATATTATAATATTGGATATTGAATATTGAATTAAAAAAAGATTTATACTTACTGGACTCTCTCCACCCGTTCTTGTCTTTCTTTTCAGTTGCCCAACCGGAGTCTTCGGCGAACGTTGCGAGAACCAGGGGCCCGACAGTAGGTACAGCAAAAGTAATTCTCCTCAGCCATGCGAAGATTTTCGCATTGGAGGTTATTACTGCTAAAATAGGCACTTCTATAGCATCGATTGTTTTACGTCGAGTCAAACGCGAGTTATGCACACAAAAACCGAAACCGAAACAAATCAAGCAAACCGAACTCAGTGCCCATACCAAAATAATAAATAACATAACATAAAATTAAATAATATAAAAAAAAACAGATCTATCTACAAAGAACTACAAAATAAAATAGAGAAAAGCAAAAAACCAACGAAATAAAATTCCCATTGCACATTTCGCAGCTATCCTTGCACATAAAAGCTTTCTGCAAAAACAGCTGAATAGAGAGAAAGTGAAATAAACCAAATATAGTTGATAAAGCGACACAGCCACACCCAATCACACAGACAGAAAGTACAAATACAGTATGCAGAATCCGACCCCAAACTATAAACTCCAGACACCCGATCACACACTCCACACACCTAAAAAACCCAAAACACCCTGCTATCAGTCACTTTGAAAACGACGAAATAAAAGTTTTATTAGAGAACACATTCCAAAAAGAAACAAAGTAAAGTCTTAATAACCATATTAAGAGCAATCATTGAAAACGAGAAAAAATCAAATAAATACGAATAAAAACAAAGGGTGCTATAGAAGGTTTATTTTAAATAGTGTTTAAATAGGAACTTAATTTAATTTCAATTCACTCATCACACAAAACACACACCAACCAAAACCACCAGTAAATGTAAAAAAAACAGCAAAACAAAACAAAATTATCAAGCAACTGGGACGGACGGACAATCAAACAGGCGGACGGACAACCGGACATTCGGACAATAGGGACACTTTCCCCACAAAGTACTGAGAAACTTGTCGAATCCTTTGGCTCAGCCCACATTTACTCACCCCCACACACAATATGAATATCCAGATTTACGATAACAATCAACAGAGGCTCTCTTAAGTTAGATACACGAATATCCACACGCATAAACAACACTCACCCACAAAAGGCAAAGTACTGACTAAACGATTGAAACGGGAACTGAATTTTGCTTTGTTTTCAATGTAATTTTTTGTAGTTTGCAAATATTAAAAACAAACCACATTCAATAACCCATATTACATAATGATTTGCAATTAATTTTAGTTACTACTCGTTATTAGAAATTAACACTTGGCTGTAGATTTTGACAATCCAGAAAAAACCAAATTCAAATCAAATCAGTCTGATCCTTGTTTATTCTTATTTGGTGATTGTTTTTTTTTTTGTAATTTTTCTTTTGACTAATCTCCTTCGTTTCCGATTTGGGTAACTCTGTTCACTATTACTTCCTTAGTTTGTGCTCGTCTCCTCTTTACAAAAAAAAAACAATTTCACGGCGAAGAGAGATCTTGAGCTCGACAACCTTATCTTCAACATCCTCTGCATGGAATTCTTTCCTACGAGAGCGCCATTTGATGCTTGTAGTTGCCCCTATTTGTGGAAATGGTTGTTAGCCAGCTTTTAGTTAACAGTAAATGAAGAACTGAAAGATTAATTTTTAATTTTATTTATAATTTAATCTCTTCACAGATATTTTGTTGCAATCTACGGCCAAATACATACCTTAAATAACGACTATTAATGCATAGAATTTTGTTTCATTATTTTTATTATTTTATAAACAAACCGAAAAACAAGAAATCAAACTCCCTGCACTCCAAAACGTCGACAAATGTAATTTTTTAGGTTTTTAAAAAATTAGAGAATTTGTTGCACCAGCAGATCAAGCCCAAAAAAACCCATCACCGTTCTCAAAGTTTGCAACTACAAAAAAAAAACATATCCGAAACAGAAAACCGAAAACATTTCAAAATTCGTACGATTCCCCCAGCCCAGAGTTCCTTCTTCCCGAGCGAAAAGTTCCAGATCCAGACTGACTTTAGCTACGCTTGTTTTTGTGCACGGTGACAGAATATTTTAAATGTATAAATCTGATGTATGAATTCTGAACAGAAATTTAATTTATTTATTGTACGAAAGTGAAAATCGAAGATCGAAGTTTGAAGTTACCGATTCGACCCTGACTCTGACACTGTTGCGCTGTAGCCGAGAACTTTGTAATAAATCCTGTAAATAGCTCTCGTTTTAACTAACGATAAGTTTTATGTACATTTCAACTAAGCTAATGCAAGCCCTTCTTTAACCATAATTTATTGTATTTAATTACACCTAAATTAAACGTAACTCTAGCTCTAAGCTCACACACACACAAACACCCCACACATACGAACACTATAAAGCTACTTAATTTCGAAATACTATTTTATTTGTCCTCGTTTTTGATTTGCGTAATTATAACACCGAAATATGTAAAATGGCAAATTAGTTATTTTTTTCGCAATGTGTATGTTGAAAGGCAAGGAAGTGCGTAGAGATTATTTTTAGTTATTTTAAGTGGCAAATTTTTTATATATTTAATTATTGAAAGATTTATACCAAAAATACCATGTAAAGTTTAATTTTAATTTAAAACAAAGCATTAAACAAACAAAAAAAAAAACAAAAACAAACAAAACGATGCGTAAGAAAAAAAATTTAATTAAAAACTTGCAAATAATTCACATTTTACAAAAATCGATTGCTTTTTGATTTGGTGTGATTTCTGTGCTTCTGTGGCTTTTTGGACTTCGTTTATGATTGGTTTTTGTTTGTCTCAAGGTTTTCCCTACTTTTCATCAGCTTTTGCTGCTATTTTCCCCACACAAACAACAAACCAGAAGGGCGGCCACCAAAGCTCTGACGAACCGAGCCAGGTTTTGGATTCACATATATTTACGGTTGTGTTTTGGCTAAATCAAAGTCTCGTTTTGGTCTTTTAACAGGCATATTCAGCATACGATGAACCGGAGGAGTCTCGCTTAGCCGAAGCGCGCGGAATCGCCTTTGCGCGCATAAATGGATCTCATGCTTAGTTTTAGTTTATCCGAGGATGGCCAATAAAATTCTGAATTTGTTGCAATCGAGAGTTTGGGTGTTTTTATTGCTGTTCGATTTTAAATTTCCCGCCCTGTTATCGAATGTTTTATCGCTTATCGTTTTACGGTCTATAAACTAAGTTGGCAGCGCCATAGTGGTTAATCTTGATCTGGCAACTCTGACTTAGTGAGTACACCCTCCAATTTTAGCGGTTTCACACACTTCACGTTTAGCTAAAACCCCTACCATTTTTTTTAGTAAATACATCCACCGCAATTAGCGAGTGCAGAATCCCAACCTAATGGATAGTGGCTTAAATAGTACATTTCTAGACCTCACTGTATTTTTAAGACTTCAAAAATAGCGGCAATTTCGCAATAAATTTTGTCAAATCGCGTTTAAAATCCTTTATATTCGACATGTCCACTGCCCAGGCAACCAAGAACTGCATAACTCTCAAGGGTTCCGCTCAGATAATTGTGGAATATCTGAGTAAGTAATGCGAATGGCTTGAAAGCGTCAAGAAGCCCGCCTTCAAATGGCGTCTCCTTTGTTTTTTTATTTGCAAATTGCAATATAGAGTACGGAATCAATTCTATACTGTTCCAACGCGGAATTTACCCTGCCGAAGACTTTGACAACACCCAGCAATACGGACTCACCATCCTGATGTCCAAGGATCCCAAGATCCAGACTTTTCTGCAGAACGTACTCAGCCAAACGGAAGGTAAGTGAATGTTTCTAAGGAACCACTAACCTTTATAATACTTTATACCCTAAAACCCACAGAATGGCTCTCGAAGAACATGATCAACAAGATCTCCATGGTCATCACCAATGCCCACACCAAGGAGGTCCTCGAGTGCTGGGACTTCAAGATGCAGGCCGAGTTGGGAGACGGCGACACGAGTGATGCCACCAAACTCACGTCTTCGAAGGAACTAAGTCGCATTCAGAACGAGATTCGCGACGTGATGCGCCAGATTTCGGCCACCGTCAGCTATCTTCCACTGCTCGACTGCATCTGCACTTTCGACGTCATGATCCACACGCTCCAAAACACCGAACTCCCGGCCAAATGGGACGAAACCGGTGCCATTATCATCCAGAACTCCCAGGCCGTCCAGCTGCGCTCCTTCTCCACCGGACTCCACAAGGTGGACACCGTGGTCAACTACAAGATGAGCTCCTAGCCGCCAGTCAATCGTTTTAAATATTTATTTCTTTTCTATATATTTACAATAGTGCGTAACGAACGTAACGTATTTGAGAGTTGCATTAAAAGCCAGTTGTGAAAAGCTAACAGTTGCTAAGAAGTAGTTTAGTAGACCGCAGGGCGTCGCCGGTTTGTCCTTTTCAAATGCCATCTGGGGGACGAAACAGAGAATCACTGGTTAAAAGAGAGGCGAAAGTCTGTCTGGGAGACAGCTACCTATCCTAAGCAGCGCTTAGTCGTCAAGTCTGCATGACAGTCAGCCACAAATCCCTAGTCTGTACCGAAGTATTTCTGCCCAAAGTGATTGGGCGCCACGGGATGCAGCTCTGAGGTGAGGATCTTCAGCTTGGGAAAGGCATTGACCACGGTCCGAGCGGCCATGGGTGTGCAGAAGAGATTGGACAGGATGATGCAGCTCTCGGGGACTCCGTGCTCGCGCAGCACATTCACCGCCTGCAGCACAGTGTTTCCAGTTGACATAATGGGATACATCAGCAGAACCTGCCGGCTGCCAATGTCATCGGGGAAGCGGGCATAGACCACTCGAGCCTCGTGCGTATTGGCATCCGACTCCACGAGGATCTTGCCGATGCGGATGGAGCGACAGCAGTCGCGCAGTCCCTGCTCCATGGCCTCGCCGGAACGGATGATGGAGACGCCACAGTTGCCCGATCGATACTTCAGGCCCTCGTAAATGGCTCCCGTGGGCGTCTCCACGTCGCAGTGGGTGTAGGGCAGCTGGTTGAGCGACTCCTCGATGACCAGGCGGATCAGCCGGTCGGCGTAGAACTTGAAGTCGCTGCGGGTGGTGTTTCTGGGGGTGGGGTGGAATTTATTGGACTGACCCACTTAGGCTTCTAGTAGATCCACCTACTTGTCGCGCAGAATGGTCAACAGCTCGGCCACCTGGGAGTTGCACTCGAGCAGCTTCAGGTTGCTCCCGTACTCGGCCAGGATCTCCTCCGATGTGGCAGCGGGCACCACGGCGTGGACGTGGTGGGTGGGCGTTCGCAGCTGTTGCTCCGCCTCCTGGGCCTCCTCCTGCTGCGGCTGCGGATCCGAGGCGCTGCTGCCCTCCTCCGACTGGGAGCCATTGCTGCTGGGCGAGCCGGTGCACATACTTCTCTTCGCTAATTGCTATTATCTCCTATTTAAGTTAACAAATTAAAAACTTCTACGTTGGCCTTTGTTGTTCTAGCGCGTGCCTGGTTGTGAACTCGGCTGGCGAGTTATCGGTTCGTGGGAGTGCGGATCTATCGGTTCGCCGAAGAGATGGGCATTTTTAGTGCTTCGATATAATATATCGCCAAAAACATCGATATATTGATATTTTGATATATTTTTGACATCCCTAGAAATCACCTCGTGTTTCGTTTCACTCGCAAACAAAGAAAAAAGTGCATTTAATTACTGATTACTGCATTGCGATTAGGCGTTCGCGAACAATTGCGTACTTTTGCGGATCAGCGAAACCAAAGGGCGCGCGTGGGCAGGGCATAAGTTGCAGTCGCAGTCTGCCGTGTGCGAGTGTGCGTGCGTCGCAGTGTTGGTGCGTAGCCTGTGTGTGTATTTGTGTATTGCCATTAACTAATAAACAATAACCTTCGGGCCACGAAAGCTACGAAATCATCGGCACTGCTGTTCTGTTCTGTTCCATGTGAACCAGCTGAAAGAGCAGGCCAAAGACTAAAATAAAACGCTTCCGCCCCGCGAGAGGAGCGCCCAGCGGCGATCCATAGATCCACATCCATAATATCCATCCACACACACAATGGCGGACGTGAGCGATCCCAGCGAGCTCTTCGACTTGGAGCTCCACGATTTGGAGCTGCAGGATGACAAGGCCCGGGACTCCGATGACGACAGGATCGAGCTGGACGACGTAAGACAATCGAATCGCATTGCAGTTACATCCCTGTACATGCATGTGTATATGTAAACTGCGCAGCAACAATTTCCCTCTTTGTTTACCTTTTCCGCTTTGTCTGCGAGTTTTCCTTTCGGTTGTCTGGGCATCCCATCCCAAATCTACACCACCCATTACCCATTACCCATTATCCACTATCCACACACCCTGCAAACTCGGCTTATCTGCTGCGCAAATGTCTGGCGTCATCCATCCAGTCGCAGATTATTCAGCACGTACACTCATTATACGGAAAGTTCCCCACGATCCGAAAAGCAACCTCCTTATGAAACACCATCGATTGATATTGGCCAATCGAAGCCATTCGGTGTCCTTCAAAATAATCAGCACCACTCCATAGTCTCTGGCACCCCCTTTTCGTGCCGCCCCTGTTCAAACTAAAATGCAACAACTGCAAAGGTGGCGGGGAGAAGGAGAGAGGGAGAGACCGAAGACGATCGCCGACTCGCTCGCACACCCTCGGAAGAGTCTAAACTTCCACTTAGAAAACGAAATTCCTTATCAGCGGACAATATAAAATTAGAAAATGAGAAAAACCTCACCGCGCTGATAAGGGAGCACAACAAAATGAAGGAAAAGGCAAGCAGGCGATCGAGCGATCGTGCCAAACAGTAATATTTAGGGGGCTCTACGGAACCAGTTGTAACTGCACTTCAGAGCACCAAAGTACACCGAAACAACATTTGATATCGTTAGATAAATTCACAATAAAATTTGTAATTTAAGTGTATATTTTTATCTTAGTACTTTCAGTAACAAATTATTTCACAACTTTTCTGGGGCCTGAATTATGACTAGGTTTATTTTTTTGAACACAAAATGATTCGACAATTTAATCTTCCATTAAAACTTTAGATTCCCTCACTTATTCATAATTATTTTACATCAGAATTTTTGAAATGGTAATCCCTAATTTTTCACATTTATGGTGATTGCCCCCTTAATTCATTGAAACTTTTAAAAAAGCCCCAAGTACTTTTAAAATGCTTATGATCCAGCACTTTCTAAAAATAAGAAATTCAATCATTAAATAATGATCTTTGCAATGTAAGATATGGCGTAATCTCTGGTTTACTTTCAGGGAAATCGGTATAAAGTATAATTTACTTTAGTGAATATCTAATTAAATACTTTACTTTGTAAATACTTAGGACAATACCAAGATATGCAATTTTAAAGTACACCATTGAAAAGCACTTAAGTTGCCTACATTTTCTTCTGTGTATAATTAGGTTCTATATATTTTGTAACTTGTAAAATACAGTTCTCGGGGGAATCACATAGGTGGAGTGGCTTTTTTTTAAGTGCCCGTTGCTTGTTCTTATCACTATTATATCGCCCCCCTTTCGACGACCTGTCGAATGTAATTTACGCAAGCGCGCACACCCCCTTCCTTTGCCTATCTATCGAATTTGTGTGAGCACTATAAATTATGATGGATTTGTTAATTGGAATTCACCGCCAACGCTGACGAGGTGAACCAGTTTTTAATGTGCTACGCGACGAGATGTCGGAGATGCCGATGCCGAAGCGATTCCGTTGCCTGTGCCGCCATTCAATTGAACTTTAGTCAAAAATGTTCTATACAAATTTTAGGCATGACGAGAGCGGCGGCGGCTGCTGATTCTTCTGATTCTGCCGCCCCTAACTGTGGCCTTCCCCCGGTTGGAGCCGCCGCATCCGGGGGGCAGGAGATGGATCTGTAGGGGCGGAGGAACAGCGCCAGCATCGCCGGCAGATTATTTGGCATTGTTCCGAGTTCTAAATTTAGTTTGTCATTAAAGAAAAGGTGTGTGTGCGTGCGGAAAGTGTTTCTCTGTGTGGACTTTCCTCTCTTTCTCGCTGTGTAAATCTAAATACCGCCGAGTGAGTGGGTAGGTCGGTCGAAAGGGGGAGAAATTCACTGGCGTTACAGACTCCAAAGATCCATCTGTCCCGATGCGATCTCTTCATTCATCGGAATCTCCCTCTGCTTAAAATATATACTAAAAGTAGGGTAGCATTGAATAGGGAGTAGGTTTGCAACATAAATAGATATTTGTGTTTCTAAAAACTATTTTTAATAGGAAACCCCACATTGTTGTACTTATTTGTGATAATTTTCTGATAGTTAAGATTACAAAGTTAGCGATCTTTTACAAATAAATATAATTACATTAAAGTATTAAAGAGGTAATTAAAAATAATTTGAAGTGAGATACTAAACCTTATAAAAATGGACTTGCAGCCATTCAGAATATTTTTGTAAATATACCTGTAGAATTAAAGTTTTTAAACCATCCATAATATAATATTTTTTTGAAATTGGATTAAGAAATTACACATTTTAAATACATAATTTAGAGCATTGAATCTTCGTTCATGCCTGCCGCTGTGTAACTTTCCCTTCTGCTGTTCGGTCTTAAGTTCGCCATAACTATGATTAATTGTTGATTTTTTCGCATGTATTTCGCTGGCAGTTATGCTCGCAAGTAAGCATCATCTCACTCACACCCCTCTCCGTCTCTTTTCCTCTCTTGCAGGTTGACCTAGAACCGGAATTGTGTATTAATCTGCACCAAGAGTGAGTAATGCCATTGCTATGTCGCTACATTGGAGGACGTGACTGTGATATTTTCTGAGAATGCGAGGGAGATAAGGGGGTAGGATCACATCGGACATCCTCTCCAACCAGCTGAGCAGATAAAAAACGGATAAAGCCGGGCCAAATGAGCAGCCTAATTGCCAATTATCAGTGCCAACTTGTTTACACACTGGGAACACCGGCAGTGTTAACATGTGATTGATTTGGCTTAGAGCCTGATCCCGGCCAGACGCACTCCACCTGCTCTGCTCCGGACTCCGGCATCCGGACGATGATAAGGGACCAATAGACGGACTGACTGACGGACGGACGCAGAAGTGTTTACAACCGCTATTGACTACCAACAAGCTGGACGCCGCCTCTTCAATGAGCCAGCTAGTTCGGTGTGTAAACAAGACTCACGGCAAACACTCGACAGCAATAATGCGAAGTGGGAGGGAGGGAGGTAGGGAGGAGGAGCGGACCGGACCGGAATGGAATAGAGGTGACGATTGGCGCGTGCACGCCATGGGATTTATTTATAGCACGTGGGCTGCTCCTTTCCCACGCTAGACGGCACAGACGCAAACACGGCCGAACAGAAGACAACAATTAAATCAGTCCCCTAACCCCAATACCCAATTCCCTATTCTCTACTCTCTATTCCCAATTAACAGCACCGAGGGCCAGGAGACCATACAGCTCTGCGAGGAGAATGTCAATCCGGGCAAAATCAAGCTGGGACCCAAGGACTTTGAGCTCAAGAAGGTCCTCGGCAAGGGTGGCTACGGCAAAGTATTTCAGGTAAGTTAATGTGAAAATCACTGATCCCTAATTCCTAATAAACTGGCTTATGCAGGTGCGCAAGACCGCTGGACGAGATGCCAACAAATATTTTGCCATGAAGGTGCTCAAAAAGGCATCCATAGTGACCAATCAAAAGGACACAGCGCACACTCGCGCCGAGCGCAATATACTCGAGGCAGTCAAGGTGCGATCGGTGGCGGATTATCCCTTAAGACCCTTATAATCCGTATTATCTTTGTTCCTTTAGCATCCCTTCATAGTGGAGCTGGTCTATGCCTTCCAGACGGACGGAAAACTATACCTTATACTTGAATATCTGAGCGGCGGCGAGCTGTTTATGCATTTGGAACGCGAGGGCATCTTCTTGGAGGACACCACATGGTAGTTATTCATTTTAAAAAATGATCAAGATAAATACTAAGTATTGATTTATTTTTTATAGCTTCTATCTAAGCGAAATCATTTTGGCCTTGGGCCATCTACACAAACTGGGCATCATCTATCGCGATCTGAAGCCCGAGAACATATTGCTCGATGCACAGGGACACGTGAAGCTCACCGATTTTGGACTGTGCAAGGAGCACATACAAGAGGGTATTGTCACCCACACCTTCTGCGGCACAATTGAGTACATGTGCGTGCGCCCGCAAGCCTCTTTTCATTTGTATCCCTTACCCTAAGGGATTACTGGAATTGAAATTAATTTGTGATCGTTTTGCTTGCAGGGCACCTGAAATCTTGACCAGAAGTGGCCATGGCAAAGCAGTCGACTGGTGGTCACTGGGCGCTCTAATGTTCGACATGCTCACAGGAGTCGTAAGTGAAAAAAGCCAAAGAGTTTCGGCGAATCCTTGTATAATTGCTGAATTCGATTAGCCACCCTTCACCGCCGAGAATCGCAAGAAGACCATCGAGACCATTCTGAAAGCCAAGCTCAATCTGCCAGCCTACCTCACACCCGAAGCCAGGGATCTGGTGCGTCGCCTGATGAAGCGGCAGGAGCCTCAGCGTCTCGGCAGCGGTCCCGAGGATGCGGCGGCTGTCCAAATACACCCATTCTTCAAGCACGTCAACTGGGACGATGTGCTCGCCAGACGCCTCGAACCGCCTATAAAACCTCTCTTGGTAGGTAGCACTAAATTGTTATAAGATTTAAGGAGCTTAAGTAATAACCCTTGCTTTGAAACCCAACAGAGAAGCGAGGACGATGTCTCACAGTTCGATACGAGATTCACAAGACAAATTCCAGTGGATTCACCGGATGATACGACGCTTAGCGAAAGTGCCAATTTAATTTTCCAAGTGAGTAAAGATAATAAATGGGGGATCATAGGAAATAAGAGTAGAATATAAGTTAGTCAATGAAGCTATTTTAATTGGGAAACAAATTATTTCAATGTAATAGTTTCCAAGCACAAAATATATAATTTTTCTTGGGCCTCCTCTTTAGTTCAGAACAATAATACAGGATTCTCGTTCACTTCAAGTTCGTTTTTATCAAAGGAAAAAAGAGTAGAATATAATGACTATAACTAATATAATTAGTCAATGAAGCTATTTTAATTAGGGAACACATTATTTCAATGTAATAGTTTCCATGCACAAAATGTATAATTTTTCTTGGGCCTCCTCTTTAGTTCAAAACAATAATACAGAATTCTCGTACACTTCAAGTTCGTTTTTAATCATTAAGGGATCTTTTTTGGGTGGTTTCACAATAAATACTTTACTAAACATTAGTCTAAGCCTAGGGGCCTTCATCCAACTGAAACATCAGCGATAGTCAGCACCGCATTGAAAGTGGGGTTCCTTGAGGGGTATTCCCGTGGGTCCGTCTGTAAACTCACAGAAATTCAGACCGATCCGCCGGAAAGGATGGCAATTACTTTTGGGATTGCCCCACTTTCCCCGATACGTGAGCCAGTCAGGAACCAGTGAACGACCTTTAAGAAATATCAACAATAGTCAGAGATAAGACAGAAAAAAAAGAAGCTTATCTCACCATAAGACCGCAAGTTCTCGTAACTTATGTCCACATCCTTCCAAGTGTTCCATGGTGTTCCAAATCCATTGATATCATACAGGCGTGCCACCTTGACAAAACGATGCTTGCCCGGTGCTGTCCACAGACCATGTGATCCCTTGGCGGCAAAAAGAACCGGATGGTTCTTGAATGTCGTCACCGTTTTGGGAAAGTTTGGACGCTGCAGGATGCCTTTGCGTGTCTCCTGGCGGCGGAACTCAAAGGATCCCGTCAACCGATTGTAACTGTAATAGGCACCCGCATCGTGGGCAGACACATACATGGCCTGGGGCTCCGCATCCCCGTTGAAGTACAGGCTCATGTGCTCCCAGTCGCCCACATGGCTGCCGATATCCTTGCGATTGCCCAGGCAATATCCATAGACAGCCGGGAAAGGAATCCTGCCCAGTGGACCCAGGCTCACGGTGCACATGGTCTTGCCCTGACTGTAGGGATAGAACATCCAGTAGGTCACATGGAAGCCCGGTAGCTTGCCCTTCCCAGGATTTGCCTCCTGTTCCGGCGCCTCGCCGATGCTGTTCTCTTCCAAATTGTCATCGGGATCGGTGCCACCGCTGAACTTGACATTATCCGCTAGGTTAGCGATAAAATTGTTTACTGGCACCCCACTTTCCGGCTCCGCTTCTGGATCGGATTCTTTTTGAGGCATCTGGGTGGGTTCCAATACCAATTCCTCGTACTGATTGAGTGGAGAGTACTTGGGACCGCCCATTGGGATCGCCGCCTCGCGTTTAACACGCTGGAACAGGGGAAACAGTCTGGAGGATCTTCGAACAGTATCATTGCGTTCCTCGAGCGGATCAATGGAGACGGGAATGTAGGCAGCTCGTGTGCTTGCGGGTGGTGGAGTGGGCATTACCGGGACTTCCCTCCTAGAAGGACACATGGTGACCACTCCATAGATGGGCACTGGTTTCTCGTTGGGATTCCTTCCGTACAGAAAAGATTTGTCATTCTCCAGCAGTTCCTGGATCTCATTATTTGTGACCAGGTGGGATTTGGTGGAGTACTCCCTGAACGGCACTCCCGGCCGGAAGCTGCTGTCCTTGTCCATGGGATGGACATACTGCAGAAACTCCTCCACACCCAGCGGCATGAATTTCTCCTCCGGCGCCAGCCAGACGATCGGTGCCCACTGTTTGATCAAGCGCTCGACTGCAATGAGATGGAAAGGCGGCCCCAGATAGGCTCGGTTAGCACGGTTATCACGGTTAGCTTCGTTTTTAATTAGCGCCCCCTCCCGAATTGCCTGGCGCTAAAATTACCCAACTCGTTCGGCCATCGCCCCTTTTCCACCGCCACTCTAGACTAGCTCTGATTTTCGTTTTTTCTTTAAATTCAAGTGTAATAAATTTCACTTTCACACTTGAGGCTCGGCCAAGGTGCTCCTCCTCTTTCTGTCAGCCCCGAAAAAAAAAATCAAGTCGGTAGCAGCAGTAATGTTTGTTATGGCTAATTCGCAAAATTTAACGCCAACCGACTACCGCTGTTCCATATAAATACGCACTTGGAGACGGAGACCCATCGGACTGATGGGGCGACTCCCCGGCAATAAACGAGTGCCAAACGATGAAGTCGTTCAACTAAATCGTGACGGAAATTTCTCTTGGTCACACAAAGAAAATACGCATTAGTGGGAAGGGTAAATAGTGAAGGAAAGTGGCATTACGATGCCCTAATTCATAACATAATTGTTCTAAAATTGTCGCTAAACGTTTTTAAATGTGTATCAATTCCCCTAGATCAAAAAATAATAGTTTCAAATATTTAGAAGCCTTAATTTGCTATTAAAATTTACCATTAAATATTTTTTGATGAACTAGTAGTGCTATAATATTAAACTAAAGTTAAAATTGCTTTGGCTAAGCATTACCAACTATCTATATCTGATCTTTAAATTTCTTTAAAAATATATTTACTAATTATGACTGATTTAATCTACCTATGTTTACTATTGACTTACTTACTTTATTAGGACTCGAGGTCATTTTTAGTTGGTTATAAATAACTCAACCTTTTTCTAGCATTTATAGAATTACTAACTATTAATATCTCAAATCCTTTAAAAAATACTATAGCCCATTATAATTCGTTAGCTCTTCAAAAGAGTTAGAGTATCGATTAGCAATATCCATTGTTGTTTTGATGCTGCTGCTCTGTGTTGTTTTGGTTGATGCATACCTACTTCTTTATCTAATGGCGATATATGTGCATATTGCAACGTGGGTTGTTGTTGTTGTTGCTGCTGCTGCTGCTGATCGAAGGAGGCGGCAGCTGCAGCTTCATTGTTTTGGATGTTATGGGTATTACTGTTGTCGATGAAAGTGGTGGCGACACCATCTGAGGTTTCATTCAAGAGTCTGATGTTGCTGCTGGCAGGCGATGTTGCTGCTGTAGTCGCTGCAACACTTGCTGCCGGCTGTTGCTGCTGTTGCTGTACTAGCAATTGCTGTTGCTGCTGCAATATTTGCTGTGGTTGTTGTGGCTGCAGCGCTGCCGCACAAAGCAGCGCTGCCAGGCAGTGCAGCAACGAAAGTGAATTTATTTTCAACTGTTTGGACATTTTTCGATTTTTGCCCACTATGATTTTCTTTTAAATATTTGCTTCTCTTTTTTTTTTGGTTATTTTTTGGCCTGTCTTGGTTAGTGTTTATTTATTGGTTCGCTTGGTTGTTTGGCCGTTTGGTTTTTACCCACGATTCACGAACAAAGCGTGGCTTTTGTGTTATCGGCTCGACCGTGTTGTTATTATTATTTTCACATAGCTCGAACGTTTGCCAATTTTACTCATTGATTTCTTACACATTTCTCGTTCATTGTGTTTAGTTAGCGCATTTAAGTTTCTTTTATTTGGCTGCTTATGCAATGTCATTTACTTGACCAATTTATCACTTCCGCGCAGCGACAGTTTGAGCAGCACTAGACTCGTTCTTGTCCCAGTTAAAAAAAATAAAAACTACTCAAAGACTTTGAGTGACTTTTGCACGTGCACGCAGGCGCGCTGAGTTTCTCTCGCTTTTCAGCTGGTCTCGTTGCCCTTCAACTGGTTTTGGGTCCACAACTGGTAATCCCGATAGCCCTGAACCACCGATGACAATGCACAATGGCCCAGAATCAATGTCAACGCATTATGGTCGTTGGTTGATGGTCGGTGAAATGTGGCAATTTTGGACTGTGACTGACTGGCTTGCAAAATGCAAAATGCTTATGAGCTCTGGGGGTCTAGGCCTTTCTCCAGCACGAAAGTTACACTCCAAGTTTGTTTTCTTTCGCTTATTTGGCTTATTTTGGCCGAGACTCCGCCTGGCTTGGGTGTCCGAACGCTTTGAGCGTTTCTGTGAGACTGGCGATGAGTGCAGCCAAGTGGCCAAGTCGCTGGATTCGATTCGGCTCCATGTTTTGGTTTGCTCGTCGCTCTCTTTTCGCCGTGTGCTGCATTTAAAGCCAATTGCGCACCCAGCCAGTTGTCTTTATCCCCACCTCTTCTCTCTTTTTTTTTTTGTTTTTTGGCTTATTTGTTTACAAACATCTGAGTTGGCTTAGACCAGGTGAGTCGAACGACCCTTGAGCTGCTTTCATTCGGCGTTTTGGGGCTCACTAAGCTGTGTAAAGTTTGTATTGCCTATGGCCTTATGGGATTAGTGGGCTAAATGTGAAGTTAAATATTGCCTAATTAAGGTTTTGGAGTCTTTGGACAGCCGGAAATTAGCTTTTCAGAAGGTTTCTGGGAACTTAAATGGAAGTGCTAATATATGGTTGTTAAAAAGTTGAATAAATAAATTGTTTTCCCACTATAAATAAACATTTTAGAAAGAGAATTTGCATATTCCCCAAACCAGTTTATCATAATTCTGTGATAGTTTAAAGAAAGTGGTTCTTGCCCACTCGAATTGTTATCTCTGAATTAGCTCTATAAGCAACTGGTTACTCAGTTACCAATAGTTTGGAAAGAACTGCTTATTTTTATTATCTCATCACAATTCCGCTAATTACTTAATGATGCTTAGCGAATCATCACGTGAGAGGCCAAGCTCAGGGTTTCTAAAACCGCAACGAGAAGCGGATTCATATCGCACCTGATCGAGGCCCAAACCGGGATTGAATTAGAACTTTATTATGGATAATTGAAAACTTTCTCATTGCTTCGCTTGCTCGCGCGTCGCACCTCGAATTATTAGTACGCCTTAGTGGGTCAGCGCTCGATCGCAGTTCCAATTAACGCGACGGCACTCTCACGTACATTTCACCTGGCAGCGACAGGTGCCTTCCCCCCTGTAACTCCAATCCGGCGTCACGCATTTCTGTCCAGCCTCTCCGTGCCGCGGGAATTCACACAGATAAACACGCGGCAGCCGGCGGCTTTTAATTATTTTATTGCATTTGCCGGTGGATTTCGTCAAGGCATGGCATATATATTTAATTAATGTCTCTCCTCGGCGGGTCTGGAAAATTATGTAAAATGTGTGTTACATGGAGCACAGCTTAGCCAGCCGGCTTGCATAATCCCGGCCCGACAGCCAGTTGGGGGCAGTATTAGTATTCAAGACGGGAATCGAATCGGATCGAGCTGGACTACCGCCGAACCGATTTCAATTGCGCACACACACACACGGTCGAGCAAGTGGGTCAGGGATTTGTGGGGGGGATAGAGTCACACTCCAAATGGCAAGCAACTCAAGGTTTTCATTTTGTTTCTTTTTCGCAGGGTTTCACATACGTAGCGCCCTCGATACTGGAGGACATGCATCGGGCCAACCGGATGCCGGCACGCTCTCCTCGACGTGCTCCCCGCCAGCTGCCGGACAGCAGCTTCCGGCTACAGTTCCCATCGGCCAATGTCGGGGCCAATGCCCCCATGGCCATGCACGGTCATCCGCAGCGATCTGGGATGTTTGCACGGGCCACGCCGCCGCATCATATGCAGACCTTCGCGCCACGCCCCTCGCCGGCGCAGGACGAGATGATGGACGTGCAGCAGGGTCTGCCGATGGTGTAAAAGCCTGGAGCGGTCGCTCCGCAACGAACCCATCCCATCCCGTCCCATCCCACCCGCAAGAGCATCCCAACACAAAGCCCGCTTCCTACCCCTAAAAACAAAACAAAACAAACAACAGAAATTGACAGTTACTATTATGACGTATGTGGAGTGTGGACTTGGTTAAGGATACGGATACGGAAGGAGCAGGACGATCGGCAGGAGGAGATGGCAGAGCAGCAGGAGGAGGAAGAGGAGGAGGAGCACATGACCTCAGTGTGCACAGTTGTTTTTGTTAAAGAGAAGCGCGCACGGATCGTGCTGTTGGATGATTAAGATTATGATAATGATGGAGATGATTGTGCTACGCCAGGAAGAGCGTTCGTTTTTGGATACACCTAGATACTACAGTTAGAGACATCCACATAAACATATGCTATAGCAATTACTATATACACCTAGAGCGATGGTAGCCGACCCGTGTCCCCCAAACTTATCCGTGTTTATGTATAAATATTATACTTACACTTATGTTTTATATAGGCAAAAAGGTTTACACAATTTAGTTCAAATGTACACGCAACACTTTAATTTCTTTTTACACTTATTTAACTCCAATCGAAACAGACAGCAGACCACTTATATATTACGAAGAAGAAAGTTCTGTATTTGAATCGTATAATAACATATGAATCGTGTAAGCTGGTGGCTTCAGTACCACAACTACACTAATCAAGTATAATTACTCTGTCTAGAAACGTTCTTTGAAGCTTATTTTTATAGTTGTCGAACAGTTTTCCAATTGGTTTTGTCATTTCGAACACCTTCGGTAGGCATATAGTGACGTTAGATTTTAGGGACAACTGCAGCGTAGCCAACAACACAACACAAACTTAAATGAAATGTAAATTATAAAATAAACTAGAGCATTAAAGAATAAACTATAAAATAAAATATATAAAGTAATGTAAAGGTTTCCCAGCTCGATTATAAAAAGTGATCCGAATTCGGGTCTAACTTGCTCGCATAGCCAATTTGTATTCAATAACTACCCCCAGAAGAATTCTCCCTCCTTCATAGTCAGCCCCAAGAATTGGTATAATTCGATTTCGGTTGCATTTCTGGATTCAAGCTAGTAAAAAGGAACAAAATAATACCGTGTACTGAGAAGCTAAACGCTGCCACAACAATAAACCCAAATGGGGAGACATAAAAAATGTATACAATCGATTTATGTACTTTGATTATATTCCTTTTCAGTTTTCAATCTGAATCAATATTTTTTGTATTTGCCTAAAGAATGAGAGAATAGAAAATCTCTACAGAAATAAAAAGCAAAAAAAAATTAAGATGTCAAATATAATCAAAAGGTGCTTTGAATTGTTTAAAAAGACAAGACAACTACAGAATAAAAACGAAATACGAAATAAAACGGAATAGAAAGCAGGAAAAACTATGGAAATCGAAAGCGACTAAAACCTAAAACTTATAACGGTTATGTGTATAAAGAATATTTATAACAAACAAAAAATAAATACCTCAGAAGCAATTATTTTTGTTACAAGCAGCTAAAAAGTGTGGGATGCAAATAAAGAACTTAACGAAATGATAAACTACCAACTAAAGTACAGAAGCAAGAAACTATTAACAAAATAAATCGAGAAATTAGGAAACAGAATATATAAAAACATATATTTTTTTCATTGTACACTTATTTTATTTTGTGTTTGGTTTTGTTTACTGCTAAATGTATTTTGTATTTAATTAAACAATCATTTTTAATATCTAAGAAAAGAAAAAGAAAAACCCAAGCAAAAACCAAAAATGAAACTGTTTTCATTTGTGGAAGGAAATGTCTTATTTTCACTGTTAGTAGACATAACTGAGCAATGTGCTAAAGCCAAGAAATATGTAAAAAACAAAAAGAAAACAAGGAAACGGGAGAGAATAACTATCGAACAAATACCCCATAAAGATGAAACACTGCCTACACACGAGAGGAAACAAGAAGTAAGAAAAGAAAAAACTAGCAACAAATTATTACCAACTACAATAAACAAACAAAATCGCAAGTAAATGAATTTAAACCAGACCCACGATCAAGGGCGAAACCAAACAGCCGAAACAGCACTAAATGCAGAGAGTTACAGAATTTCGTAGATAGCCAAGTTAACCAATTGAAACAGATCCTCCAGCACAGACCGATCGATCGGGAGTCGTGTTACCAAGGTTCAGCACCAATAACTGAGTTCAGGCCAAGTGGCCCCAAACTGTACAGTCCAGCTAATTGAACCGAGTAATTAACCGATTCCGCAATGTACTTATATCCCCGACGGTGGGCGACTAGGAAGTAGCGATAAAGCCAGAATAGAATTTCAAAGTTCACTGTTAATAAACCATAAACAAAAAACACAAAAAACCAACCAGAGATAGCGACTCGACACAAGGCTTAATTATATGTAGTTGTTTTGTAGCAAGTACTGTCTGTCTGTCCCAAGGGGGCGTCGGCCACCTCTGTTGACGGCCCACTGAACCGGGCCTAATTGCATACCAAAATAACCAAGTCGATAAAGAGTTCTGGAAGAGCAAGAGAGCTGCCATAAGCCATAAGATCGTTGAAGCCAAACGAAACCCGAAACACGGAAATCCAAAACAATGAGCGAAACATTATAATGTCGACATTCAGAGATCCTAGTTAATTAAATTGTACATTTCTATCATTTAGCTGTAAGCGCAGTGCGTATATACGACTATGTGGATATAAAAGATGTATATGGCAAATGTGTATCGTAATATATTAAAACTTAATTTTACAAAAAAACGAAATACGAATGGGGACTCAATCAATAGCTTTAAGAGCTTTCAAGCTGCCCTGGGGTTTTCTTGGGCTATTAAGAAATGGGGGCTTGTCAGCGGCTCTAAAACTGTATGGAGGGGGCTTTCGTTTAATGTTTGAGGACGGTTTTGAAGGTGGATCCGTTATGAGATTCAATTTAAATTTTAGATTACCAATTCGTAAATCAGAAATATAATTTTATAATTTCCGATATAATGTTCTTTTAATCATCCCTCTATTTCAATTGCTCTTAAACTGATAGTTCAAATACCAAAACCAATAATCGGGAGTTCTTTATTTTTAGTCACTCCCACTTGGACACGCAAATGCCATTGATTAGCATAATTAATGCCAAAAACTTTGCAATAAAGTAAAAAGTATGAAGGAGCAGCTCGAGTCAAAAAAAGGAAGGCGCAAAAGCGAAAGTATGTTAGCATAAATCGATCAAGGAGGAGCCGCTGGCTGAAGGGGAATCCCCCCCCGCGGGGCATAGGCTATTTATAGACATGCCGTAAGACGGGACCGCAAGGTGCAGGAGCAGCTGGCGGAACCGCCGGCGGCTCCTTCGGCGGATTTGAGCTCCGTGTGCCCAATTGGAGTGACTGCCAGGTGACACACGGCACAAGCGCATTGGACAAGCACATGCACATAGACGGATGGAGCTGGTGCACAGAACAAAAATGGTTCCTTAAATATAATATTGAACTATTATTCTTAAAAAACCATAATGTATTTTTTTTAATAATTAATAAACTATAATATATTTTCTTATAAAAGTAGATATTTTTAATAATATTGCTATTAACAATAAAAAAACATTCTAATTAAAGCATTTTTTACGGATTTTTCAAGTAACAAATTCAAATTCATTATTCAAAAATGGTTAAAAAACCATAATGTATTTTTTTTGAAAGCATTGCTTCTTCATTCAAGAATAATTAATAAACTATAATATAGTTTGTATAAGAGTAGATACTTTTAATAATATTGCTATTAATAATAAAAAAAACATTCTAATTTAAGAATTTCAAGAACTAAATTCAAATATCATCGAAAAGGTTTAATTTTTTTTAAGAAAGATATCGATGGCTTGAGTAGTAGGTTAAATACCTTAGTTTCGCAGCGTGTATGCTAAAGGGTATTCGGTGAGGTGGGGGCTGGGCAGCATAACAATAAATACCGCTAGGCAACCGTAAATTCCCTAGCATGAATCGATTTAACATGCCCGAGGGAGAGGAGGGCAGGCCACTCAGGTCGCCAGCGACTCTCCTCCGACTCTGGCTGAGATTCCGAGCCAGGCAGCCAGCCAGCCAGGTACATATAATTTCCTGCCCGGTCTCGAGAAGTGTGCCAGGTGGGGACAATCGAGTGTAGAGATTTTGCAGTGACAGTTACACTTTTTGCCATATATTTCTCTTCTTACGCAATCTTAATACCATCTAATCAAATATCAGTTAGAAGGATGTTGCCCAATTTGAAATCGCGCCGTGTCAGCGGCCTCCAGCTGGCCGGGAAGCATCTGGGTCCGGTGGCCAAGTGCCCGCCCAGATATTCCGAGGAGGACTGGGACTATAACAACAAGATCAAGTTTCGGATCACCTGCGACCAGGAGAAGCTGGCCGAGCGGATCGTGGAGTGAGTATATCGGGAGTAGAAAAGGTATCCTTGGGAGCGGACTCAAGTTGGTGACCCTATTTCGTCTAGGGAGTCGCGTCGCGTGGTGGACGAAACGAAGGACACGACCAAGAACTGGCAGCGCGAGGTGGAGCATCATATGCGCGAGAGGACCAGCGAGATTCGCTTTTTGGTGGACGAGTTGAATCGCCAGAAGAAGACCGCCGCTCTGGAGGACGAGGCCTTGAATACCTATCGCAATCGGGTGCTGAACTGCATTGAGTTCCTCAAGGAGAAGTCGCTGGCCATTTGCAAGCAGTGCCTGATCCTGCGAGAGGGAAGGATTGGGGTGGATCTCTGCGACGACGAGGTGGACCGCTCCTTGCGCCGCGAACTGAAGGTCATCAAGGGCTGTCAGGGATTGGCCGATGCCGCCCTCAAGGAGGCCGAGGAGCAGATCCGCAAGCTGCGCGCCGCCATCTATCTGCTGGATCAGGATCTGGCCGCCAAGGATAAGTCGCTGGCCATCGATGAGAAGAACCTGAAGCTCAAGGAGTTCCAGCATGATCTGGCCAAGGGCTCGGATTTGTCCAAGCAGCACTGGTAGGTTGCGTTTTTTTTATTCGCAAATTTAATATATAATTATTATTTTTGTTTTTTTTTTGAAGTACATTTTCTTATAATCGACCTATTGAAAAAAGGAATTTTTTAACAATATTAGTTGTGAAAAAGAGTACACCTTTTATTCTGACGTCAAAAACTTTTTTTTTTATTATTGTAAAATAATAATAATTCAATTGAATACAATAGGTTGCTTGACCTATCTAGTTACAATTTTTTTTTCCAATTCCGTGTTAACCTTTATATAAGGGCCCTTTTTTTCTATTTCACTTTTTAAGTTATAGACCAGCTTATTCATTTGACCTAAAACTAAAAAGCTTCCATAAATTGTATTACAAACTCAAGTAGTTATTTCCCTCTTAAGTTATGGATCGAATTGAGGAAGGTCAAACTTAATAATAAAACCGCAGTTTCCTAGGTGATATTGGATACTACTTTATTGGAGTGTAGTTTAGTGATTTATTTGCACCTATTTATATATATAAATCGACCTGATAGTTGCCATGACTCCTTGACTTTCCCTATATGTCCACCCATCCGCCTACTCCTCCTCTTCCTCCTCCTTTAGCCAATTTTCGCTGACCGAGTGGCAGGCGCAGACGTACGAGAATCTGGAGGCCAACGCCAAGGCTTTGGTCTCCGCCGGCCAACTGCGGGCCTACATCGATCTGCTGCTGAAGCAGGTCTGCGAGGATATGCAGAACCAGACGGACAGGACCAACGAGGCCTTCGAGCGGAGGATCTCGGAGACGAAGCACGTGAAGCAGTGCCTGGAGAACAAGCACAAGGACACCATGGACCACATCCACCAGGTGCAGCGCAACATGACCGAGCTGGAGAAGGAGATGATGGACAAGCAGAGGGCAATAACCCTCTGCCAGACGAGGCTGAGCAATCGAGCCCACCGTCCCGGATTGGAGCTGACCTGCGACATGGTCCAGGATGCCCTCTACAACGAGCTGCAGGCCTTGAAGGCCTCCGTGTGCAAGCTCAACCAGAAGCTGAACGAGAACAAGGCCTCCATGCGGTACCTGATGCACGTCCAGGTGATGCAGGAGGAGGAGATCAACATCAAGGCGAACACCTGCAAGATCGACGAGGTCGACTGCATGACTCTGCGACAGGCCCTCAAATATCAAACCTTCTAGTCGGGCAGCACTACTTCCAGTATCGCACCCAGTAGTCGCCACCAGCCACCATTAATCAAATTAGATGCATGTGCATTTCGTGTTCGATCCCAAATTACTTAATAAATTGAAATTCACTTTCGATTTCCAGTTACTAGGAAAGTTTTTTATGTGGGTTCCTTTGGCGGAATGTGTGCTGGAAAACATAGTGTTTTGAAAAAATACGATTTATTCTTAGTGTTTTCGCCTATAGCATGTACAAAAATTGTCTCATGGGAAAAATTATCCTCATTTTTCGGCTTATATTATATTTTTGCAAATTTTTTGAGGGGTTACATCACAATTTTTTTGTAAATTAAAATTTATAAATGTAAAATTTGTAGATTTCAATGCCAATCGATTGCCAATTTAAATGCAAGACCAACGAAGTATAGCATTCCATTTTTAATTATTATATTTTTATTGTTTTGACCGAAATACTTATTTTTTTTTGGATTTTTGGCAAACTTCCCGGGCTAATTTGAATTTCCCGCTTGAACGTTAGTATTTTTGGTATTTTCGATATCCAGCTATCGATAATGGAGCTGCCAACTCTTTTTCTACCAGTGGCGGAGTTGCCAGATCTTTGATTAGTGTTACCATACGGCACTGAAAATCCCAAGTGTGACCGCAGCCCGCAAACGATATTGATGAAGCCTGACAAAACGTAGAAAAGCAAAGGAAAACCTTAATTAATGTTAAGTTAAAAGTGTACAAACCTGAGATTAAGGTGAGTGGCTCGCCATGTTCTAGATTTTGAGTACCCAAGAGGGCCGGTGCAGCGGGCGGCGGCGGGGGCTGTGCGCCAGTTCCGCCGCCGCCGCCGCCACCGCACACGATAAAAAAATGGAGTACAGCCACGAATGGCAAATCAATAATTTCGGCACTCCAATGTATTTTTCCGACCTCTCCGTCCTCCATTCCTCCATTGCAGTGCAAGGATGTCGAAACGGAGCGCCGACGATGCCAGCGGCAGCAGCTGTTTGGTGGCCGCCGCAGCCGCCGGCCAGCCGCCCATCAAGAAGGTGCACTTCGAGCCCCATCTGATTGGGCCGGTGTCCACGCTGGAGGAGATGGACATCAAGGTGCTGGAGTTCCAGAACAAGAAGCTCGCCCAGCGCATCGAGCAGCGGATGCGCACGGAGGCGGAGCTGCGGCATCGCATCGAGCAGCTGGAGAAGCGGCAGACGCAGGACGACGCCGTTCTGAACGTGGTCAATCGGTATTGGAATCAGCTGAACGAGGACATACGCGTCCTGCTGCAGCGCTTCGATGCCGAGACGGCCGACGAGCTGGAGAACCGGAACGAGAACGAGGTCACCACCTCGTTCCTCGCCCAGCTGTCCACCTGGGACAAGGAGGAGCTGGACGAGAAGCTGGCCAACCGCGTCCAGGTGTCCAAGCGGGCGGTGGCCAAGATCGTGCAGGTTATTGATAGGTTAATGCAACGCAACGAGAAGATAACTCATGTCTTGAAAGGTGATAGTTTGGCCTCAGCAGGCGGCGGCGGCGATGAGGAGCAGCAGCAGCAGCAGTCGAGCGGCGATGCGGAGGCCACCGCGGCCTCGGCCGGCGTCCATGCGCTGGAGGAGACCCTGAAGCAAACGCACATCGAGATCATGAGCGAGAACCACAAGCTGCAGAACCTGAACACCTCGCTGCACGAGAAGTTCCACACCATGTCGCTGAAGATGAAGGAGTACCAGGATGCGCACACCGCCAAGGAGACGGAGAACGCCGAGCTGAAGAACCAGATCGACGAGCTGCAGTACGACCTCGAGAAGATCCATTGCCGGAACGATAAGCTGGAGAACCATCTGGCCGAGGCCATTGAGAAGCTGAAGGCCTACCACCAGATCTACGGCGATCCCAATAAGAGCACGAATAGTGCCAAAACACCCACTTCCACGGGCACCGGCAGCAGCGCCACCACGAGCGTTAATAGTCAGCTCTTGGAGGAGCTGCAAAAGGAGCTGGAGGAGTACCGCGAACTGGCCAACAACCGACTGCAGGAGCTGGACAAGCTCCACGCCACGCATCGCGAGACGCTCAAGGAGGTGGAGAAGCTGAAAATGGATGTGAGTTTGAGATATAACATAGAATAGGTTTTAATATTTAAAAAAGAGTAGGGTTGTGGAATCAACGAACCTTAAATTTAACGTTTCGTATCCTTAAAACTACAAATAGGATCGATTTTTAATAAAATTCCTCCCCTTTCCAGATACGCCAGCTACCCGAATCCGTCATCGTGGAGACAACGGAGTACAAGTGCCTGCAGAGCCAGTTCTCCGTGCTCTACAACGAGTCCATGCAGATCAAGACCATGCTGGACGAGACCCGCAACCAGCTGCAGACGAGCAAGAACCAGCACCTGCGACAGATCGAGGTGATGGAGAGCGAGGAGCTCATTGCCCAGAAGAAGGTGCGCAGCGAGATGATCCAGATGGAGGACGTGCTGGCCCTCATCCGCAAGGAGTACGAGGCGCTGCGCATCGAGTTCGAGCAGAATATGGCCGCCAACGAGCAGACGGCGCCCATCAACCGCGAAATGCGCCACCTAATCACGTCTCTGCAGAACCACAATGGCCAGCTAAAGGGCGAGGTGCAGCGCTACAAGCGAAAGTACAAGGACACCTCCACGGACAACCTGAAGCTGCGCAAGGAACTGGACGAGGCGCTGGCCACGCTCGAGGGCAACAAGTTGCAGGCGGCGACCGGTGCGGCAGGCGAAGGCGAAGTCAAGCAGGAGAACTCCACAAGTGTCAAGGAGGAGAACTCCAACAACGCCGCCGCCTGCGGCCAATCGAACCAAACTAATTCCGGCAACGACACCAACGTGGCCATCAAGGAGGAGAACCACAACTCGGCCGAAGATGAAGCCGATGACGATGGCAGTGGAAAGGACTTGAAGGACGGCATCAAGCAGGAGAAGCTCAGCGCCGGCGAGGTGGCGGCAGCCGAGAAGAAAGATTCCCCTGGGCCCGGCAACTCGACGACTTCTGCCACAAATTCAGTGCCCGTCAAAGCCGAAAAGGATTCCAAGGATGGTGTAAAGGGCAAGGATGTCAAGACAGTGGAAAGCGAAACGGTGCGGGATCTGAAGGCGCAACTAAAGTAGGTTTTTTTGAAAATATTACAATTGCTATAACAAGGTTAACTCTTTTATTTGATTCACAGAAAAGCGCTGAACGACCAGAAGGAAATGAAGCTTCTGCTGGACATGTACAAAGGCGTCTCGAAGGATCAGCGCGACAAGGTCCAGCTGATGGCCACCGAGAAGAAGCTGCGCTCGGAGATCGAAGAGCTGCGCCAGCAGTTGAAGAAGCTGCAGGAGAGCAAGCGTGAGGAGCGCAAGAAGTTGGCCGACGAGGAGGCGTTACGTAAGATTAAGCAACTGGAGGAGCAGAAGTATGAACTGCAGAAGCAAATGGCGAATCACAAGCCCTCCGATAATTCGTGGGGCAGTGGAGCACCCGGCACAGCGAACTACACGCGACCCTTTGTCGGCTCCCACGAGGAGGAGGCGTTGCTCAACGAAATGGAGGTGACTGGGCAGGCGTTCGAGGACATGCAGGAGCAAAACTCACGGCTAATACAGCAGCTGCGCGAGAAGGACGATGCCAACTTTAAGCTAATGTCGGAGCGCATCAAGGCCAACCAGCTGCACAAGCTGCTGCGCGAGGAGAAGACTGTGCTGGAGGATCAGATGGCCACGGCCACCACGCAGATCGAGGCCATGCACATTGTGCTGCGAAAGCTCGAGGAGAAGGAGCGCAGTCTACAGGCCACGGTGGCCTCCATCGAGAAGGAGCTGATGCTGCGCCAGCAGGCCATGGAGATGCACAAACGCAAGGCCATCGAATCGGCCCAGTCGGCGGCGGACCTAAAGCTGCATCTCGAAAAGTATCATGCGCAAATGAAGGAGGCGCAGCAGGTGGTGGCCGAGAAGACCAGCTCACTGGAGGCGGAGGCCTACAAGACCAAGCGGCTGCAGGAGGAGCTGGCGCAATTTAAGCGCAAGGCGGAACGCATGAAGAAAATGGAGATGTCGGGCACGACCATCGACGAGGTGATGATCGAGGAGATCCGCGAGTACAAGGAGACGCTCACGTGTCCCTCGTGCAAGGTGAAGCGGAAGGATGCGGTGCTGTCGAAGTGCTTCCACGTCTTCTGCTACGACTGCCTGCGCACGCGGTACGAAACGCGGCAGCGGAAGTGCCCCAAATGCAACTGCGCCTTTGGCGCCAACGATTATCATAGGCTATATCTGCAGTAGATAAGCGATAGACCCCGTAACGATAATTTAGATACGTTCCGGTCATGTCCTATTCACACACAAAGCACACACCACTCCCACACAACCGAGCAGAGACAGTCAGTCACACACCCACATTCATGCCGGATTATTCATTATGCATATATTACCTACGTACTAATATTGGTTAAGTAGTCTCCGAATAACTCCCCTGATTCCCCAATGGCAATTAATTGAATTTGTTCATTCTGGCGCCAAGCAAAAGCATCTCATTATGAGTGCCGCGAGATCATGTCGCGGTTTTTTATGTAGCTTCTAGTTTTTGTAAATCAAACTCTATTTTTAAATGATTTAATTTGAAAACTAAATGTACGAACACTAATAAATGGCTAAAAACTATATGGTTAGCGTACGCAAAGTTATTCTGATCCCCAAATCCAGTGTCGGTCCTTTGTCATCCATATACATTTATGTTAAGCGTATTTATATTATCGCCTATAATTCCTAAGTAAAACTATTTCTATTGTAATGATCAAACGTAGCATAGATATCAGCTGTATAAACTTGTCGGAGAATCCGTTTAAATGACGCGCTTTGCTTAAAAGGGCTGCTAACTTGGTTATAATTTATACATAAATGTAATAACGTATGATCGGAAATTGTTGTTCAGCCGAACAGAATATTTTGATTGTTTTTTTTGTGTGTAAGTTTAATCGTTTATTCTGTGTACTGTTTCATGAATAAAGAAACTTTTGATCAGAAATCTCTGCTTTTATACTATGTTATCTGTCCACATACAAAAATACACCTGTTAACGGGTATAACACCCACGAACTGATGTTAATAACATGGATGTTTATCTTGGCTCTGTTATTTATAGCGCGCGTCATCTTATCGGGTTTTGAAAGTCTAGAGTCGTACTTTGTTTGCAACCTATTAATTATTTCTTAGGCTTACAAAAGGTAAAGGTACAAATGTATATTGACTCTAAAGTGGGTAGGTCAGTATAATGATCTTAAACAAAATCACTCATACGCAGTGTGGGCATTTATTAAAACTTATTAAAAAAAAACATTCATAGTATGAATTTCATACCTCTGAATTTGTATAATCTTTTGAAATTATTTTTTTCAGATAATAGAAACATATTTTTTACATATTCAAAATATTGCAATATTACTAAGTTTAATAGGACTTCTAACATATTTAAAATAACCAAAGTCTAAACATTTTTTTTAAATAGGAAAGAATATCCCTTAGAAAGATTCAAATAAATGTTTAATGTTTTTGCCCCGAACTTAAATGTTTTCATTTATTCATTTTGCTCGCAACGGATATGCGATACTTATAGGTAAATGTAGTTTAAAAGCGAACCGAGTTGGGTTCAAATTGGCCAGAACAGCCCAGTTGGCCATTCTCCAGTAATTATGCTACCTAGTATTTATTACAATGGCTCAAGAGCAGCGACATTGTCTTGTGCAATTATAATTAACCATTGACGCAATTTGGCGACCAAAAGTAAGCCAAAAACCTATTCTCCTTGGTCAGGTGCTCGTGGTATCGTGGTAACTGCGCAAGTATCAACACAAGTGCCTATTGCGTATTGGGCAAATAGCCCCCTCATCGATGCCCTAAAACGGCTAAGATGATAAATTATTGTTCTGTAAATCACCAAAAATGATATGCAAATTTTTACAAACACGACTTCGGCCATTTTCGGTGGATCAGAAAGATTTGAAAATAGCCAGCAGCCAGAAAGAGAATGTATGGATAGATAATTCGGATGTTCGGGTCAACTTCGAAACCATAATTAAGTCCAGCTGCTGATTTTCTTCGCTGTTAATTATGGCTAAGACCAAAATCACAAAAGCTCCGTAAAGTAAAATCTGGTGGGCAGTCATCTGTGTTTGATTTTGACGGTATTTCGAAAAAGGTTTACCCCTGCCATCTGAAACGTTTACCCAACCCAAAGTACCCCCTACGTTTCACGTTTCACAGAAATTGCGAATTGTTTCGTCTGCTTTGCGCCATGTAATGTGTTTATTAAAAATTATTATTATTGTTCGCATCGAGAGGTGGCGGCATCTTTATGACCAGGCTACCTACCACCAGCACCAGCTGATGTGGAGCAATTGGACGGGTTGTCGGGCTGTTGGGGCATCTTTTGCCGTAAACTCGTTATGCGGCAAGCCATGTTAAAAAAAATGAAGAAAAATGAAACGAAAACGAAAATGTATAAATAAATGTGAAAAGACTAAGAAATTAAAATCGTGCCAGCGATGAGTGAGCACATTACACCAAGCACTTGGCGAAGCGAGTACGGTTATTACCAACATAACGAATGAGTTTAAAATGTGGCCGGGCCGGTGGAGTAGGTCAATCCGGGCTGGTCAGGGACAATGGCGAAGGTTAGCGGTGCAATCGGGGGAATAACCGGGTCGTAAGATCCCAACACGGAAGTCGCTCCGCAGGATGGGGCCAATTTAAGTCGAAATTAATTGATTTAGAAGATTTTGAGTTGTTTGATGTATGCCTTTTAAATTAATTTTAATTTACTTGCTTTATTTCACTTTTCTACATTTTAAAAGGAGGTTTAACCCTTAATCCCCTTTATTTTCTACAAACCTTAATGGAATGTATCTGTATCTCAGCTCATTTACTGACTATCCAAATATTTGTAACTTTTCAAGAAATTTAAATGTCACTTTGGCTCACCTTTCTATCCAGCCTATTGCTAATGAATTTTAATTTTCTCGGCATCCCATCAAGGTTGTCAAGGGACTACGACTACTCTCACAAGTGACCTTCTTTCAGGCATCAATTAACTTAATGAAATTGTCATTGAATCAGGGCTCATAACAAGATCAACATTAATTATCATCGAACAAAGGCATTTTCACACTGCAGTTTAATGATTGTTTAGCACTCAGGGCGTGCCTCTGTCAATCCAATCAACTCTCGCCCACTGGCAAACGGAAACGAATCATTGTATTAGCATGCTGATGATCGCAACTCAATGGAAGCCCATTGGACCTACGCCCTTTGGGTTGGGAAATGTCCAAAATGCCCAAGATACTCAAATATCCAAGCCCACGTCACGGCCCTGGGTCCAAAAAGAGCCCCCATAATATCAAAGGGCCAACGCATTTCCCAGCCGTAAACTGCAATTCGAATTTTAACTGGAGAGCTGGGTAAATATCACCATATCTCTGGTCAGAGATGACGTAGCCGCCGGGTGATCATTAGGTGTTTGACCATTAGCAATAGCGACACCATCATTACTCAAGGGGGGTAATGGGGGGGATTGCATTTTCAAGGTTGGCCACCATTCTCGCTTCACTGCCACCCGAAGTCGGGCCATGAAAATGCAAATTTTTCACCACTCCCCAGTCGTCGCCCCGGTGAGCAATGTTTTTCAATAAACCTAATGAGTGAAAAAGGGGGTAAGTCGAAAATGAACCGTTAGCGAACCTGATTTACAGCCGCTGGCCAAGTGACCAACTGACTGAGTGACTGACTGCCATTACTTAACAACAGCAGCTCTTTAATACCTTGTGGCTACCTTTGATGACTGGGATCAGGCTCGGATCCCAACATCTGGCCGAAAAGGTTCGTGTACTTCGTACTTTCAGTTTCGGCTGGCCAAAAACTAGTTCCCTCCATCTCCATCGCCATCTCCATGCAGCAGCAGCATTTACCAAGCCAACCGAACCAACCGATCAGATTGCATTCGAATCCCGCTCAGACGCTCGGCTTTAGCATAGCCCCTATGCTATATGGTGCGCATGTCTGTGTGGCCATTATATAATCCAGTTAATTTCTTTAACAATTTTTGTTTCTCCTCGAGCTTTTCGTTGTTTTGCTAGACGAGAGGCCTCCCCAGCCAGCGTCATTCGTTGTTTGGACCCCGCGTTGTTTGGACGTGTTTTTCAATCGGCGCGTCGTCTCTCGAAGATCGTCTGACATTGCCATATAATATATCTCGAAGAGATATAGAAGAGACCCCGCATCAAGAATTGCAAAACGGGCGTTTGGCATTGCTCATACGCAGCGTGTGACGTGCTATATATTTAGCGTTAAAGGAATCGAAAAAATAGGGTGTAAGTGTTATAGTGTGTGTGATTGTGATAAATTCAAGGAGTCCTGAACAATTTTATTTTAAATTAAAACATTAAGGGATTTTTTTAAAACAAAAGTAAATAAATTACAGGATAACTGAAGTGAAAAGAAACATTTATAAACCTAATTTTAGAAATACAAGAAATCTTTAAAACAAATTAACCAGGAATTCAAACAATCAAACTTCCAGATCGTTGATGTTTTTTTCGTATTGACTCAAGTTTTAAAGCTTTACCGCAAGATCAAATTACATTTTCGTACATAATTCAATCAAAAAGCAATCAAAATCTGAAAGATAACTTAAAACTCAATTAACCTTTAGACGAAAACCGAACCGTAATTACTAGCTACCCTCGCGAAACCAAATGTAATCAACAACCTTCTTTAAAATCAATCAGCCAAGAGAGAATATGAGGCTGTGAAATTGCAATTACCAAATAAGCCACGATTGCACCGCCTGTTGCATTATTGGCCAGTTAGCCACACAAAAGCCACGCAAGCCACAACGAGCTCCTAATAAACATGTTGAAACTGCAGGTGAAAGAGAGGGGTAGATGCCGTGCGAAAGAGATGGCAAGCGGGATCCAACGGGCGCATTGCCCAATGACATTTTGAAATCGCATTTCCAGTTGGGGGGAAAACCGACAAACGAAAATTGAAAAACCGACAAAATGTAAACGAAACGAAAACGAAAGCGAATGCAAATTTTTAACCAAAAAGAAATCAATTAAATGGCACAGAGTTCGCAACGAATCGGAGAGGTATCATACATATATGCAAATGGGTCGATGTCATGGGAAAACGGATTTTGATTATCGGGGCTTTGAGGCGTCGAAAGACAAAGGGCAAGCTATAAGTCCGACTTAAAACAATAAAATCGAGCCGCAGGTCGGATCACAAATTGTGTGCAAATATTGGGATAAAGCTGAGCTGAGCGTGTTAGTGCATCCCATGAACGTACTTTGTTTATCTGTGAAGTCAAACATTGTGACTTCAAATCGGGGGACTTTGTTCAACCGCTTTCCTCTTATTTTTCTTTGCTTTCCTCCCTCTTTTAATATTATGCAACCAACTCGAAATCAAACAGTGAAACTCTTTCTTGTACTAGCTAATTATTAACATTGTTTTGTATTTTCCATATCCATTTTTTGACCCGCTTTCGGTAAACAGCTTTGAACTTGAACCAATTCGACGTTTTTTTTTTTTTTGTCTTTTTGCCATATTTTATATGTGGCCATAATGCCATTTTGTCGGTTTATGGGTGCCCTAACAACAAAGAAGTGAATAAATTATACACTTTTTCATTTCGTCGCTTTCGAGTTCGCTGAAAAAACGTATTGTCCATTTGCATTTGGTTGGTGTTTTAACAAAAACGCGTCTCTTGTGCGCTTTAATTAGCAAATATTTGCAAATTACAGCGATCCGTGTTCCGGTGGCGTTCGCCTTGAGATCTCAGAGACCTTGAACTAATTTCGATGGGAAGACCATTAATAATCTTATAGATAAACCATGTGGAGAGTTATTAGACAATAGGTTTTATTTGTTGATGGCTGAAGGGCAGTAAGGGTTATCTAGAGATTAATTAAACTAAAATATTATAATGATTTAAAAGCAAAGAAATTATAAATAATAATAAATCATAAATTTAAAAATTAAATAATAATTATAAATAATTAATAATCTTATAGATAAACCATGTGGAGAGTTATTAAACAATAGGTTTTATTTGTTGATGGCTGAAAGGCAGTAGGGGTTATCTAGAGATTAATGGTAATGAAACTAAAATATTATAATGATTCTAAAGCAAAGAAAATATAAATAATAGGTACTAAATCATAAATTGATTTAATAAATTAAGTAATACTTGAAATAAGTATTTTTATTTAATCTTAAAGATGTATTTAAAACAAAGAAGTACCTATTACTCAATTTTATTTTAGTTTAACCATAATGTGTAAGACTTGATAAACTCAAGTCATTATTAATCTTGTGGAAAACCCCGACTAAACCATGCACTTCTTATCTTTTTCTTTGTAGTAGCCGCAATCATCGCCTGACTGTACAGTAGCCACAAGCTAAGAGTGATGAAGGAGACCAAGATGGTGCAGGATCAGGGAGATTCCCTGCCTGAGTCGCTGCTGAAGATCGCCAAGCGGGAGTTGCGCGAAGATCGATGCACCCGGGAGCAGAGCCTGGAGCAGCTGCGCAATTGGGTGGCCAAGAACGAGGATCTGCAGAATGTCCGGAGCGACGACACCTTCTTGCTGCGCTTCCTGCGGGCCAAGAAGTTCAGTGTCCCGATGGCGGAGCAGACGCTGCTCAAGTACCTGAACATCCGACGCACCTTCCCGCACATGAGCACCCAGCTGGACTATTTGGAGCCGCGACTCGGCGACCTCATCGATCAGGGATACATCTTTGCGGTGCCGCAGCGGGATAAGCATGGTCGCCGGGTGGTGGTCATCAATGCCAAGGGACTGAATCCGAAAATCCACAGCAGCTCCGACCAGGCCAAGGCGCACTTTCTCACCTACGAGTGCCTGATGGAGGACCAGGAGACCCAGATCACCGGGCTCACGCATGTGGGTGACTTCGCCGGCGTGTCCACGGCGCATGTGACCAACTGGAATCCCACCGAGTTCGCCCGCATCTTCAAGTGGGGCGAGCAATCGCTGCCCATGCGTCACAAGGAGATCCACCTCATCAATGTGCCCTCCACTCTCAAGTGGCTCATCGATTTCGTGAAGAATCGCGTCAGTTCCAAGATGAAGCAGCGCCTGATCATCTACGGCAGCGAAAAGGAGCTGATGAAGTGCGTGGATCAGGGATGCCTGCCGCTCGAGATGGGCGGCACCATGCCCATGCGCGAGATGATCGATCTGTGGAAACAGGAACTGGCGGCCAAGCGCGACTTGATCCTCGGCCTGGACAAGAGCATCCTGCTCTCCGATCGCGGCATCCAGCGGAGGAGCAGCTACAACGCGGAAAAGGCCTCCACCGGCGGACCCAACTTCGTCTCACAAATCGAGTCCATCGAGGGCAGCTTTCGGAAGCTGGAGTTCGACTAGCCGATCATCTAGTTCTAGCTCTGTAGTAGTTTTTAGTTCCTAGTCTTAGGCATCATCCGTTAACGCAACGCTTCGCCGGTCCCCCGATCCTGGCCAGAGCCGATCCCGGGGATCCCTGATTCGCTTATCGGTGGCACCCGCTTTACTCATCCTGCGCTTCTTTGTATACTGTGTTTTGTGTTTGGCGTACAATAAACGAGAGGAATAACTTGGAATCCCTGGCTTTTCATTCACTTGGTCCTTCGAGCCCGGCATAATGTGGCCAATGGTGGAACTCCTGCTGCAGTGCCTCCGTATTGCTGCCCACTACAAACAGTTGGTACTGTGGCTGCAGTTTCCTGCGCTTCAGGGATTCTAGAATCAAAGCCTTTGCTACCTTTAACTGACAATAAATGGGTGGTTTTCGGTTAAAGGTTCCCACAAAGGCCATTACCAGAGAACTGTTTCCAGGAAGATCCTTTGAGAAATCGCTCTTATATTGCCATCCTCGGGCTTCGAAGGCCTGACAGTCGCCGGTGATTAGAAAGTTGTAGGGCAGCTCCTCAGAATGAGTACTCTACGGATTCAAATGGGTTTTATTTTAGTGATAAAATACTTTATATCATCTCACCTGCAGCTTGTGTAATACATCCAGACAATCCTCACTGCACTCCTGGCTCTCCGTGTGGGTAAAAATCACATAAATCGGATTCGATAGAGTTTCCGGACCCTGAAGAACCGCATTCGACCATATATCATGCTCCACAAGACTGAGTCGGTAGCCAAAGTCCGGCGTTTGGGCTGTAAAGTGATTCAGTTGCTTTGTCAAATTTTCAGAAATTTACCAATGAATCATAAAGCAAATCTACAGGCAGAAGCGTGAAGTAAAACCCAATCGTGGATTTTTATGAGTTTAACATTAACATATGTAAATATAGATAACAACAATTTATTTTATTGAACCTTTTTTAAAATGCTGGTTAACTTGACAAAAAAGATTTTTGAATTATAGTTTCAGTACTCAAAAATATTTTTGTCAGTTAACCACCATGTTAAAAAAGGTTTATTTATATATATATATATATATATATATATATATATATATATATATTTACTTAATGTTAAACTTCCAATCCAAGATTGGGTTTTATTTTTCATTTTTAAATATTATAAATAAAATAATTCATTGACTAAAATTTTAGCAATTCTTTAATGCATTTAATTTGTATTTTAATGAAAACATTAAATGAAACAAAATATTGAATAAATACTGTTTTATCACAGTTTTAAAGAAGCTTGAAAAAATATTGTATACATTTTAAAATTGTATAAATATTATTAGCTAATATCTCCTATTCTGTACCACTTCCGCCTCTGCCCACAAAAAGTCTCGTGTTCAGCTTATCATAACTCACAGCTAATTCGGATTTATTTATATTAACGAAAAGCGAACTGAGCACGTACTCGTACTCTCACACCCCGTCCTCCGTCAGCGGGAAAACTCACATTGTCTCCAGAGCAAATAGGCAGCCAGTCCCAAGGCGGAGGCACACATGACCATAAATCCCACCGAGCGCCAATTAAAGCAGTCTTTTGTGAGGATCGCATTTCCGGCGGAGGGCGATGAGGAGGAGGAGGAGGAAGAGGTTACTGAGGATGAGGGTGACTTGTTGGAACGCTGACTAGCTGCCAGCAAGGGAGTCGATTCGCTGAGTCCGCAATCCTCTTCAACCCGAATGTGGATATTCTCGGTGGATCCAATGCTGCCATAAGAAGACTGGGAGACGCCGCCTGGCGAGGGACTACGCCGTGCTATCGTAGCGAAATATAGAGCAAACAACACATAATGGAGCTTAGCCAAGATAAATGAGTGGAGGCGATTAGTCAAGTGGCACAGTTTGTCCAGGCCACTCTGATCTTGATGGTCATAGTATTTGCTAATCGCGCGCAGACTATAAGCGCTCACAAAGATCGGCATCTTGGGAATAACTGAGGTGAGGATAGCCAACCAAGATGCTACTATATCTTATCTTATCTACCGCCGGACTTACCCATTCTCACGGCTATGTGACTGGAGTCCATGGTTAAACTGCTCTCGCTGCAGCCTCGGCATCAAGGTGCTGCTGCTGCTGCTGCTGTGGAGTGGGTCAGTCCCTTACCGGATCGCACTGGAACGCACCACTTGATCGATCAGTCGAAGCACAACCACTGCTAACAGAATGCATAAAACGACTGAGACGAGAACAAGGGAGAGAGCCCGCATAAATCATCAGCTGGCGGGTTTTTAAGGGGTCTCTTATCAAAATATACTCTTACACTCTCTTAGGTACAACTTTAAAGCCTGGAGTAACATTCGCATTGCGTTTATTTGCCTTTCGCTTTCTGATATCTTCAACTAGACTCTAATAACAATCATAAATGGGTTTCGCTTTATACACAGAAGTTGGCTTTGCTTAATTTACAGTGCAGAGGCTGCTCCTCCCTTAAGACTAACTTAGGCCTGGGAACCGTAATAAGTTATGAGCATGCTAGCCAGTCCAGCCACAAAAACACACACAATTGGACACTGGACGAAGGACTTGGCTGAGGACTTGGAACCATTTCTAAAAAAAACTTCACGAAAGACAAGACAGTGTGTTAAAATCGTTCGAAAATCTAAAAGAAATGCATTCGCTTAGGTGCCTAAACTAAACTTATTAGGTTGGGAGTGGCCCAATCCAGCAGCTGGCCATTTCAAGGGTTCCTGCGCACACACACAGCCTTTACTTGAAGGTCCTCCAGATCTGCCAGGTGCACAGGGCAGCCGAGAGCAAGGAAACACCGCGGTGCAGGTATTTGGTTTTCGAATTGGGCGAATAGCCCAGGATCACAGGCGAGGATACATCTGTCAGTGGGAGTTTCTCCAACACGGTGTCGTTGTTTTCCACCTGGGGAATAGGCCAACAAATTAGTGGGTTTATCTAGGATGTAGGGGGAGTATAAGTTCAAACCTGATATTGACAGCAAGGATCGTAGTTCCAGGACACCGTGTAGAGTCCCGTGCAAAAGAGCGAGAGGGCACAGGCGGGGGCTGCAATGATGGGGCGATCCCGCCAGAGCAGGCTGGCCACCAGGGAAACCACTCCGGTGGCAACCGCTGTCTTGTGCAGGCAGTTGCCCACCCAAATCCAACGACCTGTAATTACAAAGGATTTTTTAATAATTAAATTTTAATTTTTTTGGGAGGATTGTTTGTATTATCAGGATTCGCTTTGCAAGTACTCTAAAAATTTGAAAAAAAAAAAAACGAGGACGGAAGCTAGCTTCGGCAAGCCGAAGTTTTAATACCCTTGCAGATTTTACGAATTAAAACTTGACTAGACTAGCAACATGAATTAATAAACAACAAAATATTTTATAATTGAAAAAATAAAATTTTAAAATTTTTCACCCTATTGTTCCTATGGGAGCTATAGGATATAGACGCCCGATCGGCACGCGCGTTTACCCTAATGAAGGTACGCACAAAAAAATACGATTTGGAAAGTTTCATGGGAATAGCTAATATTTTGCGCGAAATATCCTGAAAAACGTCAAATTTTGACCGATTTCACCCTATTGTTCCAATGGGAGCTATAAGATATAGACGTCCGATCGGCACGCGCTTTTACTGATCAAGGTACGCACAAAAAAATACGATTTGGAAAGATTCATGCCAATAGCTCTTACACTGAGCGAAATATCTTCATTTTTGTGAAAGCTATATCCGATTGTTCCTATGGGAGCTATAGGATATAGACGTCCGATCGGGTCGGCTTTCAAACTTGATCTGCGTACACATGTTTTAGGACGACTGTGAAAGTTTCAAGGCGCTAGCTTTCAAACTGAGCTCGCAAACGGTATTGAAACAGACGGACAGACGGACAGACGGACAGACGGACAGACGGACATGGCTATATCGACTCCCCTATTGATCCTGATCAAGAATATATATACTTTATGGGGTCGGAAACGTCTCCTTCACTGCGTTACAAACTTCTGACCAAAATTATAATACCCTCTGCAAGGGTATAAAAAATTAATACGATATTACTTAGATATATTTAATAAATTTTTGCATTAAAAAATAATCCATTTTTAATAAATGGTCATTAAAATAATTGTTTTTATAGTGAAACCTTGTTTATAAATATGTTAGTTCGATAAGTACGCCTATAAATATGCTACAAAAACAGAGTCTAGGCTTTATGTCAGTAAATTTCGGTACGGTTCATTACAAATTTTATGTATGTTTAATTAGATTTAAAACTATAAAAACATTAGGTATTTTAAAAACAGGCTTCAAGAAAATTACAATTTTCTATGAGGAGTAATCCTTATAGGAAGTGTTCCCAAGATCTCACCAGTTTCGTCGCCCAATCGCGGTGGCTCTATGATAATGAAGTCCACCTTGGCCTCCAGCGCCTTGTCCAATTCCGCCTCGAATCTTTCATGGGCATTGGAACTGTCGTAGACCTCGCGGATGACATGGAAAGTGGGCACTTTACTCGTGCTGCAAAGAGAGAGGAGTCGTGTATAAATCAATCATGGCTATCTTGATCTGGAAACCAAGGTTAAGGTCGAGATTAAGTCCCAATCGTCAGAAGCAGAAGCAGAAGCCATTGTCCGGGGGAGATAAATACAGAAGCCGCCTGCTAAATTGCATAACCAGAAAAGGTGCACTTTAAGATCTGGAACTGTGCCGCACCCGCATTTAATTCGTTGCATAATCCGCACTGCATCAACGTCACTCGGAGTAGTATTTACCTTTCAATGTTTCTGCTAACCATTTTGCTAATAAATTTGTTGTTTTTTATTTTGTTAATAAACTCAGTGCGGCCGCAGCTGGACCGTTAAAATATACCAATTAGCTGAGAAATTAATACCAACATCTGCAATTCCCTAAGTGCAATATACCAAATAAATACTGTTTTGAATTATATCGTAAACTGGGTACTTGGGGTTAATAGTTAATTACTTTTGTAACGCATACCCATTTCGTTGGAAATAAAAAAGTAATGCTAATAAAAACACTGGCCACAAATACCAATCGCTCTAATAGATTATGGCCAATGTGCCACCACCAGCTTAGCTGTCTCCGATAGTGCCATCACCAATTTACGATATAAATCTATTGTAAATTTACGATTAAGTTAACTGGGGATTTTAGTGCTCTTAATAAACAGTTAATTGGAAAATTGAAAATGGAAAAGCATCATCATCGCCTGCCGCTGCCGGAATTGCAGGACGACAAGCACCGGCACAAGCAGTGCAACGGCGAGAACAGCAATCGCTTCCGGCCGCCGAAGTACAAGACGCGCGGCTACATTGCCGTGGACAACAACAATCTGAATCGCAGCCAATCGCTGGGCTCCTGCAGCGCCAACAGTTCGCAGATCGCCCACGCGATTTCCTTCCGCGACGCCGGCTGTCCGGCTGATGTGAGCACGCTGCCCTCGTCGCCCGTTCAAGCGGAGCTGAGCACCCTGTCGCTGTCGCACTTTGAGTCCTGCTTCGAGCGGCTGGCCAAACTGGGCGAGGGATCCTTCGGCGAGGTGTTCCAGGTGCGCGATCGCACCGACGGACGGCTGTACGCCGTCAAGATCTCCAAGCAGCTGTTCCGCGGCGAACAGTACCGGGCCGAGCGACTGGAGGAGGTGCGGCGGTACGAGGAGTTCTCCGGCCACGAGAACTGCATCCGGTTCATCCGCGCCTGGGAGCAGTACGACCGGCTGTACATGCAGATGGAGCTGTGCCGCGAGAGCCTGGAGCAGTACCTGCTGCGCTGCCAACGGATTCCCGAGGAGCGCATCTGGCACATACTGCTGGATCTGCTCAGGGGCCTCAAGTCGCTGCACGACCGGAATCTCATCCATTTGGACATCAAGCTGGACAATGTGCTCATTGGCGAGGATGACGAGACCTGCAAGCTGGCGGACTTTGGCCTGGTCATCGATGTGGACAGGGCCAATAGCCATCATGCCACGGAGGGAGATTCCAGGTATATGGCTCCCGAGATCCTGCAGGGCCACTTCTCCAAGGCGGCGGATATCTTCAGCCTGGGCATCGCCATGCTGGAGCTTGCCTGCTACATGGATCTGCCCTCGAACGGTCCACTTTGGCACGAACTAAGGCACGGCATTCTGCCCGAGGAGTTCATAAACAGTGAGTTTTAAAGGGCGAATCCTAGTGTTGCTTAATCACATTTCTCATTCACCACAGAAATATCCCTGGAGCTGCAGTCGGTTATCAAGTCCATGATGATGCCTGATCCTGCGCAGAGACCCACAGCGGATCAGCTACTCTCACATCCCAAGCTGCAGCACCTGCAACAGAAGCGCAAGTCGCTCATGAATCTCAGCATGCTGGTAAGAGATCACCAGCTCAACTTAAGGATCATTTCTAATCTGTAACTAATTTGCAGTCGCGGAGTTTTAGGCGATCTCGTCGCGCCGTCTGGGATAAAATGTGCAATTGGAAAACGTCCGCTTTTCGTTATTTCCTCTACTTCCTGGAGGTCCTGCATTTATGCAAGCCCATTGCTCCCTCACAGCCCAAGATTAACATTCTTCCCGCCTCGCCCTCGTCCAAGGGAGTGCCTCCAGTGCAAAGGGTGGAGTTCCAGCTGGTTGGATCAACACCCATTGCCAATCGCGACTGTTACGCCTCCGACTTTCTTTCCGGCGACGATGCTCTAGACCTATCCAATCAGGGTTCCCCGCATGTAATGAATTCCACGCCACTGAATACCAACCAGGGGAAATCTCGCATGGATATGCTGAAAAATAAGTGAGTTTCCTTGCTCGATTTGCTATAGACAAGCCTATAACCTAATCCTTTTTTTCAGCGTGGACTCGATGGGCAGGTTTGTCCAGGTGCATGATTTTGAAAGTCCCTGCACCGCTCTGTCATCCGCCAAGGTCCTCGACACCTCCTCGTTCCGGCGCAAAAAACTCTTCGACCTGGAATATGACGACGAGTGAGTTCGAGGCCCACGAAAAGTGAAACCCAATGAATTTATAATGCAAACAATATATATCAGTTAAGACACGAATACCAGATACATATGGCAACAGAATATATCGTTAATTGTATTTAGCTTAGTTCTAGACTGTAGAGTTGTACGAAGTTCCCTAGATTTAGTCTTACAATTGTGTAATGTTAATGCTTCTTTAGAAGAACTTGTTGAACTTGAACATATAATCATGTGATATATATACGAAAAGCGATTTGAGAAGTTTAAAAATAAAAACTTATAATTGAAATTACATAGAAGTGAGTTGGGAAATCAAATTGGTATTCTTTTTCGAGTTAAATATATAAAAGATTTGAAAATCTTGATATTATTTTCAAAATAGCTAGAAAAAAGCTAGGGCGGCAGAACTTATCACGTCTCGTGTTTCTAACCATCTGGCAACGCTAATTGCTCACACGTTTTTTGAAAAACGTAAACAAAATATATAATTTTAACAAAATGACCAGGAAAAAGGCTCCCAAGAAGAAAACCGAGGTTATTTTCGACAACAAGAAGCGCATGTAAGTAAGGAGCAACCAAATATAACAATAGAGGTTACTGATTTCCCACCTAAATCCCGCAGAGAGTTCCTCAGTGGCTTCCGGAAGAGGAAGAACGAACGGCGATCGCGGGCCAAGGCGGAGCTGGAGAGGAACCTCAAGAACGAGCGCAAGCGCATCCGCCAGGAGGTAAAGGATGGCTTCAATCACCTGAAGAAGACCTTCGAGCCCCTGCGCGAACTCACCGAGGAGGACAAGAAGGAGGAGGAGCAGCAGCAGCAGCAGGAGGAGACCTACGAAGATGACGAGGTGGAGGTGAAGATCGTGGAGCTGACCACCAATGATCTGGCGGCCAAGCGGAACATGTTGGGCGCCAACACGGCGGAGGAAAGTGAGCCCGAGGAGCAGGAGCCGGAAAGCGAGGAGGATGAGGCCGACCAGGCCAACAGGATACCCGGCATGGACTTCGATCCCAATGCCCGCAAACGCAAATCCAAGACGGACGACGAGGAGCAGCAGCCCAAGGCCAAGAAAGCCAACGGCGGCAGCACATCCCAGCCAGAAATCAAGAGCAAAAAGGATCTCGATCGCCTGATGAAGACCAAAACGCTAAAGAAAATGCACCAGAGCAAGTTGTTCAAGCAGAAGGAGCGGCTGGACAAGAAGAACAACCAAAAGAAGGCCAAGCGGGACCGCAACAACACCATCAAGAGCGTTCCCAAGCACCAGCGGAAGCAGCTCAAGTATGGGAAGTCCAACCAGACCAAATATCGCAAGGGACGGATGGTCAACAAGAAGGAGCTGCGGCGGAAGCGCAACGCCGACTAAGTTTAGCTGTTAGCTTTTAGTTTGTTTTACGGTTTATTTACTATTACTCTAGTTGATCAAATAAACTGTATAATTCCTGGCTTGTACAATAATTTCGCTAATACGCCGGTCGATTTTCTCTCGTTCATGTTCATATTCATAGTACATATACATCCAACATGCTTTATTTTTTGTGGTTTTCTTTTGTTTTTTTTTGGGTTATTAACATTGGCAATATCGCTGCTCGCCGCTGTTCGGTTATGCTCTATAAATAAAAGGGGGGCGCCGCTAAAATTACACTCGATTTTTCATGGGTCTAGGTCTATTCTCGAATTCTATGTACAAAAGTTTACTTGCTTAAAATATTGGGTTGCTTTATTTCCATTATGCGCAGCTGTTAGGCATTCTAAGTGCTTTCTTAGGGGGGTTTAACATTTTTTAAAAATGAAACAGAGCGCTAACCTTGCTTTCTTATGAGTGGCGGCATTCCAATGCATAGAAACCAAGTCCTGCCAAACACAATGTATATGTATAAAATGCCAAACACAATATCTTGCACTCTTTTCTCATACTTAATCATACGCTTAGGTTCTAGTGGGGGTCGTGCTTGGGTGGGGGTTGGGATTGGGATGATTTTCGGGGGCAACAGTTATGCTCTAGCTTATAGCTTACAGTCCTAGGCCTACTCCTACTTCTAATATGTTCATCAGCAGTTAAAAAACGTTTACAAAACTCATGTGAAATTGAAATCCAATAACAAATGCACACGCCGCAGTCGCATCGACGTCTCCTGATCCTCCTCCTCGCCTATCCGCATCCAGTTAGGATTGCTGCTGCTGCTGTGCCGATGGCTGCCGCCGGTTGAAGCCACCGCCGGCGGCCAGGTGACGCTGCATGGCCTGGCGCTGGAACTTGGAGCCCCCAGGTCCGCCGAAGCGGTTGAACTTGAACTTGTTCCGCTGCTGGAAGTTCTGCCGGAAGTTCTGGTTGTAGAAGCGAGGAAATCCTCCTCCCCCGCCGCCGTTTTTGTTCCAGCGCTTCTGGCCCTCGTACTCCTGGAATGGATTGTAGCCGGGCGTGCTGTTGCTGCTATTGTTTCCCTTGGCCGCCGATCCAGACTTCACCTTGCGCTGCCTGCCACGATCCATCTCGTTCTCCTCCTCGTCATCGAGGTCCCGCTGCCGCTGCTCTCGCGCATCCACCAGAAGCTGCAGAAAACAAAGCAATCAACAATTAGGATTAAGTTTTCACTATTGAGTTAATGGGAGTGGGCTGACATGCGCTTGGTAATGAAGCTTATGCAGATGAGGAGGTACGCTCACGGAAAAAACACTGGGATGCATATTGTATATTCGAAATGGGTGAGTGGCTTACGGTTTACGGATCACGGTGACAGGTTATCAGGCTATCAGGCAACACGGTTGAATTTGGTGGCGTATCAGGCGGTCAAATCATAAGCAGTCAAATCATAAGCTTCATTGCACGGGGGCAGCTCGGATGCGGAGTCATCGGGTGAATTACCTAGGCTCCTTTGACCTTTGCCACTCTCTCTACAGTCTTAACGCTTGGTTAAAGAACGCAACGGAACGGAAACCGTCAACGCAATCACAGACTATTCGGGGTAATCGTATTGTTTGTATTGTGTGTGTGTGTTTTTGGGTGCTTTGCTTGCTTTGTGGGGGAAACAGAAAGGGCCTCGCCTCCGCCTCCGCTTCTGCCGCCTCCTACCGGCAATCGTCCGTAAGACGATCCGGATCGGGTGCGTCTGAAACCGCCGCCACTGCAATTACTGCCACCGAGCTCTCGACGATATCGCTGCCATCCACACTGCCGTGACCAGCTATCCGTTTCGCACAAACCAACTCAAAAGGCTAAATGAATGGGGGATAATGTGGAAACAAATGCAAATTACAAACAAGTTCGTTTAGTAAATCAACACAATCCAATTGCATTTCATGCAGCCACTAAGCGAACGACAAAGATCGAAAGGAAAGTAAAGAGGAAAGACCAAAAGACCAGCCAAAGTACAAACAGTTTAGTAAAAGGTGCAAAAGCAATAAGATTTGAGTTGAAATTTAAATTTTAACAATATTAGTAGGATTTTAATGAAACAGCAACAATAGTTTTAAGCTCCTTTAGAAAGTTTCCTCTCTATAAAGTTTAGAATAAAGTTTAGATGAAGCGGTAGGCTTGAAACTGAAACCCTCAACCCTCAACTCACCTCCTTTTCCAGCTCCGCGGGCTTGCCATTCCAACTAAGCACCGAGGAGCCGTATCCGCGATGCGATTGCTTCAGCAGCTCGTTAATGGTGCTCCCATTGGAGGTGGCTTCGCTCTGGTAGCCATTACCGATCCTCGGCTGCTGGTGCGACTTCACCGCGCTGCCATTGAGCAACTTCTGGCGCTTGGCGCCTGGCGTTGTGGGGGAGTCCGTGGAGGGTTTGCTGCTGGCGAAGGGATTGCGATGCGTCTTGCTGGGCGTCTGGATCTTGGCTGCGGGCGCGGGCGCTTCCTCCTCCTCATCATCGTCGTCATCCTCGTCGTCGTGGTTATTATCATCGTTTCGGGTTACCTTCCAGATACCCGTCTTCGATTTGATAACCGCTGGCGAGGGTGGCGTCTTGGGCGAGGGTGGTGCTCTGCTTTGTGGGTGCCAGCCATTGGTTAGCTGGATGCTGGGCTGCTCCTCCTCATCGTCGTCGTCCTCACTCTCCGCCGACTTCTTCAGGCTCTTGAATATCTCGTCTATGGCATCAGTCTTTTGTTTGCTGCCGCTGTTAACGTGAACCGATGACGACGAGGCGGAGCCATTGGTGTGACCATTGGTCTTGCTGTGACCATTCTGCGTCTGTCCAGACGACTCCTGATCCGACTCGCTGGAGTCGGCTCCACTTCGACGCTTCCGGGGATTGGGCAGTGGCGCCGCCGCCGCCTCCTCCTCCTCGGAGGCCGATTCGTAGGGCACTAGACTTTTGAGTGGCGCTTTGACGGGAGTCTTTACCTGGACCTTCACCGGGGACTTTGGCTTCTCCGTGTGTGAATCCTCCGTCATCTTGGGCATGCTCGGCAGCTGGGCAGTCGTTGGCCTGGGTGTCAACTCCTCCTCCTCGCTGTCCTCATCATCCTCCGAGGAGATTGGCAGATATTGTTGCTGGTTCATTGATTTGTGGTTGCTGCTGTTGCTGCTGGTGGAGGAACTTTTGTTACCATTTGCAGTGGGAGCTGGAGCTGGAGCAGCATCGCCTTTAGCGAGTGCGCCAGCCAGTGAAGGCTTCGCAGATTCCTGAAACTTTCCGTTCTGTTGGTGCTGCTTGAATTGGATCGCCGTCTTCTGGGCATTGCCATTGCTGTAGCCGTTGTTGTTTATTCCGCCCGGCGGCAGCTGTGGACCGATGAAACGGTTGGGCGAGGACACAGTCGTTGCTGCCGCCACTGGCAGCGTACTATGTCCATTGGTGAGACGCACTCCATTTGGCCTATTGGCCGCCGGACTGGCAGACTGTGAGAGGTCGAGTTCGTAGAACATTATATAGGCATTTGTGTTGCAGACACTCTGCATGGCGATAGGCCGCACGTAGCTGTCGTCGAAGTTGTAGTAGCTGCCCGCATCCGTGGACCCAATGGCCGTGTAGTGACCGCAGTGCTGGGAAACTCCCAGATGGGTGACCATCGAGACCAGGCGGTAGGTGAGCGGCTGAGCCTGGGCAGCTGGCGAACGGGCTGCGTATTTGCTCAAATCGATGCGTGGCTTGAAGGCGATCGCCTTGGTCAGTTTGTTGCCGATCATGGAGAAGCGCTTTAGCTGGATGCACAGCGTAATTGGGGCGCGTTCTAAAGAGAACTGTTTAGTTGCAGATACCTAAGAGAAAGATTTAATTAGCATATGATATATATATTAAATATAAACCAGAAAACCCACCTTCTTCTTGCAGCCCTCGCACTTGTAGCCCATATCCTCGAGCCGCTCGCGGGAAAAGTGTCCCTCGAAGGCATCCTCCAGAGAGTCGGCCTTGCGGATGTCGAGCAACAGATCCTGGAAGTGCTGGAACGTGATGGACACGTGGTTGCAGCTCAGACAGCGCACCTCGCTGCGCAGGTAACCGCCGAAGATCTGTCCCAGCGGCGTTGTCTCCTTCACCAGCTGGTCCAGCTCCTTGTAGTTGCGGAATCGCATCAGATAAGCTCGCTCCATGGCCTCGACGAGAAAGCGGAGGAACTCATGGGCATCCTCCTGCCGACCGACGACCATGTGCTTGCAGATCTGCTTCAGCTTCGAGTAGATGAGGAAGGGCCTGACCGCCGACTGATTGCTTTGGGTGGCCAGCAGGGTCTTGGCCATGGCGCAGACGATGCAACAGCCACCGGATTCGGCCACATTGCAGTTCTCCAGATGCGCCTGCTCCGAGACGAGCCAATTGGCCAAAGCGGGGATGTGCAGGAGCGCCTGGAGCGTCGAGTTGAGGTAGCAGGTGTTGCCCACATTGATCATTCCCGTGCCCACCTGCCATTTGCGGTCCGACTGCTTCCAGCCGATGCGTATGTTCTCGCGCGGATAGAGAATCCTCTTCGGCTTGGGCAGCTCATTGGGATTGGGATTGGGATTGCTGTTGCTGTTTGTGGCATGCGGATGATTTGTGTTGTGGTGCTGATTGGACTGATTGTTGGGGTGCTCCGCCGTGGACTTGCGACTTGCGCCGTTATTGTCTGCAAAGGGAAAGAGTAGGGTAGCCAGTTTAAGCACGTGCCACAGGAGGAGGCAGCAGGGCCACAGGAGCAGTTTGTAGAGCAGCCACAGGGTGAACCCGTCCACCATTATCACAGTCATAATGCCATTTAGTGGAGAAGGGCCCTTGGTCGGATTTAGTCACTCGTCGCCCTGCCTGCCGTGCCGTGCTGCCAAAATAAAAATAAAACGAGCTGCGCTCGCTGTGGAAACTGCTGACACACAATCGCACACACACTCCCACCTGAGTTCAGTGTTGCAAAGGGTGCGCGTATTTTGTACCTATTTCAAAATATTATCTCAACTAAGTTGGCGGGTCTTTAAAATTAAAAATGTATATCTTAAAGAACTTGAGAGCTAAACCTATGCCAACGCAGAATAAAAAAAAAGTAATTTTAAAGAAAGCTAATCTTATCAATATTTGCATACTAATTTATTTGAAAATGGCAAATTTATTGGAACTATTATACAGCTGAAAATGAATCAGCATGTACAAAAATTAAAAACTTATATCTTAAAGAACTTGAGGGCAAAACCTATGACAACACAGAATTATAAAAAGTAATTTTAAAGAGAGCTAATCCTGTCAAATGTTTGCATACTAATTTATTTGAAAATTTATAATTTATTTGAAAATTAATAATTTATTCGAATTATAATACAGCAGAAATTGAATCAGAATGTAGTAAAATAATAATTCCTTATAATGTAAAAGTCCCTTATTACTATAATAACAGTGTATCCCCATCTAGATAAAGTATCTTATTTTATCATTGACGGCCAAAATGTACTCAACATTTGTACCTAGGTACTTATATCTCCGCCTTTACCCAGCACTGCAGTTTTTTTTGATAACAGCGAGCGTGTGAGCGGGACGGCGATTGGCAGAAGAAGAAAATGACTGCTGATAACAGCAAGCGAGTGAAAGGGACGGCGAGTAAAGAACCAGACGCAGTGTCTGTTCCGAAGCCATGCGGTTGTCTCGCTCCGACTCAGGGGTTGGGGGCGGCACAGTGTTGCCAACTGAATTTTTGGCGCGACCTAACAGTGGTTGTTGTAGGCCCCCCTTCTCCCCTTTTCGGCCTTTGTAACTGCGGTGTTCAAGGCATTGACCAGGCCAAAAGGAAAAAAGAGCATTCTTGGAGCAGCTCCTGCTTCTTGGCTTTGTGTCCACTTCCTGCTCTGCGTGAATCACTTTCCCAATCTCGCCTTTGTTTGCGCTCTTTTTATCACACACAAGCAGATTGCGACGCATTTACCGCATCGAAATAAAAAAAAAACAAAGCCAATAAAAGTACCGCTGGCGCTGGCCATGTGTGCGGGGGAAAGAGACGGAACTAGAGAGGGGAGCCCTCGTGCTTTTCTTTCTTTTTTTTTGCCGCTGGAAAGGCAGCACGTTTTTTTCCGCCACAACTTCTGATTCACAGAAGTTGAGAAGAGGCGTTGTTTTTGTTGCTGCTGGCTCTGCCTTTCCAGCTCACTCTTTGCGGCGTTGTACTTGTTTTGCTTTTTCCGCGTATTCCTTTGCATTCTGTTTACACGTACACGTACGCCACCCAAGCGCCGTCACACACGCACACACCCACACGCGAGCGCCTAAAAAGTACAGGTATGCTGCTCTGCCGCCGCCGACTGCGCTGCACGCAGAATGCAGGCAGAGCCATAAAAAAAAAATTCTAGCGGAAAAACAACACACGTGATTTGTGGAGGGATATTCCCAAAAGATCTGGCGAAAACAAACGGGAGGATAAATACATATCGCATATACATATACATATGTATAGATATAGCACATGGAAAATTGCGCAAAATTGCCACACAAAGAGGAAACACAGACGAAGGCGGAGACGAAGAAAAGCCACTTTTGCAGGCAACTTTTCGGTTTTATCGTTTTATTTTTACCCCACTCGTTTACTCACCATGTCCATTTGCGCCCACAACTTTGCCCGTGTGGTTTTTGCTACCAAAACCATTGATGGCGCCCGGATTTCCAGGCTTGATGACAATATATTTGGACTTGAGGTTATCCAGCACCGAATCGTGGTAGTTGGGCACCTCCTCGTACTCGATTTTGGCCATCAGGATGCGCTTGGCATTGGCCACGATGTGGTTCTGCAGGCTGCCGGAGGAATCCTCGCCGGCTTTGGCCTGGTCAGCGGCGGAGGAGCCGCCCGACGAGGAGTTGCCGCCCAGGGATTCGCGCAGCGCTGCGTTCACCACATTCGCCGTCTCGCACACGGCCATCGAAACGGGCATGGCGATGCTCCGGCTGGGGATTTGTGGTGGAATCTTGAAGGGGTTGGGGGGTGGTTAGCTAATGCACATCGGCGATCCGCGCAGATCCTGTAGATCCTGCTCCTCCTCCTCCTCCTTCGCTCGGCCCACACGTCCTTCAAAACTGTCTTTGCTCTCCCGCTCCCCTTACTCCACACAGTCTCTCTCTCCCCACTCTCTTTCTCTGCTTCTTGCTTCACACACCGACTGCGACACCGACACACGCACACTAACGCACTCGGGAACAGTCTTTTTCTGGCTTTTTCGCGCTGCGATTTGTTGGCCAACTGAACATTACGATCGGGGTTTTATTCGCCAGCAAATCGCCTACAAATCTCGAACGAATTTAAAACGAATTGTCTGCTTTCGAAAATAATGACGATTCCTTCCCTCGTGTTTCTTCCGACTGCGGATTCTCTTTTCGCACCATATTCGTCGTTTGGGGATGCCAACTGGCGGCGAGGCGACGCGGCCGGGGGAAATGTGCTAACGCGATGGCTGAAAAATACTAAAACGTACGTATATACCGTTTGGTATTTTCCCCCGATTTCGTTTCCGGTATTTAAGCAGCAGCCGACTATCGACATTCGCAAAATTACAGTCACCGTCATGGACTTAAAAAGCCTGTACTTAAAAAGAGAAGTCCTCAACATTAAGCTGGAGGAGGCCCAGCTTAAGGTTAAAATGCTTGAGCTTGAACTGCGAAGGCTCGATCTGGAGATAGAGGAGAAAATTATGGACGGAACCGGGACAAGTGGCAGCGGCTCCAAGGTAGCTCCTTTGACAGTCGCCTCCATCAAAGAGTCACCGGCCCAGGTAGCTCCTGCCACACTCTCAGCCATTCATACTTTATATTAAATAAACCCACTTTTTTAGATTTGAATAGCACTCGATTTTCATCCCCATCCTCATCGGTCTCCCGGGAGCCCCTGCCCGGTCACATCTCATGGGTGGATTCGACGAAAGCAGTTCTGAAAAATAAAACTGTTGTAGATTCATATTCATTACGAAACGATCAGCTCAACTCACCAGGTTCAGGGATCCTTACTAGTAGCGCCAACAGCAAACAAATTTTTGCCCCATAGTTTTTTTTAATTATTTAAGATGTCTCAAAAACAAAGTTTATGAATTATCGCGGTAAAGTTGCTTATAGAGGTGGCAAACCATGGATGGTGGACACTATACAGTGTTGGTTTATGACGAAGATACTATCGCGATAGTTTTCAAACCATCGATAGTGGTACCTGGCTCCTCACTACCGCAAGCATTTTGATGAGATTCTTGAGCTAGAATCTAGAATTTAATTAACGCCCATCCGCCTAGCAGAATGGCCTCCTCCACAGGTCTCCTGGTGGTGTCCAACATCAAGCAGCTGGGCAAATCGCTGCGCGCCATCGAGAAGTACGTGAACTCGCTGTACATCCACTTGAATGTGGCGGGGTCAACGTCCACTGGGTCACCAGTGCCACCGCCTCCCGTTTGGGGTCGTCTAATCTCGCAGCTCTACGCGAACAGCAGCAGCTATGTGGGATCCCACCAGTTGGATCTGCGCGTCCTTGTTTCGCCCTTGAGAGGAGGAGCAGCCAGTGGCTCTTTGAAATTGCGCCAGCCCGTGGATCTGATCTTTTCGGATGCGCATCATCCGGAGTTGTGCGATCGTTTAAGGGCTGATCTTAATATCAGCAAACCCACCATCTTCCTGGAGGACGCGGCCACCTCGGATTTGAGTGGTGAGGAAGATGCCACGCAGGTTCCAAAGGTTTATCCCTCGGTTGTCCTGGGCGGCACCTTCGATCGCATCCATTTGGGCCACAAGATATTCCTCACCCAGGCGGTGTTGCGCACCTGCCAACGCCTCGTTGTGGGCGTGACCACCGCCGCCATGACGAAGGGTAAGCTTTCCAGATGATTTGGCACAAAAAAAACCGAACCTTATCTTATCTTATCTGCAGGAAAGACGCTGCCTGACTTGATTCTGCCCGTGGAGGAGCGAATTGCGCGGCTCAGGGAGTTCCTAATGGACATAGACAGCACGCTGCAGTACGAGATTGTGCCCATCGACGATCCCTTCGGGCCCACGCAGGTGGATCCCGACCTGGACATGATTGTGGTCAGTGCGGAGACGCTGCGTGGAGGTCAGAAGGTCAACGAGATACGCCACGCCAAGCAGCTGCGGCAGCTGGAGATCTTTGTGATCGACATTGTGGAGAGCAATGTGCACGACGGCATCCACGAGACGAAGGTCAGCTCGAGCAATACGAGGATTGATCTGCTGGGTTCCCGGTGGCGAAGGCCAGAGCAGCGGACGCAGCTTCCAGCGCGTCCCCATATCATTGGGTTGACCGGTGGGATTGCTTCTGGGAAAAGTAAGATGGCAGAGAGACTTTCCAAGATGGGAGCCCACGTAATCGACTGCGATAAGGTGGCCCACGATGTTTATGAACCGGGACAGGTGTGTTACCAAAGGATTGTGGAGCACTTTGGCCAGGGAATTGTTTCCCCCACAGATAATCGCATCGATCGCACCAAGCTGGGTCCCTTGGTCTTTGCCGATCCCAAGCAGCTGCAGGCCCTTAATGGTATCGTTTGGCCGGAATTGATAGCCGAGGTGAATAGGCGGTTGGATAGGCTGCGTTCCCAGGCGGAGGTGCCCCGCGTGGTGGTCCTAGAGGCGGCTGTACTCCTGCGAGCTGGCTGGGAGATCAATTGCCACGAGGTGTGGTCCATGATTGTGCCGCCCGAGGAGGCTGTGCGGCGAATTGTCGAACGCAACCACCTGAGCGAGGAGGAGGCGCGGAAGCGGCTGGCCAGTCAGGTGCCCAACCCAGAGATCGTGGCCAAGTCGCATGTGATCTTCAGTTCGCAGTGGGATCACGAGTTCACCCAGAAGCAGGCGGAACGGGCCTGGCAAATGCTCACCAAGGAACTGGACGCGCACCAGAGCAGCCTTTAAAACAGATGGATATTCAAGTTACCTGCTAGCTTTTGTTGTTGATTCTTTATGCATTTGTTTACATTGCTTAGTTGTAAGTCGAAAGTTAAAGAGAAGTTCCGGTTTGTCATTGGGAAAAGGATTGAATTTTCAATGGAATTCTAGTGACTCTCGCCCTTCTTGCCGGCCACTCGCTTAAAGTCGTTCATCTTGGTGGTCATGATGGGGGAGCCAATGAAGCCGATGTAGTCGATCTGCGTCACATCGCCGCCGGACTGATTGTTCTTTACGAAGATCTGGATGTTCTGCACGTTCTGGAACTTGACATAGCGCAGATTCACGGGCACTCCGTTCTCCAGCTCCTTCTCAGCCAGGCTGAAAAGTGAAAGCAATCAATAAATACAGAAAATTATCAAGGATCAACCTAATAGCCACCTCAGATCCTGCACACTGGTCATGGACTCGGCCATGTCAAAGTCAATGGTGCGCGGCTGGTTGATGAACAGCTTGACATCCTTGGGTCCCAGCTGCGCGGGTGCCTTGAACTTGAGCGAGTGGATCTTGACCGCCTGGTTGAAGGTGATGGACAGGATGAGCTGCTCGTCGCAGTCGGACTGCAGGTAGCCGCCGGCGGAGGCCAGGGCGTGCTTCAGATTGTGGTCATCGGCCTCGTTGAGGCACTCGCACTCCTGCTTCGAGATGAACGTGTTCAGCTCCATCTGTTAAAGTTAACTAATTAGATTTAAGAGGTTATAGATTCTGGATTATCCCACCAATCCCTGGCCATAGTCCTCGCCCGCCTCCTCGCCACCGTCGGTGCCGATGTGCTCCTGAATCTTGGCCTCCAGTCCATTGACATCCGCTCCCTGGATGCGGTCGATTTTGGTCCTGTTTCTGTAGAAGATGAACGTCGGCATGGCCGAAACGCCCTGGCCGGCGGCCGTGTCCTGGCACTTGTCCACATCGACCTTCAGGAAGATGGCCTTTGGGTACTTGGTGGGGAACATCTCGAAGATCGGGGCGATCCTCTGGCAGGGACCGCACCAACTGGCCGTAAAGTCAACCACCACCAGGCGGACGCCCGCCTGGGCCAGTTCCGCCTGGAAGTGGGACTCGTCGTTGATCACACGCACGGACATGGCGACAATTAATGGATATTATTCGTTTTTGCCGAGCTTAAAATGTTGTTATTGGGCTTTAAATGCGAATTTTTTTTTAAAAGATGACTGGCATATAGGGATGGCTGGACAACTCACGATAGTATCGATATATTTGGGTTTTAGTGTGGACGTGCATATCATTGTGCTCGGAAAATATACTAAAATATATACTTTTTCATATACTTAATTTAAATAAATTAAATTGCAATTGCAATTAAAAATTTCTAATTAAAATATACACAAATTTGTAAAAAACTTGTTTTACTTGTTTATGTAAAACATACAATTTTCTTTTTAATTTACATACTGATTTTCAAAAAAGCCATCTAGTTGCCCTATTTATTTTATTATACCTTTTAGATTTTCTTACTTTATCTTGACCTTTTTTTTGACTCGTTTTCAAAATTTCCACAGTCAACTTAAATTTTCCGCCCTTGGCCTAGGGTTGCCAAGGCTCCTTACTATTCCTGAGACGGTCCCACTGGCCACTTTCGATAACTATCGGCTCGATACTATCGATTCCACACTTGCCCTACCTCGTGGTGTTTCTGTCGGTCGCATTTTCATTAAAGTCGCCATTTTAAAATTATTAAAGTCGAGTGTGCACAATGGCAGACGTGGAAAAGGAGCCCGAGAAGACCATCGCCGAGGATCTGGTGGTGACCAAGTACAAGTTGGCCGGCGAGATTGTCAACAGTGAGTATTCCTGTAGCGATTCCGAAAGCAATTCCGACTCCAGGAGGCTCTGCTACGTGGCGCTTACACAATTCACAAAAATGCCGATGCCGCTTTCCCTTTTTTTTTGTCGCCACGCGTTGCTAAATCCGCCTATTTCTGGACTCCGCGTCTGCTCGTTTAATTTTAGAAACCCTCAAGGCGGTAATTGGACTCTGCGTGGTTGATGCCTCCGTGCGGGAGATCTGCACCCAGGGCGACAATCAGCTCACCGAGGAGACCGGCAAAGTAAGTGGTGGCTTAAGATCTTAAAAACCCTTAATCCTTTGTCCAATGATTAAGAATTACACCTTTGAGGATCGCCCTCTGGCTTGCCATGTGCTGTGTGGGCTGGGGATCACCTCGTGGTCGCCAGGCGCACGCGGGGATTTACATGCCCCACGTGCCACGCGCTTGTGTACTCGCCTTTGGGCCCCAGGGATTTACAGATTATGAGATCTGAGGACGCACTACTCACTATCATATATCTCTCATTAAAAGAACAAACCAACTAATATCCTCTCTCTTCTCTATAAGGTATACAAAAAGGAGAAGGACCTGAAGAAGGGCATCGCCTTTCCCACCTGTCTGTCCGTCAACAACTGTGTCTGCCACTTCTCGCCAGCCAAAAACGATACGGACTACACGTTAAAGGCCGGCGATGTGGTCAAAATGTAAGTTATTCTCTCATTTCAAGCTTATTCCCTTACTAATCTTTAAAACCTTTACCTATCCACAGCGATTTGGGAGCCCACATCGATGGTTTCATTGCCGTGGCCGCCCACACAATTGTGGTGGGAGCTGGCAAGGATCAGAAGATCAGCGGTCGCCAGGCCGACGTCATCCTCGCCGCCTACTGGGCTGTCCAGGCTGCCCTGCGTCTGCTCAAGTCCGGCGCCAATGTGAGTGTGATAGCCTCTATAATATCCCATAATCCTCGCAAGAAACGGATTGTCTGGCGCGATTCTCCAGCGACTGAACATCTCAACACTTGCAGAGATCAGCGGTGGCAGCTGGCAACAGCAACTGGTCTAATATTTGGGACTGGAGGCTCCTTGCCAGCTGTCCACATGGTTAAATTCTTCTGCAGGCAACGGATTGACTGCTGCTCAGACTCTGGCACAGCTCAGCTCAACGCCTGCGGATAGAAAACGTGTCAATTTCGTGAACTGAACAAGTTTACACCTGAGAAATGTTCGGTCTTTAAAGTTGTCCACATCTGTAGAATCTAATAGGATAGGATTTTTATGATCTGCAGTCAACGGATTGGCTGCTGCTTAAACCATGGCGCAGTACATCTCAACGCCTGCAGAGAAAAGCTGCGTCGCTTTCGTGAACTGAACAAGTTTACATTTCAGAAATGTTCGGTCTTTAAAGTTGTCCACAATCGCATTACTGATTTATGATTGCTTATTATTCTAGCTTTATCTATTGAATGCTATGTGATAGGTGATAAAGATTTATCAATTTGTTTTGCCAAGACAAATGGAGTACTGAATGGTTTTCCTTATCACTTAGATTAATAATAACTATTAATAGCTGAATTAAATACAAGAATTTAATGTTAAAAACTACTCTGTTTACAGAACTACTCCCTCACCGATGCCGTGCAACAAATCAGCGAGTCGTACAAGTGCAAGCCCATCGAGGGCATGCTCAGTCACGAGCTGAAGCAGTTCAAAATTGACGGAGAGAAGACGATCATACAGAATCCCAGCGAGGCGCAGCGCAAGGAGCATGAGAAGTGCACCTTCGAGACGTACGAGGTGTATGCCATCGATGTCATCGTCAGCAGCGGCGAAGGAGTGGTTAGTAATCTTTCAAAAATATCAGTTTTCCCACTTCTATGTTCAATGATTAAAAAAATGCGCTTGAGGCTGACTTGGCTGGAGTGCGGAGTTTGTAGCGAAGGCGTCTTGTACGCTCAGCGGGCTTTTTTAACCCGGCACGTGCAGACACCAATTTCCGGCCGCCTGTTGTCCGGAGATTGTAAGATTATGAGATCTGAGAACGCCAAAAAGAAGCCAAAGTCCTTTTTCAAATGGTCTAAAAACACAATTACTAAATCCTTTTTGCATTCCTTGCAGGGACGCGAGAAGGACACCAAGGTCTCCATCTACAAGAAGTCGGAGGAGAACTACATGCTCAAGCTGAAGGCTTCCCGTGCTCTGCTGGCAGAGGTGAAAACCAAGTACGGAAACATGCCATTCAATATCCGCAGCTTCGAGGAGGAGACCAAGGCCCGCATGGGAGTCGTCGAGTGCGTCTCGCACAAGATGATCGAGCCCTTCCAAGTGCTGTACGAGAAGCCATGTAAGTGTGATATAAATTATTATTTTTTATAATTTTTTATTGGCAAAACTTAATTCCGTATTTGGTACACCTTCGGGTGCTGAGAACGGCCAGACATTTTGCTAGAAAAAACCCCAGGCTTTGACGTCTTCAGCAGTTGCCTCGATGTGGCCTCTGTCTGAACATGCCACTGCCATAAATATTCCTATTATTTTACTAAATTTAACTAGTATAAACCTGAAATAGTTCATCTTTCTAACAACTATATTTCCTTCCATTACAGCCGAGGTTGTGGCGCAGTTTAAGCACACGGTTCTGCTTATGCCCAACGGCGTCAACTTGGTCACCGGCATCCCATTCGAGGCGGAGAGCTACGTGAGCGAGTACAGCATTGCGCAGGAGGAGCTGAAGGTGTGTACTACTTTTCCATGTGATGTAACGTTGAGTACTAATTAGAATTCCCCTCTTTTTGCAGACCCTGCTCACGCAGCCTTTGGGTCCCGTGAAGGGCAAGGGTAAGGGCAAGAAGGCTCCGGCTGGAGCGGCGACAAAGGTGGAAACGGCGCCGGCCGTTGAGACCAAGGCATAGAGTAGCCCGCGCCGATGAAGATCCGCACCGCCGCACCACCAGCAACCCAACAACGGAAACCACAATGTGAACAATTGCGCTGCCTACCGCTGCCGCTCCACAGATTTTTACTATTTCGAATTCGTTGCGTATTAAAGCCCTTTTTGACAACAGAACAACAGAATAGAAGACGGCAACACAATTTGAGGATTCCTCCTGTTTAAACCAGCAGCGAATTGAGAACGCAAAACCATTTCCCCGAGAAAATCCTCCTCCATCCATCGGCAGGGCGGTCGGCCCAGCGCCAACCTTACCTCTTTATTTCCTTTACTATAAGCTGCCTTCGTTTATCGGTTTGTTCAACACCAACGCAACGAAAAAGCAAAGCAAGAACTGTCGTCAAATTGTAACAATTTTAACGCAAAATGATCTTAAATATATAATTCAAGAAAAACGTTATTAACGCTGCGTAGTAGGTATTAAATAAAATTAACATTTTCTATAAAACAGCCGATAAATGCCAAGCGACTTTTTATTTATCTGGCCAATCGAATTCGAGACGCTTTTGGATTGTAATAAATGCACTTGAGAGTTGTGTGTTTATTTTATACTTTTAATTTAGTTTTGATGTTCACATTCACATTATACAATTTGTAATTTAGATTTCTTGCATTTTTAGTTTAAATTTTACAGTCTCATCTTTGAACTCTTGTATTACGAAAGTTGCAAGAATAACTTCGTTATGCTGTCGATCCCAGATCCATTCCAATCCAATCCATATACTTATGCTCTGGCCCATCCCGCCGACTCTTTCCCCTTGCGTCAAACAAAATAAACAACAGAACAAAATACGCAATTGCTGCGGGTGAAGTACAGAAAACACGACGACCAGCACTTGCAGCCGACAAAGATGTGTGGCCGTTGATTAAAAAAGGATCTGGGATTTAATGGTCTGCCGTCGCTTACATACATGGTTTGGTGTACTTTTGTTTTTCGTTGGCCAGACTAATTGTTGACATGCACGTCCATCGGTGCCGAGGCGGTCACGTTGCTCGACTTCTCCGGCGAGTCCAGGTAGATCTTCAGGGCGCGTTCCCGACGCTGCGAGTATCGCGTGGTGGACACACAGCCCACTCGATCCAGGCGAGCCTTCTCCCTGGCGTTCATCTGTCGTCGCTCATCCAGCGTCAGCTCGCGCGCAGGTACGGTCCTATCTCTGTTAAGATAAAAACACTAATCAGTCGAGGCTCTACAGGTGCCACTCCTCCACATCCTGACTTACTGGTAAAGGTAGATGTTGCCCGTCTGTGAGGCGTTCAGCGGATATTTGTCCAGGCTGCAGGGCACCGCGTACCAACTGCTGGACTCGTTGACACTTAACGCCGATATGCTTGTGCAGGGGAAGTTGCTGTTCACCTGCAGGGAAAGCCATAAAGGGTTAGAATCAAGATGGATTAACTGAGGATATTACGTACCTTCATATAGCTCAGTTTGTCCATTGTGATGTTGCTGATCTGTGATAATGAATGCCTCATTTCGCTGTCCTCTGTAAAATATGTGTTTAAAGAAAAATGATCTTAGTTTGCAATAGAGCCCTGCGTGAATCATCAAGTTTTTGTTTTCATAGTATGCCATGAAATTTCAGATTTGTTTAATTCAATTCTATTTGAAATAAATTAAATGTTTTTCTAATTTATTGCGAATTGAATAAATGAATGAATAATTTTCTTTGTGCTTTCTCTTGAGAATTTTTAACAAATCAATGTTAACTTCAGGCAGATTGATTCACAAAATTATGGCCCTTTCTTCTTTAAAACAAATGTCGTTTGAATTATTTCGGAATTCATGCCTTTCATTCATTAAATTCTATTAAACTCAAAATTCTGATTAACTCATTCATGTTAAACAAAAAATTCAAAATAAGTCATTGAATCCATTCATGCAGGGCTTTAGTTTGCCAATGCTGGCTCAACTTACGGTCCAAAGTGATTTCTTGGAACTTTCCAAACTCCATTTTAGCCGGACACCAGCGTCTAACAAATATGGTCAGAGAGTCGTCCTTGGGTTGCGGATTCACACCCTCCTCGCACTCCTGCACAATAAACTGCAATGCACAAACCGAGTTAAATTATCGAACCTCTTCAATTAGATAGATATACCCACCTCAGCTGCGATGGTGGAGCGCATGTCGCAGTAGAGCGTTTCCTCGTTGGCCAGGATCTTGATGGGAGTTCGCCCGCCCTTCAGCCAGATGCGGCAGTTCTCCACCGAGAGCGTGGCATACTTGGCGTCCATGCGGTGCAGCTTGGCCACCAGCTCCTGCTTGGCCTGCTCCACGGTGGTGTTGGCGTTGTAGACCCACTCGCAGACGCAGGGCAGCTTGGACGTTTCGTTATCGATGTCCGCCAGTCGCAGAAAGTGTATCTTGGCCTTGTACTCGTCCTGTTCCAGATTCTTGCCCAGCTCCACCGTCAGTGTTTCGCCCTCGGTGAGCAGAACCAACGAGTTGTTCTGGTTGCTGGACAGATTGTTGTCGTGCTTGCGCTGCAGCTTAAAGTAGGCGCTGGGCACTTGAATGAGCTGCTCGATGTGGCGCTTAAAGGCGACCATGCGCATGTGTGTGCCCACCAGAAGTTTGTAGGCACGCGTGGGTCTCCGCAGCGCAGCCTCCTCGTCGGACTGGTGGCCCGAACTAGAGCCTGTGCCCACTACGTCCACGCACTCCACCTTTGTGGCGTGGAAGAAGTGGTTGGTGCTGGGGGGCAGGAGCAGGGGATCCACCACATCGGCCGCCGCATAGCTGCCGTTTCCATTGCAATACGCATGCACCCGCATCATGGCATCGTGTGAGGCTGCCTCGTCCTCGGGGCTAGACAGTTGCGGCGAATGACTGGTGGAACTGACTTGACTGTCGCCACCGCCGCGATGTGCCAGGTTCTCCGTCTCCACCAGAGTGCGGTCGCCATCGCTCAGGCTGCTGTCCTCCGAGTTCGACTCGTGGCCGTGACTGGGACTGGGTTGGGCCAGCGGCTCCAGCAGATCCCGTTTGTACCGCCTCCAATCGCAGTCATTGCCGGAGGACTCGTGACTCGCTGCTGCGCCATTCATCATGGCGGCATCCACCACATCACCACCGCTGGCAGACTAAAAAGAGTGCAGAGAATTAGTTTCAGCTAATCACCCAAAGTAACTTTTAAACTAGAACCCTGCGTGAATCATTCAATTTTTGCTTTATCATAGTTTGCCATGAAATTTCTGAATTGTTTAATTCAATTCTGTGTGAATGGATGAATGAATAATTTTTATGAATTTCTGGAATTTGCCAAATCTTTTTTGTGCTTTTTTTTGAGAACTAAAAAGTGAAAAATTTGCTAGATTCTTTTTTAAGCTTTCTTTTGAGATAAAAAAGTGGAAATCAATGTTAACTGCTTAGAAAATAAAATTTATGCAGTTTTAATCACAAAATTTCTTTCCTTTCAAAAGAAATTGTCGTTTGAATTGTTTCGGAATTCATTCATTCAATAATTCAATTCTATTAAACACAAATTTCAAATTCATTCAATTCTATTAAACTCAAAATTCTAATTCAAAATTCATTCATATAAACCAAATAATTCATTGAAATTATTCATGCAGGGCTCTATTTCAAACCCACCTCGATTGACTCCACGCTGGGCACACCCAACATCTCGAGGGTCGCGGCATCCGTGTTGGGGACGTTCAAGTAGAAGTATGTTATGGACTTGAACTGGGTGTTGGCCAGGTTCTGGAGATGCTGCAGCGCCTCGGGCGACGGATGGGGATCGTAGGCGACGAAGGCCTTCGGCACCGTGCCGCGCACCGTGGCGAGTAGGAACTGCTGCTCGTTAACATGCAAACGGATTGCGATGGAGCGACGAAGCACCTCGCTGGCCTCCCGCTCCCGCGCTGCTGAGTAAACCAGGAAGGGACCGTCCATCGCCATGGTCGATAGATCTACCTTAAACACATACCAAGTGATGCCATCCGGGGCGTATGTCTCGAACTGCTGATCCTCGGCCCGGTACTCTAGCAAAAAGTCCAGGCTGTAGTTCTGCGAGGCGCGCAACTCGGTTAGTCCCGGGTCGGTGCAGTTCTCCAATGACTGGATAATCGTGTCCATTGTGGAGTTGTAAGCGACCAGACGACAGCGCGAAATCGGGGCAAATTGCTCCACATTCAGCATTTCGTAGGCCGACATCAGCACCAAATTGACGTCGAAACTCTGCGATACATACACCCTGGTGATCTTCATCTTCTTCAGGGAGGGATTATAAAAGTAGACGCGCGGCTTGTACAAATCGGGTAGGGCCAGATCCGTAACCGTGATGTGCCTGCCCAGGCGAGTCACGCGCGTCTCCTCCTCCGAGTGCAGCTTCGGCAGCAGCGTTTTGATGTGCTCCGGAAAGTCGGCCACCTTGGCGACCTGTTCGTTTCGCTTGGCGTCCACCTGCCGATACATCAACATGTACGCATTGGTGCTGGAGGTGTAGGCACTCGAATAGTAGCTGCCATTGGGTCCGCCAAACGAACGCTGGATGTCCTCTTGGGTGATCTAAGCATAAATGGTAGGTTAATTATCAAAAATAACAAAGAAAAGGTTAGCACCTACAGTGGACACATTCTGATCGTTGAAGCAGAACCACTCGTTGTTGTCAAAGTCCTTGATATAAGCATAGTAGTGGCCACCCGATGCACTGCCCGAATGGATCATGATGGCAAATAGTTCGTACAAATACGGTCCGGATCCCTGCTTGGCGCTCTTGCTGGTGCTGCTGCTCATGTCGATGCCCTCGTCCTCGTCGTTCAAATCGTTCTCGTGCTGACTGGAGCTCGCCGTGGTCACCACGCCGCTGCTCAGGTTGTCGTCCTCCATGGCCGAGCCACTGTCCGCCGTGCTGCAATCGTCCACAGTGCCGTTCAGCTGAGAGTTCTGCTCGCCGCTATTGGCGGTCCGATTGACGAACGTGTTCAGGTTGAGCGTCTGCGGGAAAGTTACTCTAAAGCATGGGAATACGAGGAATAAGTAATCAATAATATTTTAGAGACCTTGACTTGTCACCTGTCGTTCAACTTGATGCGGTGCATGGTCTGGTAGTCAAAATCGAAGCGCTTCAGGTGCAGCGTGAGGATGTAGGGGAAGGACTTGAAGTGCAGCCCCTTGTGGGCGTCGCATTTCTTTTTGCACTTCTCGCACAGATACTGGTTGTTGCCGTCGAGCGTCTCCGGTTGGACGAAGGCGCGCAGGGCCTCCTCGATGCTGCCGTAGGCGGAGCTGCTGCCAAACGGACGCACCGGCAGCGGGATGTCCAGGAAGGTGTCCTCGCGCGTCTTCTCCGTATTGCACTCCAAACACTTGACATAATCGTTCATCTTGCCCTCGTACAGGTTGGAAATGAGATTGGCCTGCTTGGTGTTCTTGAACTTGTGCTCCAGGGCGTCGAACATAACGCGGCACAGTTCCTGGATGTCGTGCTGCTGCCAGGCCTCCGTCGAGTCCCAGCCAAAGCTGCGGGTCAGGTCGGTGGTTTCCACCGCTGCCTTGGGAGAGGTTTGCAGATTGAGGAAAAGCTTCTGCAGTTGGTAGGGTATGTTCTTGGCCTCGTTGTCGTTGTCGAACTCCCAGCGATACAGGGCATTCCGGAACTCGGGCGTCATAAACAGCGCCTGCAGCAAGCTGTTTAGGTAGCAGGTCATGGCCTGATTCACCAGACCAACATAGCCCTTGGGTCCGCCGTTCGTCTGCCGGTGTGCCGGTGTCTCTGACTCCGACGTTTCCGTGGTGGCCGAGGACACAAAGTCCGCGGCAGTGGCGTTGGCCCTCTGCCAGGCGGGCAACTCATCGCCTCCGTACTTTCGGCGATAGAAGTTCGACAGAGCCGGAAGCGGATCATCCTCTTGTCCGATCGCAGATGGATCCACCACTCCGGCGCTCACACCCTCGGCGTCCGAGTCTCCAGTTGGTGCCCCGAAATCGTAGCCCGGCCCGAGATTAGTTGGACTGGCTGAGGCACCCAGTGCGAGGTCGTCGTCGGACAACTGCTCGGCATCCGAGATGAACAGGTCCGAGGGAGCATCGTCCACCGGCGAGATGAGGTTGCGACCTTGTGGATACAGTTGCAGTTGCTCGGTGAGCTGCTGCTTGCTTATCGTGTCTATGGGTTCGCAATCCAGCTCCTTAATGGGTGACGACGGCTGCAGTGGACTGAGCAACTCAAGGTTGGCTTTCGCAGTGACTTTTGCCGTCTTCTTGGCCACCGGACTCTCCGGGGAAATGACTTTGGCGCTCGCCTCCGTAGAAACCTCGGGACTTTCCTCCGGACTCGCCTTGGGAGCTTCTTCTGCAACGGGTTTGGGTTTCGAACTCTTTTCTGGGCTCGATTCCGAACTCACGTTGGATTCCTCAGTCGCGGTTTTTGTTTTGCTTGGCGAGGAAGATCCAGATGCTGGCTTTTTCTTCGTTTTCTCACCCACCACGCGTTTCTTCTTCGTTTCGCCGGTGGCTGGACTCTTGGCCTTTTCCCCGTCAGTCGACTTTATAACCTTTTTAACGACCACTTTCTTGATGGGCAACTCAAAGCGCTTGGCCACGTCGCCATCCCAACTGCCGGCGGGCAGTAGTATCAAGTGATTCTTGAGCTGCCGCTCAAAACCAGCCACATCGTAAAACAGCTGGGATTCCAAAGCATTTAGATTGACCTAAAGGAGGATTTTCATTAGTGGTTTACTAAGACAGTGAAATAGAGGGCAATCCTTACCAGATCCTTGTTCTCGTGTGGTTGCAACAGGAGCTCGAACTTGCCGTAGGGAAACTGGGTGCCGATCAGGTCGATCACACGCTTCACCGTGAAATGGGAGCGGACCACCACGTTGATCTTCTTTTGCTCCGAGCCGGGCGTCTGGTCAAAGACCGAGACGGTGCACTGCTCGCTCTCCTTATCCGTCATGTCCTGGCTGCGGCGACTTCAGTTGATGGTGGTGAAAATCCTGCAAAGGGAGTGTATGTGTTACGTTGAGTTTTACTCATGAATTTTGTGTGTGTGTTTTTTTAGCCTATTCTTTAATAGTAAAACTTTGACTTATCCGGCGTGGCCAAGTTGCTGGTCATGACGAAGGTAGAAGTAGTAAATAAGGAAGAGCAGGCAGGCCCCAAAAATTACTGCGAAATCTTCTTGTTTTCGACCTCATTCGCGAATAAAGCGGCAGAAACCTCCCTCCTCCCTGGCCACAGATATTGACGTGCTCCGGCTACGCTTTTCGCGCCTTATTTGTACGGACCAGCGCCAGTTGCCGTCTATATATATATAAACATATAGCACGTACACCCAATCGAGCATCGACTGCCCTCCACCCCAAAATCGACGTCGTGACTAACGCGCAGCGGAATTTCGTAAACAACCGACCATCAGTTGGCTCCGGAGGATGCTACGGGAATTATACTTATTTGCCTCCATTTGGGGACCAACGTCATCGACGTACGGCTTACGGAATGCATAAATTTCAGTGCAAATGTCGCTCCATGTTGGTTGGGACTCTTTGTGGGTCCCTGCTCGACTTTTGTAACGGAAGTGGTGGCGATTATACGGCCGAATATCTGGCGCCTCCAATCCGGCAGTGCGCAAATTGCAAGTGGGCGGCATATATCCATATCTTTGGGAATAAGTTCTAGAAATATTTGTAAGACTTGACAGATTTAAGGAAAGCAGATGCTCAATTTGGAGATTACTAAGCGAATATAGATTGATTCTTCCGCAGATATGATGAAATTGGTATTGCGGATTAGAGATATCAGTTAGGATATGAACTTAAGAGATATCTTATTTTGAAACTAAAGGTTTTAATAGTCCATTATTCTTACTTTATTCCTTTTCTTTCATTTCGAGTGCTATATTTATAAAATTCGTTTCTTGACGATGATTTAATTGCATTGCATTTCATTAATACATTTTTGCATATCAAAGATATTTATAATCATCAAAAATGCCTGTCAATTTATTCTAAAATTAATATTTTCGAATGTCTATTTTGGCGTTAATTTTAAAAGACTTGAATTGCTCAGCATTTAATTGAGTGTCGCAAGCAATTGGGGCTGGGGGTATTTGCAATGTTTTTCCAATTCGCTGCCCCGAAATAACCGCAGAACCGACAGCCAGCCAAGATATTTTGGGTCTCCTCCGAATGGAGGATGCACATCCACGCTGCGAAGTGAATGCGCTGCAGTTGGCGTTCAAACACATGTTGGATGGTCCAAACACAAACCGCATTGCCCGGCGAGGGAGCGAGCGAGACGGGGATTCAAAAATGCTAATACACGTCGGCCAGCAGAAATCAAAATAAGAAACCCGTGCTGCTAAAAATAAAAACAGGCGGCGACAGCGACAACGACACATCGGAGCGGTCGGAAAAAGCACACAAAAGTCGAGAGGAGGAAAATACAAGACAGCTTTGGGAGAGTTTTGAAAACGCGTATATCTGGCTATTTGTAATCGCGAAGGTTTTCAGAGATTCAGAGAAGCACACAGACTTGCTGTAGAATATCTATCTATCCATCAGAATGGTGTGGCACTTTCAACACATTGGCCCCCACTCAATATTTACATGATGACGATGATCTTTCGCCCAATGTTTGTATTGGTTTTTGGGTATTACAGAAACCGATATCGCGAGTTATCTATGCCATATAGACAGGCTAAGGGGACGAAAGGGGGGAGTGAACTCATTCTCGCATATATCTGTGCTATTTTTGAACTATTTCGGTACTGCGAAATCTATGTGGTCTACGAAAACCATGAGATGACTGAGATATGACTGCTGGCTGCCGGAAATCGCAGGATTCCTGCTCATATAATGCACTTTCGTGTACAAAATCTCCATTACGAAATGGTTATTTATTTTTAGAACTCGTACAACTTCACTTGGAGCTTCCAATGTTGTGTGAATAAGTGTGTGTATATGTCCGTGCTCTATATGCAACAATTTCAGTCCGATTTACCGTCTGATCTGAGTGTGCCGAAATCTTTCCGAATTAGAAAACCGCGCCGTCAACGCACGACATAGTTCACGCGTGTACTGGCCGATTGAGATGCCGATTCTGATTCCGATTCCGAAGATATCCCACCCGATCTGGCGCCCGATCTTTCGCGACTATAGTCGCCCAGCTGAGTGCGCTACGCTCTCGGTTATTTGGGGGATGTACAAGAAAATAATGTGGAATTGATTGGGGAAAACGTTTAAGAAAGTTAAGAACCTTTAAGAAAATAAAAATTGATAGATAATAATGGTCTCTAAAACTGCAGGGTTACTGAGGTTGATCAAAACTGACTTTTAAATGACTTTTCAAAAGTATAAGACTACTTAAATCGCGAGTTTTCACTATTGATAGGATGTACAAGAATATTATGTGGAATTGATTAGGGAAAACGTTTAAGGAACTAAGGAAACTTTAAAAATTGATAAATAATCATGGTCTCTAAAACTGCAGGGTTACTGAGGTTGGTCAAAACTGACTTTTAAATGACTTTTGACAAGTATACGACTACTTAAGTCGCGAGTTTTCACTACAAAAAGCAAAAATGGTTCATAGATTGTTAGATTATTGATAGGATGCACAAGAATTATGTGGAATTTGAATTGATTGGGAAAAACGTTTAAGGAACTAAGGAAACTTTACAAATTGATAAATTATCATGGTCTCTAAAATTCTAGAGTTACTGAGGTTGATCAAAACTGACTTTTTAAAATTATACGACTACTTAAATCGCGAGTTTTCACTACAAAACTGCACTAATGATTCATAGATTGTTACAGTACCCTAGCAATAAGCTTAAATGATGAACATTTTAATAGATATTTTGTATACGTTTAATAGAGACATGACAATTGACTGGCATACAATCCTACAATGTCTAATAATAATCAAGCCAACTGCAGTACCCTTTTTACTGTGTGCAATGACCACTCACGAGTTACAGCTGATAACGATTATTGCCGGACAAAGCAGTGAAAGCCGTGGGTGGGCAGTTCTCTGGGGGAAGTTAAAGGCCCCGAGAACCCAGGCGGATTACTCAATGAATATAGGCGATATGTTTGGGTTTATAGCGAAAGTGCTATTAATGTCGAAAGAAGAGAGCGCTCTCATTTGCGGGAATGAATGACTATTTTTAAGGGGCTGCCGCTGCCGTTGCAATTGCTGCATTGAGACATCCTTTAAACAGGGCGCCATGCCAAAGGGTATTTTTTTTTGGCGATGGGATGCGGCTAGGGGTTAAGGGTCACAGGCTGCCTCCTTCGTTTGCGCAACACCTCGGTGGGCGGGGCGGGGCAGGGCGATCGGTCAAGGCTCTAACTGGGGGAACGTGACACGCATATGGGTTGAGTGGCGTTGTTGGCCTGGGTTTGCCCCAAAAAGTGGCCCCCATTGGGTGTCCTTCGGGCTGGCAAATTAGTCCTTAGCGAGGCGCGTCCATATGTCGCAAAAAAATTTCGAGGGGCGCCTTGTTTTCTTCTCTCTCTCTTTCTCTCTCTGCGTGTGTGTGTGTACCTCCATCGCACTCACCTCAAGTGTGTGTGTGTGAAAATACTGCGGTATACGGTTGTTTGTGTGCGTGAGTGTGGGCTGCGGGGGGAAATGCGCCTGTTTGGCCGACGATCCAGTTCCTCTGATCCTGATCCTAATCCTGTCCTGCTGCTCTGCTCCTGCGCCTGGCTTCCTCTCGGTGCACTTTGAATCCGCTTAAAACGAGGCTAGTCGGGTCATTTTTACAAATGTTTTTTTGTTGTTCCGCTGCGGCTGTTTTGCAGAGTTGCTCTAGAGTGACTGCTGGTGCCTAAAATACCATACGTCATTGAGGAATGGGTGTGGAATTTTTAAACTACTTTTTAAGGTCACACTGGCAGCTCTTAAAAATGATTTTTTATTTAAAACTTTAATTATTTAAAAATTAAAAGATTATTTAGCACAATAGTTCATATTTATTTTTAGGTTTGAAAAAGAGCCAAAGCAAAAAATAATTAACGTTCAATATTAAAATAATTTATACGATTTTATTTAAAAAATGAATTCCCTTGTTTTTACGAAAGAAAGACATATAAAACAAATATTTATTTATTTGCAAACAAAAATTTTAATGTATTCGAAATAATAAATTAGAGATGGCAAAAAGAATATCTGTACAGATTTATATATTCCCAAAAATAGTTCATTCGTTATAATATATAAACAAATAATAAAAAATTAAAAATAATATATATATTTTTATCGTAGTTTATTTTAGCCTAAAATTTGTAGGTTAAAAAAATACGTTACTTTCACCGCTAAAAATAGCTAGAACCAGCTATATTTAGCTCGGCATCTCCGACACCCTAGAGCTATCGCTGCCAATCGGCATTCGCACACTTTCGAGATGCAACCCTAAAAGACTAGAAACATCGAGAAATTTCGACGCAGACGGGGAAAAGTCTATAAAACGGCGCGTTCGAGTGGCAGCCGCTCATTATCAAACAAAATTTCGCAGAGAAAAGAGAACGCTACGCAAAAGAGGGTGTGTTTTCAGTGCGCAGGCCACATTCGGCGGAGAAGAAAGAAAGAAAAGAACGGAACAATTGAATCAATTGCGAGAACAACGTCATAAATATTTCAAGAACATCGCCCCGTGAAATTATATATAGTGCGAACTACACCCAGAAAACCAGCAATTGCACTTTGCCACTGCATTTGGCACATTGGAATTGATATACACACGGATTTCCAGTGGTTTTTAAGGTAAGTTAAGCTTTGTGTTGAGTGGGCAGGCAGCAGATCAACTTTTAGCGCCTTAACGCCCCGAGAAAGGGGGAATACGCGACTACGTCACTCGCATGACAACACGGCAGTTGCACAACTTCTGTGCTTCTAGCAAATTCCACAATCGTACACACACATGCGACGCCCGCCCAGCAAGCAATCGGTTTTCATTCTAATCTAAAGCATTTCCCTCCCTCACAATTTCAATTTCAGCTGTGAACATGGCCAAGGACTTCTACAAGATTCTGGGCATCGACCGCAAGGCCACCGACGATGAGATCAAGAAGGCCTATCGCAAGCTGGCCCTCAAATACCATCCCGACAAGAACAAGAGTCCGCAGGCGGAGGAGCGCTTCAAGGAGATCGCCGAGGCCTACGAGGTGCTGTCGGACAAGAAGAAGCGGGATATATTCGACAAGTACGGCGAGGACGGTCTGAAGGGCGGACAGCCGGGACCGGATGGCAATAGTCAGCCGGGCGCCTACAGCTACCAGTTCCACGGCGATCCGAGGGCCACCTTTGCCCAGTTCTTCGGCTCCTCGGATCCCTTTGGCGTCTTCTTCGGCGGCGGCGACAATATGTTTGGCCAGGGCCAAGGCGGCAACACCAACGAGATCTTCATGAACATCGGCGGCGAGGATATGTTCGGTGGCGGCGGTTTCGCAGCCAATCCCATGGCCGGCGCCTTCCGCTCGCAGTCCTTCAATGCCCAGGCTCCGAGTCGCAAGCGCCAGCAGCAACAGGATCCGCCCATCGAGCATGATCTGTACGTGACCCTGGAGGAGGTGGACAAGGGCTGCACCAAGAAGATGAAGATCTCACGCATGGCCACCGGAAATGCGGGACCGTACAAGGAGGAGAAGGTGCTGAGCATCACCGTGAAGCCGGGCTGGAAGGCGGGGACCAAGATCACCTTCCCCAAGGAGGGCGATGCGGCGCCCAACAAGATACCCGCCGACATTATCTTCATCATACGCGACAAGCCGCATTCGCAGTTCAAGCGCGAGGGCATCGATCTGAAGTACACGGCCCAGGTCAGTCTGAAGCAGGCCTTGTGCGGAGCACCGGTCAGTGTGCCCACGCTGCAGGGCGATCGGATTCCGGTCAACAGCGGCAACGAGATCATCAAGCCCACTACGACGCGGAGAATCAGTGGACGGGGTTTGCCCGTACCGAAGGAGCCTTCGAGGCGCGGCGATCTGATCGTATCCTTCGACATCAAGTTCCCCGACACACTGCCGCCCAGCCTGCGGAACCAGCTGGCCGAGCTGCTGCCCAACTAAGCGGGTGGACACACCACACACACACACTATTTGTTATCACTTTAGTTAAGGCCTATATTTAGTTTATCGTACTCGTACTCGTAAGACACCTAAGAAACCTAACCAATTGTAGCCCGTTTAGCTAGTGAGTGTGCCAAGCGAACAGCTGTAGATATTGTCCGAGGATGCAGACGCTAGATAAGATAGGGAAGAACATTAAGAAGAGAACACACAGAGAACCCGTTTTGTGTTGGAGACTGATCGACTAATGACTATTATAACCCGGTACACACCAATTCCATAATTCGTTTTACACATCTCCCTATATTTATTTGTCCCGAGATAAGAAATAAAAGAAGGTATTATAAATTGAAAGTAACTGACGATTTTTAAAGCGAGGCACATCTTCGGCATTCCAGTTCCAACACGGGATGGTAATATCAGCTAGAAAAACAATTATAATTATACCCGTTACTCGTAGAGTAAAAGGGTATACTAGATTCGTGCAAAAGTATGTAACAGGTAGAAGGAAGCGTTTCCGACCCCATAAAGTATATATATTCTTGATCAGGATCACTAGCCGAGTCGATCTAGCCATGTCCGTCTGTCCGTCTGTCCGTCTGTCTGTCTGTCCGTCTGTCCGTATGAACGCTGAGATCTCGGAAACTATAGAAGCTAGAAGATTGGCATTTTGCATGCAGATTCTAGGAATTCCTACGCAGCGCAAGTTTGTTTCAAAATGGTGCCACGCCCCCTCTAACGCCCACCATCGCTTATATACGATTTTAAAAATTTTAATATTTTGGAAAAGTAAAAATGCAGTTTTATTGTGTTTATCAATACCTATCGAAATGTAGAAGAAATTTTTCAAATCGGACCATTCGTTAAAAAGTTATGCGTGATCAACGTTTTCTATCTCTATCTCCATCTCCCTCGCACTCCCTTTACCTGAGTAACGGGTATCTGATAGTCGGGGCACCCGACTATAACGTTCCCTCTTGTTTTATATACATTAGATTATAGTACGTTTTAGTACCAATTTTATTATGTTTAACAATAAAATTATTTATAAAAAAAATTAAGGTGATTGTTTTTGGGTCAGTGGGTTAAAGCTATGACGGTGGAAATGCACATAGTGCAGAAGCTGGCATAATTTGTTCTAATTTTGGGATATATATTTTTAAAAGAATTAGCGCGCAAAATGCTTTAAAAGCCTATATATTTATGTACATACAGTACGCCACCTAGCGTGTAAAAAGCAATGTAAAGTAGGGTACATTTTTAAACCATCTGGCAACACTGATAACGTACTTATTTTGAATGTCAGGAAAAGCTGAAAAGCTAAACATTTAAGATTACAGTCAAGAAACCCCGTAAAGTAAATTTTACTGTAACTTACCTGTAAAACTAAAAAGAGGTTGACCTAGGAAAAGGAACCCCTGTTGAACCAATCTATTTAGTAATAAAAACACACGAATTTGGTTTCTTTTTAAATTTCACATTTTATTTTCTTTTGTTTTCACTTCAAAAGGATTTCGTAATTTAATCATTTGTCACACATTTTCACTATCCTTATGTTGAGTGTTAAGTTGCATTTGCAATTGTATAATCATTGTGTATTTCTTTTTCTTTACTGTTGCATATTTTGTTTTTTTTTTCTTGTTCTCAAAAAGTATTAACATCCATTGCATGTTCATTTTGTTTGTTATATTTTTGTTGTTTTTGTTGCAGCTGCTAATTAGGTTTTACAATAAAAATTGAATTTTAATGTTTGTTTCTCGCTGTCGTCCATTGTTACATGGCTACACTTGTTTTCAATGCTGCTGCAGTTTGCTATTGATTTTCGTTTCGAATTTAGACATCGTGTGGCTGACTTATAAATTGTATTTAATATGCAATTGTTACCCTCGTGTATCCTGCTGAATTGCGCTTGCCAAAAGGAAAGTGTGATAAGAGATATAACTAACAATACAATGCGCTCAAACAAATCAAGTATCCGATAACAATTTGTTAAAAGAGATTCCAGTGCGTCGTGTGCACGTGAACTTAATTAAATGAGTACATTGTTTGGCTCTCAAACATTCGTATAATAGTGACTATGTATATATATTTAATAAAAATGCTTTAAAAATAGTCAAATGCGTACAAAAAGTTTCACGCCACGTTCATTCGCCATCAAATGAGTTCCATAATTTAACTATTTCATTTCGCTAAAGTCTTCCAACTGACTGGTTGAGTTTTTGGTTTATTATTAATTATTATTATTTACGTTGCCCTTGTCAAACTTATACAAACTGTAAAAATTATGTTAAAATGTTGTTGTGATTTGGTATTTGGTAAATTTCTCCTTGTTTTGTCCCGTGTTTGATTAGCTTTCATCTCCGACGATGAAGATCTATCATTAGACTGTTGTATACATTTAGAATTTCTATTTACTCCCCTTCTTATAGCCTTCTATGGTCTGTAGTTTCAATTATTATTTTCTTTTATTTTCTTCTCATCGTTTAATTAAAGTTTACTTTTGTATATTTAATTCAATTTGATTGGAAACCTAAAAAATGTTTTGATTATGTTTCGATTTGTTGCTACACATGGTTCAATGGGTTTTTGGGTTTAAAAAATGAATGAGTTATCCTGTGAATGAGTGTGAACAATGCCTGCAAGTACACTGAAAAAAAAAACCATTGACAATCGCGACTCGCACTTGCAGTGTACGACCGGGAGAATAAACAAACGTTCAGCAATTGGGGATTTCATTGTTCCTGAATCGAATTAACATCCAAGCTGCATTCACAACCAATTAATTATTATTTCCCATTTGGTAGAATTTTCATTGTATTCGACTATATATTTTTTCTTTTTGCTAAAAATTCGTCCTACAAAAATTGAAAACCATAGGGTATTGAGATTGAGACGTAGGGAAATCAAGAGTATACTTTCGTAATTAAGTTCTCAAAAATTGTGCCTTTGTCTATGGGATTCTGGTTTCTGGATTCTGGGCTGGGGATTGGTTTCCTTTTCCTTTTTATTTTAACTATAATTCTGTTGTCATCGCTCCTCGATTCGTAAAGTGTTCAAAGTGAAGTTCTTAATTATTATTGTAATTCTGCTAGAGGGTGTTGTCTTTTTTTGGTTTGTGTTGGTTTTTTCTTTACGCTTATATATTTTCTTTTACTTTTTTCTCTTGCATAGTATTATAATTTATTTTAATGTTTGCCCGCTTAAACGTGTTGAGTTTGCTTTGCTTTGAGTTAAGTTTTTCTTGTTTCTTGTATTTTGCTGATTGGATTCATTGTGGAGGCTCGGAGCCCAATTTAATTGCATGGAATCATTTTGCTTCGTTATTATTTCCTTTTTTTAGTTTACCATTTAACATTTTGACTAAATTTTTGCTATTTTCGTTAATGTGTATGTGGAATTTGTATGGTATCTTTATGTATTTTTTGAGTGTACTTCCTACGAACTAAACATTTTCATTGCTGATTTCATTTTTTAATTTTCATTACGATTACGGGTGTGTTGATTTGCTTCAGTGTGTGTGTGGCTTAATTGGCTAAAATGTTTTTCATTTAACCCTTTTTGGTTTTTCTTATTTTGCATTTGCATTTGACTTTGTTTGGTTTTTTCCCTTTTTGTTGCAATTCGGGTTTGGTTTTACTTTTATAATTTAAATTCTCTAATCCTAAATACAATGGTTGCAATTTGTTTACGGGTTTCCCTCCTCATCGCTTTGACAGCTTCGTCATCGTCTTCTCCTCAATAAATGTATTTAAATCGAAATTTACTTTCAAGTCTTTTTCAGCGACAAATGCATTTGAATTTGTTCTCGTATTTCTTAATGTTGTTTAATCTTTTTCCTTAGTTCATATTAAATCTGCTCAAAATCCTTCGCTTTAATTATGCTTTTATTATATGTTTTGCACTTTAAATACAATCAATATAAATCAAAGTCTTCTCTTGGTTTTTTCATTTTCATTTTCTTTTTTAATTTATGTTTTAGTTTTTCTTTCTAAAAAGGATCTCTCGGATCCCCTTTGTGGTGCTTCTCTCGTTTAAAAACGTAAACGTAAAAATGACAAAAACTCTTCGATGTTTTATCCATTAAAAAAGAGAGGAAACAAACCGAAGCCAAGCATTCTTCAAAAGCCAACCACATCCATTCACCGATGGCCGGTGATTCAATGCATCTTCATTTCGCAGCGTTGAGCTTGAAAAATGCTTTTGGGTTCGCTTCGCCCACTTTTGAACTTTGAACTGTTGCTGCTTCTGCTTTTGCTTTCTGCTTTGCTTTTAGCTGTTTCTGTTGCTGTTGCCTTACACTTGATTAGTTAAAATTGAGAAATCGAACAGAGGAATTGAAGTTGTGGGTTAAGAGTTCTTATGCTTGCTTAGCTTGATACTAAATGTTTTGCTTTGCTTTTTCTGATTTAATTTTTCACATCGTCTTTGCGGGTTGTTGACTGTGGATCTGTGCCTAAATTTATCATGTCTCGTGGTTTCCACACCGGGGACCCTACAATAAATGAAAGAAAAGAAAAGATACAATGGAAACCATATATGAAAAAATATGAAATATTTTCGTTTTGGTTTTGCAGAACTTAATTTGTAGTTTTGGTTTTATTTTTTTTTCAGATAGAAAATATAGATTTTTAGAGAGCGAAAGAGTTAGAAAGAGCAAGTGGGAAGGAGACGGAGAGCAGCTTCTCCATTTGGTTATATACAATTGTGTCAAACAGATTTTCATAAGTAATTTGTGGCCAATTCGGATTCGTTTAGTTAAAAAGCATGCAGGCAAAGCGCCCAAAATGCGAGGCACTTTGGGCTCTTTAGTCGGTTAAAAAATATAAGCAAAACTAATTATTGTTTAATGTAATGAGCACTACTTCAAGCGGGTTTTTCGGCTACTCGATATAGTTTGGGGGACTGGGTAGTTGGGTAGTTGGGTAGTTGGAGTGATTAAACGCTAATTTAACAACTAATACTGGTGATTAGGGGGGCTTGGATAGATAGAGTTGTGTTGGCTAAAATGTTGACATCGCTTGGTTCATTTTCTAGTTTACAGATAGTTTTTACTCTTTTTACTCTGTTTCAAAGACTTGGCAATTTTTCGAATTTTCTGATCAAAAGTTTTGCATTTTATGCCAACATTTTCCGTTCTGCCTCTTCTGTTTCTCGTGTGTGTTCTTCTTGATAAAAGGGTTCCAATTTGGTATACAAAATGAAAGAGAGAATATATATATGGGGGTGGTTGGAAGAGGGGGAGTTTATAATTTGGTAAATTGTGGTGGAGTGAGTGGTGAAATTTAAATTGTTTCGCATTTCAGTTAACCCACTTGCTAATTTCGAAATTAGTTTTCCAAATGTAAAAGTCAAAAGGCATGATTCAAAAACGATGGGTAAAGTTGTTGTGCATAGATGAGAGTTTCATAAAATTCAATTCGGTTTTAATTTTAATTTTATTTAGTTTTGGGCACACAAAAAGTTGTACGGAAAACAGAAAATTAAATTTCTGGAAAATAATTGCGTGTGAAAAAATGCCGAATAAATTCTGAATTTCAGGGGGTGGTGTGGAGTGGCTGGTGGCTGGTTGATTTGAGTTGTGGGGCACGTGTGTGTAACCATAAGACATATATAGTTAGATAAATATATATAGATCGATTATAATGGACTTGGCATTAGCATTGCTCGCTTTCGGTTCGCATGGCATTCAGCAGTACAAGATTTGGCTCTAGATCTTCGGCACACTCTGTCATTTTGTAATTGTCGTGATTGATTGATTGAGAAAATGCAAAACGTTCAAATTGAAAAGGAAAACTTGCAAAGTTCATTGATTTTGATTTGAATTTCGGTTTATTTTAGGTTAGTTGTTTGTTAATCAAGCGATGCCAACTAATAATATCAAGTGTTTGTAACAGACACAACAGATACACAGATACGCTATAAAGAGATACACACAAATGCATCGAATGGGCGGGAAATAATACCTAGAAACTTAACATGCCTAAGGTAACTCCAAAACTCCGACTCCGACTTAAGACTTACGACTATATATAAGTATAACTAACTGAATTCAACATTATTCGAGTTAATCTTTCATGTGGCTTGGGATTTTAGTTATCTTTGAGATAATTGTGTGTAGACAAAATGAAATATCACCCGTAAAATTGTTTAATTACTAATTCAATTCAATTCAAGTACTCATCTCCGACAACAAGCTTTGTTTGCCTAATTACAAATGAATACTGCACTTACCTGCTAAGCAACTACTAAACAAATTTAAATGCATAACTAATCGAGGGGAGGAGGTGTTTCGAGAGGTCTGGGGATGGGCCAGGAAATCGGTGCATAAACTCTATTTACCAATCTAGTTTATTGGTTTCCCCTTCTTGTCGCCGTCCTTTGATATTTATTTTATTTTATTTTATTTATTTATTTACTTTTATCGCATATGCCATTTCGTTAATTGCATTTCAATTGCTTTGGCTCGCTTCAGTTTTAGTTAGTTCAATTTAGTTTTGAAGTTTGGAGTTATATGTTTAGTTTTTACGCATTTGATTTTTAAGTTTGCAGTTAGTTTGTTGATTTTTGTCGATTATTTGTTTAGTGGATGCGAGTGTTTGACCGTGTGTGGGTGTGTGCACACACAAGGATTACCGGTTAAATTTGATATTTGTTTTAGTTTTTTAGGTAGTTTTACTGTTGAATGTTACTCTTAAATGTTCGCTGTCTGCGGCCTCCGCTTATCTCTATTTAGTTTGCCTTTATTTTCGTATATTTTACTGGGCTTTCGAGGGCTCCCGTTTTTTATTTAACATTTATGCTGTATATGCTGCTGTATATATGCCGTATTTACGATGTATATTTTGATTTTGATTTTTGAGAATGTTTGCTTACTTTTTTGTATTGATTTTGATTTTGCTGCTGTGAAGCCCAGTGTAAACTGTAAACTGTAAACGTTCTTGAAGCTTAAACTTATTTATTTTGACTATGATTTCCTTTGGTTTGTTTTTATTCTGCTTTGAATTCTCGTTACAACAACCTGAAATTTGTTTGACCTTAAACAGTTTTTCTATATATTTAGTCGAGAGTTTGGCGGCTTGTCGCCTCGAAAAAGGAGGAGATGATTATACATATACGCGTATTTCCGTAGCTACCTAAGTGTACATATAATATGATTACCCATTTCTGAACATTGAGGTACGACTTACGATTATCATTCTCTTTTTGAATACACCACCGCCTTTTGATTTGTATTCCGTTTATTGTATTTTTTGTAGTTTTGCTGATTTAAGTGGAATGCGAATGCGAAACGGAAATGTGGTGGAAAACCCATGCGGAAAATGTTACATTTGATTTGCCCGTCGACTTGTATATGCATGTATATTTGTTTATATCTATAAAAAACCTATAAAAATCATACAAAAAACCATATGCATATATGCAAATTATTTGTCACAACATTATTGGTACACACCGATGCCCGTTAGCACAAACGTGCAAATTGGCAAAATTTTCTAACTAACTAATGTTTGCTTTTTATTTTGATTTTACTAGTTTTCTTTTTGCATTTTGCCTTGCCCTCTATGTAAATAATCCCCATATCAATAGGTATACTCTTGTTAGGTATATGTTATGTTAACCCCTGGAATGTTGGCTTTCGACCCAAAGCCCAGCTCAGTAGCAGATCCATTTCGCCAGATGGGTAATTAAAAATTTTTGATTTCATTTGCGGAAGTGACACAGTTTCCCTACCCCTTTTCCAGCTTTTCCGCTTTGCCTCTTCCCTCTGCTAATAGTTAGTTAGCGACTTTTCACGAACTTTTTACCTGTGTGTGTTTGTGTTTGGAGTGCATATACGTAGGTAGTTTTCTTTCTCATTTTTTTTCTATCTGCTCCTGACTGTCTTATTTTTCCCATCTATGTTTCAAGTTGAGTTTGCCATTTGTTTGTCTGCCTGTCTCTTAGTAGTTTACTTGAGTGCGAGTATGAATTTCAACTTTAGTTTTAGTTGCTGCTGCTGCTGCTCTTTTCTGTTGTTTGCCCTCGTAATTACGGCACTTGAGTATTGTGTGTGCAACGCGGCGTATACGTAATATTTCTACTTGCCACCCGAGGCGAGCGGAACTTCCGCCATTTTGTTTGTTAATGTGTGGGTGTGGGGTGTGGGGTGTATAAGTGTAAGTGTGTAAGTGTAAGCATGAGTGTGTAAATCACGGCGAAATGTTCGCGCTCAACTCGGCTGCAACTTAAATAATTAACTGGAAAACGGTGGCACACACCCATTATGCAACCTTTTCCATTTCCCTTTCCACCCGGGATTAGTAACCCCCCACCCGTCCTTTGATTAGTTTTCGGTATGAACTACATATGCTGCGCTAAAAGAGCTAACTACTTTCGCCCAGGTTCGGTGACTTACGGCTAACACTTACACAACGAATACGAGGATACGGATACGGTTACTGGGTATGCTAACATTTCATTTGCTATTTAATTTAAGAGTGCCTTTTTTTTAGTTATTAGATTTTAGTAAGTAGATTGTATATACTGTCTCTTTGATTTCAATCCCTTGTGTTGGAAGTTCGTGTTCGTTCGTTCGGTTATCTTTTTATTTAGTTTGCTTTGTGAGTTTACGTATATCTGAGCTGAGTTCGGTTAAAATTAGTTTATGTTGAGGCATTTCGGGTTGTTCGGCTGTTATCTTTGGTTTGCAAAATAGTGGAGGTCTTTAGTGGTAGAAGTTCTTATCCTTTTAGACATGGATCTCGAAGTAGTCGTGACAGTCGACACAACCGCCGGGGCCTCCGCCATCGCTTGAGCCCATCTCGGGCACAAATCCTATGCCCCCGGTGGCCGTCGGCTGGGCACTGACCACCACCATTCCACGGGGCGTCTTCTTCCGCGTGCGACTCTGCCGCACGCGGGACTTATGCTAGGAGGGTCTCTTCTGGTACAGACAGTCGATGCAAGTGGTGTACTCCGGTGCCGAGGAGCTGAGTTGGTAGCCTGCTCCACTCTGCGGTTCATGCTGGCAGCCTGTATAACCCACTCCCATTTCGGGGGCATAGCTCACATATTGCTGCTGCTGTTGATGATGCATCTGTGGTGGCTGATGCAGTGGCTGGGGAGGATGCCTGGGCAATGGATCATATATGGGCTGCGAGGAGAAGGTATTCTCGGCAGACTGCGAACGCAGTGGCCCCGAACTGTACACCACATAGTTGCGTTCGGGGGAAACGCCATAGGTTCTCTGGCCATAGGAGCTACTGGTGGTGGTGCTGTCCCGCGAAGTGGAACGCTCCAGGGATTTGCTCAGCCTGTTCCGGCTACTCGAGGCACCGCCATAGCGACCCGTGGGAGCGGCAGCCACATAGTGATCGCTGCACGTCTGGTTATCATACACCGGATAGTATTGATACGATTCCTGGGCCCTCGGGCGCGTGCCCGTCTCGAAGCTTCCGTGCGCGGACATGCTGCGCTTCCGACTGCCATGGGGCACATCCAAGTTGTGATCCGATTCGCCGTGGCTATCGAAGCTGCTGCGCGGCGAGTGACGCAGACACCTGTCCGGCGACAGGTGATCCATGCTGCCTCGGGGCGAAACCCGCGGTGAAAGTGTTTCCACGCTGCACACATGCGAAGGGCCGCCCTTCTTGAGGCAACTCCTGTCTGGGCTCTTTGACTTCGCAGGACTGGAAGGTGGCTTTAGGATTCCAGCAGCTGGACCACTGGTGTGCTTTAAGATCCCACCCCCTTCGGAGGAGCGACGAGGCGAGGGTGTCCTGCGGCCAGTCGAAAGGCGATCCTGGGAATTTTCCCTAGAGGAGCACACACTCAGTCGCTTGCCCTGGTCACTCAAACTGGTGCGCGGTGACTTGATCTTGATGATCCTCACCGGTGAGCTTCCCTGGGACTTGCAGCGATCCGGGGAGATGTATATCTGCCGCCTGCCTCCACTTTTCACCTTGGTCGAGGCAGGTCGCTCCGGCGACTTGGCCTTGAAGATCTTGTCCACCTTCTTGTCAATCACAACAATGTGCGAGGCCAGCGAACTGGTGGTGGTTACCTCCTCCTCCGTTTCATCGCCTGATCTCTCCGAGGGACCCGTGGTAGTGCCAGTGCTATCCGATTCGGTGGCTGGTCGGGATGGCGACTCAATGTCCACCACCACCACCGTCTGCGTCTGGGTATTCTCCACGATGGTCTGAGGTTCCGGCGACAAACTAGAGTCATTCTGCTGCTGATCCCCGGGATCCTCGGTGAGATCCTGTGGGTCAAAGGCCTTCTCACGCAGGCTCTCCATGTAGGCCACAATGTCACAGGTGCCGTCGGCCAGGTTCTCCTGTTCGAGGTCACTCAGATGCTTGTCCATGAACCGCGCCGTGGCGTCCGTTTCGGTCGGGAGGTTGCGTTCACGTCGCTGCTGTTTATGCCCCGAATCCCTGGCCTGGCCCGCCGGATACTGGTGGACGACGGCCACCTGCTGGGAGGCGGCCAGTCGCTCCGCCTCGCTCTCGAAGATCTCGATCACCTCGATATCCTGCTTGGGCGACTGTCGCGGCGACTGACGCGGCGACTGACGGGGCGAAGGATGCAGGGAGTGGGATTGGGATTGGGTTTGGAAGTGGACTTGGGACTGTGTCTGATTCTGATTCTGATTATCTCGGGGATCGGAGGCAAACAAGCTACCACTACTGCCTAGACTTAGGTTAAAGGAGGCCGCCACCTGGACGGCATGCGCCTCCGACTCCGACTCGAGCTCCGATTCATCCGGGCTGGGCTTACCTAGGTCCTTCATCAGCACCGGCTGGTAACTGGCCGGCGGATGCGACGACTGGATGAGGCGCGCCTGGCTGCCGGTGCTGCCCACCGAGAGCGTCGATGTGGTGCTTCGGATTTAACATTTCAGATGACGGGATGTCAGGATGTCAGGACGCCAGGCGGCGGGGCGAGCAGTATGAGAGAGGGATAAATTCACAGGGTCAAGCAATAGTCAAGCTTACTTCGAGGACCTCTATAAGAAACCTAGCTGGACATCTTCTGACTGACTGGATTTTTGGAAATATATTAAAGATCTCTTAGCCATAAATCAATTAAAAATCAAATAGTTCTGAAAATCATTCAACTAAGGAGGAGTGTACAAATTTCAAGCGAGCTAACAACTGGCAAATAAAATTCAATTATCATCAAAAAACCGATTAATCTTAAGATGACTTAAAATGTATTGCTTTACCACAAACGTAAAAATATTATAATTAGTGATAAGACTGATGTTAATTTAATTTTCCTTTAAATGTATTTTGTAACCTAACGATTTTTTATAAATTATACTTAGTATTAAGTATGTAACTTTAATGACTATAATAACATCATTTCATTTTTAAATTAACATTTTGTAACATTTTTGTTTAATATTTTGTTAGAATAACCAAGTTAACATTTTAAATGGATATTTGCATTAGCAGCAACTATTTTTTATTGGCTCAATCCAGTTAGTCAGCAGAATGCCAGTTAGCAGGGGTCAAGGACTACGATTAACCAGACTCACCTCAGCGTCAGGTGATTGGGTGTTCGACCCAGGGTGGCCTTGGGCCTGATTGTGCACTGCTGCGAGTCCTCCTCGCCCTCCGATTTCGTTCCGGGATCGATCCTCTCGATGTCCGAGCTGTGGTGGTGCAGATGCGGCTGCCTGATGGGTGGCGGCGGTGGCTCCCGAGGATGCGGATGGGGATGTGGGTGGGCATGGGCGTGTCCTTGCTGCATCTGCTGTTGCTGTTGTTGCTGCTGCTGCTGCTGTTGGGGATCTGGGGAGGAGCAGGGGGATTCTTTATGGCATGTGATGATGTGCGGATGCATTGATATGGGCATTGTTAGCAAATCCACTCTCTCAAAGATTGGGGATCATCTGAACAGTCGACTCCAACTCACCTGTTACATCGCCCACCGCCTTGCTGCGACCACGAAAGACAACCGTTGGCTGCATCTGCTGCCCGTGGGCGTGGCCGGAGGCGTAGTGCACCACGCCTCCCACACTGGGCGGCAGGTCGTCCGCCTCCTGGCTGCCCGACAAATTGTCATAGTCAATGTTGCCAGCCGAATGGCGCTGTGATCCCGACTTCTTCTTCGGTTTGCCCAGAGTGTGCGAGCCATGCACAATGGTGATCTGGGGAGAAATATTGAATTTAATTAAATTAGGGTATTGAAAATAGGTATTCTAATAAATAAATTAATGAATTCTAATAAATTCAGCAATTCTTTGCGATGGGGAGTACCAGAAATATTTTCTTTTAGATTTAAAACTATCAAAAGAAGATTTCTTATATACAGTTGTTTTAGAAAAAATATAAAACAAATAAAGGTTTGATTTAAGTAAGTAATTTATTAAAGTAAAATTTAGATAAACATATTTAACGACGTATTATAATCTTAATTTACAAAGTTAAATAAAATTAAAAGATAGTAACGAATTTTTGTGTAATTCTTTTCAACACATTAAAATTAATTAAATTATATCTTTATTTAAACCCATAAAAAAATTTTAGATAATATTTCTATTGGGTAGTTCATCCTACCTGCTGCTTGGGTCGTTCCAGCGTCTGGGAGTTGCCCGCATAGCCGTGCATGCTGCCCATTCCCTGCGAGGAGTGGCCGGAGACGGAGCCGGAGCTGCCGCCAAAGTTCTTCATCGGAATTGACATGTTCCGGACGCTCTCGCGGATGATCTGGCGAATGGTCTTCAGGAAGGCGTTGCGGAAGTCGGCGGTGCTGTTGGACAGCACGTAGACCTTCTCGGAGCGGCGTTGCAGCTGGGAGCGCAGGTGGATGAGCTCCCACAGGAAGTGCGAGTCCATGTCCTTGGCCGAACTGGCGCGCACTTGGACCTCGGTGACGGGTATGAGCACCTGGTATCGAATGATCTCCACCTCATTGGTGGCATTCTTGCTGGACACGCCCTGCGGAATAAAAGATGAAAATTGAGTTAATATTGTCTAGGGAAAATAACTTGATAAGATCCCCACTCACCATTAACTTCTTCTTCTGACGCAGCCGCTCCTTGCAGAGGAACACCACCGCCGACTTGAACACAAAGCACATGGCATGTAGCTCCAGTCCCTTCTTAATCTTGCCCAGAAAGTCCGATATGTTAAGCCACTCAACTCCACCATAGTAGAGGAGATCTCCTAAAAATATTATTTTAAAAATCGTTTATTACCGGGGTTAAAGAACAAGAAATAATATGAGATGTTCCAGAAATATCCAGAATTTTCGGGAGAGAAAAATGTTCTTATAAAAAAAAGATGATTTCCATGAAATTCCAAAATAATAATAATATATTTTCTTATAATCTTATACTTTCTTACCTGGACTCAGATCAATGGGTTGTTTGCAGGACTTTTGGTGCTGCCGGAACAGGTGATCGAAAATGGCTCCATACTCCTCATGGATGCGCTGCATCTCGTTGATGTGCTCGGCCACCTTTTCCATGCCCTTGAGTGCCTCTGTTGTTTCGTGTGTAAAAATAACCAATAAATACCAATCCACACGGATTAAATACACCATAAACATACCGCAAAGATGCACATGCTCATCGGCCCGGGTGTCTGTTAGGTTGCGCATCTGCTGCAGGAGCAGAGGATACTTGAGGATGCGCTGAATGGGCTTGATCAGATACGATTCCAGGGTGCTGCTGTGCTGCTGCTTGGGATTCCGGGCGGCCAGGAACTCCTGCAGGGCGTGATTGCCCTCGTCTGTGTTTCGCAGGATTCGCAGGGAAATTGGAAGATGGGAGAATTGAAATGCAAATTGAGACATTTGCCAAATGATTCGATTTCAATGGACGCTCGTTCGAGTCGGTGTAATTAATTGCAACGTTGGCCCATTAGAGTAAATAGGGGAGGGGGTTTTGCAGCGGGACTTTCAGTGGAAGGTACGCAGACAAGGATATGCAGTTACAGCGGCTATGACAGCGTCACAACGTCGACAAGAAAATGTCATTAACTTGTTCTTATTGTCAGCCGAGCAGCTTTTGATAAAGGCAAAGTCAAAGCCTGTCTGCAGCAGGCAAGGGAAGGCAGCTGCAGCCGGGTAGATGGAGCAGATTTACGTCTAATAGCGTCTGTCGTTGGCTGCTTGTCCTTCTGCCAGCCAGCTCCAATCCATCCTCGAACTCACCCCTCCTCATCCCACAATATCCCTCCAATCCCTCCAATCCGCAACAGGATTCTCCTGCTCTTGCACGTAACGAAGGCACTTAAGTGCACTTCTTGCTATAATTAATTATCCTTTCAACTTTTTGCATAAAATTTCATGCAACAACCAGCCACCCTCCATTCTCGAGTGGATGATGCTCCCTTGACTTACCAGATGCTACCCCTAGTTACCTTGACTACCCTCTACGCTGCTTTGGCTCATTGATTGTAAATATTGCGCATACATTTTTTACCTCCAACGCTTTTGATTAGCTGCAAATCCCATCCTATCATCCTACTATCCCATCATACAATCATTCTATCATTCTATCCACGGACGCATCAATCAATGTGGCAATGTGGATAAAGCTGATGGGGGTTGGCTGATGCTTTTTAGCAGCCAGCTGTTTGCTCGAGTGTTTTTAAGCTTAGACTAAGTCTAATTTAATTATGACATGTTGTCACGCGGCAGTTGCCTTTTATCCGGCTCACTGCAAGGCAAGCTTAGTGGAAGGGCAGGCACCCAAGTAAAACCCCCTCTAGAGAACCCAGAGCACAGAACACAGAAGTTCTGAAGCCCTGGCATAGTTTTGGGTCGCCATTTGTAAGCGTGTCATAATTCTACAAGTTTAATTAACAAAAGATACTTGACAGTTGCCGCTGCCGCTGCTGCTGCTGCTGCTGCCTTGGCATGAATATGAATATGCTGCCTGCTCTGCGAAACCCAAACCCAAACCAGAACCACCACCCCCATCCCCTCCCACATCACACCCTTTTTTTGGTTGGGAGTTTGCCTTCAGTTTGCGGTTTCCACTTTACTGGGGGTGTCGTCTCCTTCTCCGTCGGCATTTGCGGTTGTAATTATTCATTTAACTTGCAAATCATTTTAAAGTGGGCGCTACGCGGCCAAAGGGGCGTGGCACAATTGAAGCGAATAGTTTGCCAATTGTTCGCTCTGTGGGTTCGTATGGGTTCGGTTCGGGTTATTTGACTTTTACAAGTTTCTTGCTCAACTGAAACTCAAATAGACTTTGACGCTTGACGCTGATTGCAATAGTTGGATGGTATGCTATGTGTGCTCAAAAAAGGCTATATATACAGTGCGTTTCATGGGGGTAACGCACTTGCGAAATGTTAATTCAGTCAGGGAAAAGTTTTAGTTTTAACACTTTGCTGATAGGTGATTTTTTGGGTCTATTGTCTTACATTAATTAGTGCTACATTTGCATTTAAAGATTCAATTTATTCAACTCGGTTAATAAGGTTGAAATTGAAATTACTTTTATTTTCTTATCAACTGTTTCAATTTAGTTATGCAAATAAATTCTCTGGTGGGTAATATTGTTATTTATGGTTGAGAAAATATATATTTCTTCTGTTTTGGTTGGAATATGCAAATGCACATCTAATAAAAGTTGTAATTTAATTTTTTCAAGATTCCCCCTCATCTTGTGCCTAGTTTTGCATTTTGTACTTTGTTTCCCCCTGCCTCCCCTGCTGATGATGTATGTAAATGAATTTCTATACTTGGCGAATTTGATTTGTCAGGGGAATATACTCACTTGGATGCAGGACTTTCTGTGCCTTGCTGTGACTGGCACAGAAGGAGGAATACAGCTTGAAGTGGTTGACGTAGTACAAGAAGGCCGAGCCAATTGCAAAGAGCACATTCTGCGGATCGCCATGAAATGCAATTACTATTTGATTACATAGCTAAATATTTTCGGAAACTCACCCTAAACTGCCCGCAATGCTCGAACTTGTTGAACTCCGGCTCCAAGTCCAGGGACTCCTCCAGATTCTGCAGGAACTGTCGCTGGAATGTGACGATCTCGTGGATGTTGCCGAACAGAGCGTTGATCTCGGCATTGGAGAGGAATGTCTCGCGCTTCATGGGCTCCAGATAGTGTTCGAGCAGATTGTTCAAGTGCTGCAAGTTAATCGAGAGGCGGACGGTTCAATAGGGCCCGTAAGATAATACAAATTATGGGGGGACAGCGGCGAAAATGCATAAATTAAATTAAAAAATCAACGACCGACGACGGCCGCCCCCTTTTTTCGGCCACAACAATTCCCGGCGGAGTTGGCCAGCAGTTATGCTTGGTTGGAGGAAACTTTTTAGTTTCGCCAACTGGCACAAAACATGAAACAAAAAAGAGTGGAGAAATACTGTAGCATGGCCACAGGCGCGCGCTTTCATTTGGAACAATACTTCCGGGCAGCCGGGCCAAAGGGGGCGGCAGGAGGAGGAGGAGGAGGGGCAGCAGGTTGGGCAACCGCTCTCCACAGATAAGACCCGGAGCCTTCGTCGTTGCCGCAGCGGCGCTTTACATAATTTCTAAATTATAATAATTATTTGTATGCTTCCTGGGCCCAGACCAACGAAAACCAGACTTGAAGAGCTGGCTTAAAGCAAACACCGGGGCAAGGCGAATCGGTTTGGGACGGAAAACGGCAGGAGAATCCCAAACAGAAGCATAGCGACACAGTTAAAGGATTAAAATTTGCATTTTTAATTGCAGGAGGTCTTTTTGCCGCCCAACTCTAATGAACACAAGTCAGTGGTCGATGCTGGGATTTGCATTAAAGTTGGAACTGGGCACACTGTTCGAAAAAGGGTTTAAATTTGTTCGCTGTGCGAAGCGCTATTTATGAATACCATTTAAAAGCTGGGTAGGATTAAATGTTTTTTTTGGAACTTTATATTATTTTTAGAGATTTATGATAACTGAAGTATATAATTCCCAACTGGTTATAGCTTCGTAACATTTTTTGTTATTGAAAATTTAAAATAAAAAAATTTAAGAATGCTTTTAAAGGTTAGATTTATCGGTTTGAAATCGCCAATAAATGGTGTGCGAAATTTGTGGATTAAATTTAACAGCATACTTTTAGACACCTTTACACGCGAATTCAAATCGCCAGAGATTACAACTAGTATTCTTGCTCTGTAGACTCACCTTCACATAGGTCCGTTCCGTGTCCACCAGCTCCATGACGACTTTGCGCAGCTTCTCCGCATCGGTCAGCTGCCGTGATGGGGTTAATGCCGTGGTCGACACCGACGAGGTGACCGAGCCGGTGGGGCTCGATTTCCGTGTTTCCTGGGGTGAACGACAAAATCCGGTAACCTTAACACGGTTCACAGGTCAGGTTCAAGTTGTAGTTGTTGTAACAGTGGTGTTGTGTGCATTGTTGTTGTAGTTGTTGTTGAGTTGTTGTTGAGTTGTAATTGTTGTTGTTTTGGTGTTGTGTTGATTGTTGCATGATGAGGAGTTATTTCGTGGAACGAAAAGGAACAAACCCAAAGAAAGAACAGAACGAAAAGAGATGCGAGCGCGTGAAAAGGAGACACCAAATAAATGACAATAAACAAAAATGAAGTTAGCCATGACAGAGATAGATAAGAACAGCGATAGTTTATAACACCAGGGGGGGGAGGGGGTGGTTTGGCTTGGATCTAGGTGGCTAAGAGGTAGTGCTAAATGGAAGTGGGGTATTCAAAAGGGGGTTGAAACGGGTTTCGGTTTCGGGCGTGGCCAAAAGCCCGCGGCCACTTTAAGGAGACACGGAGACAGCTGCGGTTCTAAATGACTGTCACGTCCTTGTCCGAGTTGTTGGTGTTGTGCTTTGTCCTCCATGGCTGTTGGTGTTGCGGCCAAAGTGTTTGTGGGTCTCAATCTCAAGTCCTCCCCCTGCAAAGTAACTATCCCACCCACAACCATTGTGTGTGTGAGTGTGTGAGTGTGTGTGTGCGGTTACAGGCACATTTGGCACTGACAGTTGACGCTTGACGGTTGACATACACAAAATACATACGAACATGTCGGTGCCCCATCCTACTATATATCTTACATCCACCCCTCTCATCTTATCATACCCCCTATTTTTGCATTAAGACTTAGTGGCGGCAGAGACTTTCTTCTTTTCTCCTATTTGCTTAGCTCTTCTGCTTCACCTACTTGCCTCTTTGCCACAAGAGAAGAGAACAAGAAAAAAGAAAATGATAACACTGGCAAAAAGTGTTAAATGGAGCATTCCTGATAAATTGACTTAACAAAAGGAGGGGCAAATGAATTTGCATTGTAAATGCCTAAACAAACAGAACTCAAACCTCAAAAAAGGTCTTGAACTTGCTAAAGGAAGCGGAATAAAATGCTTGGGAATTTTAAAAATTATTTTGGATTAGAATAGAAACAGGCTAAAACTAAGGGTTCACTGGGGAAAAGAAAGTTACAGCCAAAATCTATCTAAATACTTGCAAGTATTATAAAGTGCATGTAGATATAAAGTGCACTTTTAATAAACTACTTTTACATTTCTTTTATTGTAAGATTTTTTATTATTTAAGTATTATTCTTAGATCCTAGAAAAACAACCAGTTATATATTTCTTATAGAACATTTTTCTGATTTGGCCAAGAACCTGAACTTATACATCTTTCCACATATTTAGCTGAAGTTTGCTACCCATTTATCTTGCTGCAAGAACTCGTTTATCACGCTGCCATCACTAGGCTTCAGGTCCATCACTTTTCTTTCCCCCCACCCCCCAGATTTTCTTTCTGCCCTGCTGCAATTGCAGTTGTCATTGTTTGGCGCTGTTGTTGCCCGGCATTGTGGAGACATTTCACTTTTATGCAGTTGCACTTTGTGTATTGTTAGTGCCCTCTCTTTCTTCTCTTGCCACTGCACCACACCCCCCCCTCGCTCTTTCCTTGGTTGTTGCAGCTTGTTCTTGTCTACTTTTAACTGTTTTATTGTTCTGCATTCTGGGGCTGAGCTGAGCTGCGCTGCGCTTCTGATTTGCATAAGCGACGCCGACCCAAAAGCCAAAACTGCAGACAGGGCGGGCTAAAAAAAATGGTAGGGAAATGGGGGGTTTTCCACCAGGTGAGACAGGTGCAACAACAGTGGCAACATCTGCGGCAGCTCGCTTCTGCTGGCTTTTGGCGCTGAGTGCCCACATTGTTGCCACTGGCCTGGCCCAAAGATGAAAAATTTGAAAATGTCTTGAATTTTGCGCCCAGCCTCTTCGCTCTTCGTTCTTCGTTCTTGGTCCTCTGTGTGAAATGTCAACTTGAATTAAAAGGATTCCTTATATAACACAACACCCTCTGCCCCTTTGGCACCCCTTTTGTGCCCCTGCCCCGTCTAGCTCCCCGCAGTGTGTTTGTGTGTCACAGTGTTCAAGTATCATTAAATGAAGTGGGTTTCTGCCAGTTTCGAGCACACTTGGGGAAAGCATATCCAGAAAACAAAGTGCATTCTGTGGCATCTTTGCTTGTTGTTCTATCTTTCCCAGCCCAACGTCTGGCCACCTACTGAGAGAAATAATCCGCAGTGGAATGGGAGCATCTTGAGATAATATTCAATCGGCTTGACTAGCCATCAGGTATTTACGGAAATTAAATAAAATTTAAATGGACAATTAAATGTGTTAAAATAAAAATAAATATTTCTTCAAAGCAGATAGAGCAGATTTTAAAAGAATGACTAATTTTGTATCCAAAAATAATTTATCTCAACATTTTTAAGTTTGATAAGTAAACGGATTTTTGCTTTTAAGTCTTTAACCATTATTTAAATATAATAACATTTAATAATAATAACAAGTTGTCGACTTTATTTTGAAATGCAAATTCCAATTCATTTTTTAGAAACCACTTGCTGATTTAAAATCTTGATCAAGAAACCATAACAAGCTGAATCTAATAAAATCTTGAAAAATTATTTATAAACATTTATTAAGAATAAAGTTTTTTTTCAAACTTTTTCTCTCCATGTAGGCATATCTGTTGTCCTGTATATATATATATATAGATATCCTTGATATTTTTATGCCAGTCACATTGCTAGCCGTGACGTTTATTGTTTGCTGCCTCAAGGAGAAGGAAGAGACGCTGCGGTGGCGGACGGGGATCCCCTCTTCTCTCTTCTCTTGGCGGCAGTGGCGACCCAATAGGCCAAATTTGCCATGACATCTTGAGATGTGTCGAGACACGCCTTGGGGCATAGAGCTCTCGGAGATCTCGCTTCCTGCTACGAGTATTCGTATTCCTTGCCACATCTTTTTGTGCAAATTTCAATTTGTGCACATTTCAATCACAAGTGCTCATTGGGGAGTGGCAAAAGGCAGAAGGAAGTCGGCCTTCCGAAACTGGAGTACAACAGCCCATATAACCCCATCCTTTAACCCCTTTTGGCCCCACCCCACCCCACCCCCTACTGAACGTTGTGTTTGGCGCTCGTTTTAATAGTTTCCGTTTCCGCTTTGCGAGTTCAAAGCAATTTGATTTGCCTTCCAAGTGGCAGGTTCCTGTGGGACGGACGGGTGGGTAAATATATACATATACATACTTAAAGGGGTGATATTGTGCAGGGGCGGTGCTGGGGGTCATGGGGGGTCGGGGGAGAGAGTTGTGTTTGCGTTTCCCAGTTTCCCAGTTTCATGAGGTCACCCCTCACCCACCCTCCTCCTCTTCTGATCCTCATCATCCCAATGATTTTCGGGCACTGCACTTACTTGCTCCGCGGTCTTTAGCAGATTCTCAATCTCAAAGCTGCTCGTACGCGACGTTGGCTTGGCCACGCCCAGTCCGCCCACGACCACGCCCCCGCCGCCCACCGCCAGCTGGGCGGCCATGGCGACGGGATCCACAAAGGAGGTGGCCGGCGAGCTTTCCGCCTCCGGCGAGTACAAATCCTTGCTAGTGCCATCTGAAAATTGGAGGGGAGATAAGCGAATGTTGTGATTAAGTATTATTATTATTACTACTTTTATTATTATTAGTTTTGGCCTGCCTCGTAATTAGTTGTGTGAGCAGTAGGTGTGTGTGTGTGTATAACAGGCGCCTGGAGAATATCGATTAAATGCTCGTTTTTTCGGTTATTTGTTGCTTGTTAATTTTAAATTCCATGTTTGTGCAGTAAAAAGCGAACGAAGGAATTTTAATACTGGCGAAAATGGCACGCCTTCACCCTCCTTTACTCCCTATTTTTTATTTCTCTGCCGCTCTGCCTGCCTCAAAGCCGAAAGTAATAACGACAAAAAACAGCCAGCAGCAACAACAAGCTGTAATGATTATTGCTGCAATGTGTTTGCCACAACGTCCACACACTAAAGGGCCAAAAGGAGGGGAGAGACACACGCTCTTAACCAACAAAAAATTTATGGCCCATACATATGAGGCCAACTCACTTGCACTTCCCAAAAAAGATACCGCAACTATTTTAGGAATTTTTAATCTTACAACATAGACACAGCCATTTCTTCAAGGAAGCTTTTTTGGGCCGAAACTGGCAAAGAGCTATCCAGACCACAGATACTGTATTGTTTTTGGGGAGCAAAAAGTTGCACAAAGTTTTTAAATATCAAGTTAAGTAAAGCAATAAGTTGCTGGAAACAAAAAATAGACAATCTCAAGAGTTTAAAAGTTTATATCCCAGAAGCGAATGTTCTTAGGAGGTTGTGAGTTGTCAAGGAAAAAAGAACTGAATTAAATATTATTTAAATTTATATCAATTTATTTTAAAATCTATAAAATCGTACAAATGACTTTTATTAAAGACCTTTTATTTTTCCAAAAATTAAATTAAAATTAATTTACAGTGTACTTTGGTATATTTTTCCAAGTTTCTGTGTGTTTTTGTGGCTTGTAGTAGAAGTAGTTTTGCCAGCGCCTAGGAAGCATTTAAAAATCATGTCCTTGAAGACCGCCTTGGTGTCCTGGTGTGGTGTCTTCTCTGCCCCACCATCCATTGTCTTCTGTTCTGTTCATTTGGCCCTTCTGCATGCAAATTTGCTGGCAACCAATTTTATGAACATTTTCCCTAAAATTTGACACCACACACAGTGTAAAGTGTGTGTGTAGTTATTGGAAATTGCCGTCTTATAAATTTCAGTTTGCGGTCTCCCTTTGCAAATTGCACGTAGTCCTGGTCCTAGGACTTTCACAGGGTCCTGGGTCCTGGCACAGAAGCCTGAGCTAATAACTCGTGGACGTGCCAAGCCGAATTTGTCGATGGCAAATAACTTGGCCAGTTTTAGTGGCTTTAAATAAAGTAAGACTTGCAGTTGTTTATGGCAGGAAGATACGCTCGAGGAGCTCTCAACTTGGGCCACTTTTTTGTTTTTGTTCATGTTCTCGGGTTTTTTTACGCCAGGATACTAAACAACTTGGCACAAGTCCTGCATAGTTTCTTGGGGGTTAATGATCCCTTGAATGTTTGCAAAAGTTTCTGAAGGAAATCCGACTCGTTTTTCGGTGAGTTAACTTGGTTGGCCTAACTTTTTTGGGGAACTACATTTCCGTAATTTAATACAACTAATTGGCAAGATTGCAGGTGAGTTATCAATAGAATCGTTTTTTGTGGGATGTGAAAAATTTAATTGAAAATTGGTGGCTTTCGAAAAAAGTGCAACTCTCCCTGTAATCAGTTACTCTACTTTTGTCTGCCTTTATTGTCCTTTTAACTACTCCGCCCAAACTTTTTGAGCCACCAGGATGTGTGTCAAAAAAAGGATTTATATATAAAAAATGGAGAAATAAATATTAATACACACACACACACGAACGACTCTCACACATATGCATGCATATATAGAGAGTCGTTTAATTTCTGCTACAATTTTTGTTTTGTTGTTATATTTTAATTCTTTTTTTAGTGTTCGTTCTGTGCCTTTTAATTGTTTGCCGCAACAAAAAAGTTTCATTTTGTGTGTTGCTGCTGCTGTTGTTGTTGTTGCTGTTTGTTTTGTGTTCTTAGCCACTTCGGCTTTTTGAGTGCAGTGCAGCGTGCGTGTGTGTGTGTGTGGGCGCTCATATGTATGCTGCAGTTTGTAATCCTGTAATTATGTAGTCGGTTGTTGCGAAACGACTCACACACACGCGCATCTCTCTCCCTCTTTACTTATTGATGTAATTGTTGTTGTTCATGTTGTACACCCACACTCTATGCCTCTCTCTTTCGCTCATTCTATGGCCGTCTCTTTCACTGGCCGTTGTCTAGAGCCAGCATTTAATGCGAAATGCAACAAAAAAAATATATAAATTACTTTAATGAACTTTACAAATTCGCATGCATGCCCGGAAATGCGCTTTTTCGTTTCCTGCCACACACACACACATACGTAGCACAGTATTCAGGGATAAAGGATAACGAGAGGCAGAGGCAGAGGCAGACGCACCTCAACGTCAAGGCTCGTATAACCGGACCCCAAGCCATACATATACGGATACGGACACGGAACCGTAAAACCATAGCCGTGATTAGTATGCTTTTGTTGTACGAGTGGCTGATGAATGCTGCCTGTGGTTTTCCCCCATTTTTCCCCTTTTCCAGCTTAAATGTTTAAAAACGGCCGAATTCGCTCACACAACAATTTCGAGGTTACCCGTGGGAGAATTCTTTCGGTTTTGCATGGGTGCATTTTCGCTTTTCGGGGTGGAAAATGGTATGTGGGTACTTACTCCAACCGGGGGCCGGAACAATCAGTCCAGTTATCATCTCCTCGCTCATCACCGGCGGATCTGTGGGTGGCGGCGGGCAAACGAGCGAGTCAATCATATCGTCCGTAACCCTCATGATCCCCACTAGATCTGGTGGCTCTGTGCGCGAAGACCTGCGGAATAACGGAAAAGAAAGGGGGAGAGAAACATAGATTATAACCGGGTATTAACATAATTTCCATTGCTGACCCTCTTGTTAAAAAAAATGTTTAATGCTGAACACCACCTGTACGTATTCTCAGGAAATCAATATTAATTAAGATGTAAATTTTTGCCATTTTTTTTAATCCATATTTATGAGATATAAAAACCTACGTGGTGCTGCTTTAAAAATATATTAAAACTTTTTCTCAGAACCTGATTAAATTGGAAATTCCAATTGTTTTTTAGTTGACACATCTATGTAAATTGTTACAATTACAAAGAAAACAAGGGAGCATCTTTGTGTTTTTAATCATATACCATTTTTTTCACGTGTAGTATTTGCATAATTTCCGTTCCTGACCCTCCTGACAAATCCAAACAAATGAACGTATAGCGACACCTGGAATGGATTCCGGACTACCGACTGCGGACTGCCGTGACCTTTTTCTGTGTCAGTGCGCGAAATTAGCAAAAGATGCGGAAAATGCTCCCAACGTGCATAATTTGAATGGATGGCTATCTGGAGTGGGTAAGGGGGAGGAGGTCAGGGGTGAAGCTGGGCAGGAACGGGCGCATTTGGCTCTACAAACGCTTAGCACAAAAGCTTTTCTGTTTTCGTTTGCCATAAAGAGAAGCTAATTAGGCTATCAAAATGCCGTTCGGCTCGCCCGAAAGGTGATGCAGGGGGTGGGGTTTTTGAAGGGGTGGGGGGTGGAGAATGGGGGATGGCCGGTCAACGAAACGGAACCAAGTGAACCCACCGACCACGTTCTAACTGCATGGCAAGCGAGAGAACGTGAAGTGGCAACGTGTTTGGGTTACGGCTTGTCTCCCCATTTTCCCCGTTTTCCAAACGTTTTCCTTTCATCCCCTCATCCCCTACCCCTCCACCACGCTCCGCACACATTTTCCAGCTGCGGCTTGAACTTGTTGTTGACTTTGCTGAAAAACTATAAACCAAAAATGGTTCGAGAATGTACATGGAACATTTTTCGGTTCAAACTTCCTCTTTTTTTTCTCCTTGTTTTTTTCCGATTTGTTGCGAAACAATTTCTGCCATTGGTTTAGTTTCCATGTTTTTTTTGTTGCCCCACCGCTCAATGGGAAACTTCTTATGGTGTAACATCATCAAAAATTGGCAAAGCTTGTCGATTGTTGACATTCTGGGGTGTGTGAACTTGATGTGGCTTGTGGCCAGTCGGTTGAGTGCTGTCGTAGTTAGAAAGCCCTGTGCAGAATGTTTTTAATTAACAACATCAGCTGCTGCAGGTTGTGGTTTTATGCGACTTTTTGTTTTTAAGCTGGCAATGGCCATTAATGAAGATCTCGTTGGTGATGCAGCAGCAGCTGCTGTTGCTGCTGCAAGCGATATTGGTTTGAAATCAGCTGAAATGTGTCAGTCAGTCAGCCGTTTTTGCCTTCACTTTTATGAGCCATATAACATAAAAAAGAACCCGGGAAATGGACACAAATCTCCACACAATGGTAGAACAATGGGCGAGATATTGCATTACGCTGTCAGGGAGCTCACTGCCCTAAAGCTAATTGACAGCCCAGCCTGGCCGGGTGACTAAAATAGTTAATTAATCCGTGTAACTGAAATTTAAACAATAGACTTGGCGCCCAACGTGGGGCATGGGGGGCGAGGCGGCGTATACTTTATCGCCGGCCATTCAGATCGAAACATCGAAACAGATGTTAAGCCGGGCATAAACAGGAACAATGATGGCCTGTGGCTGTCATAACTTACCGCATCATCATGCTGAGCGATTGTTCCTCCTGCAGGACGCTCTCCAAGTACATCATATCTAGATCGGACACAATTGCGCCATTGATGACCATTATTTCGTCTCCTTTGATAATGCCTGCAATTGGTGGAACAGCAGTGTTAGTTAGTTGTGTGTGGATACATGTATATATTGTATTGCATATAGGTTGAGTTTCTGCCATGGTCATTGTTACTTTTCAGTCTCGTTCCTAGTTCTATTCCCTGTGCCTTAGACAATGGGCTATGTTCTGTTCGGTGGGGGGGTGGTATCTAATGCTGCCTAGCAATCAAGGTGGTTCTGTGGGGCTGGAATCAATGTCTGACAATTGTGCGGCTGCTGTGGACCACTGACATCTTTTATGTAACAAACGATAAGCGGAATGTCTTCAGCTGGTGCTGGTGCTACTGCAACGGCAAATGCTGCTGCGGCTTCTATGCTCGTAAAACAATAACAACAAGAGCATTGTGGTTTTTTGCATTGTTCATACGCCACGTTATCCCAGTGCCATCGGTGCACTAAGCGAATTAATGTCTTGGAATTTATTTTTCTCGGACTAATAATATTAGTTTAATTTTTACTATTCAAACAATAACTGCATTAAACTAAAAGTAAGCTTAAAACTTCTTAAAGAAGGAATTGTACTTCTTAGAAGTGAGATAACAAAGTTCAATATTTTGGGGAATTTTCTTTTAATATTATTTATTTTTCCCAGTGCCTTTCCCTATATCTGCTCAGCGTTCGTTAGCATTTTCTACTTTGTCTGCATGACTCGTCTATCATGTGTGTGTTTGTCCCAGTCGCTGGCAGTGTTTTCTACAGCATTTATTCTAGCCATGATGTTGGTTATTCCTTGTTGCCTGCTTCGACCTGTCTTACCCCCCTTGGCACTCCTTGCCACCCCCTTTACCTTCCTTTCCCTTCCTGTTGACGACATGCATTCAGTTGCCTGCAGTTGCAAGTTACCAGTGTCGCTTATCATTGTTGGTGCAGCAGTAGCAACATTTTCTTAAGGCAAAAGTTCGATAGATAGACAGATATATGCTCGAAGTCCGCCTTGTGGCAATATATATTTTACCTTTTACCTGTGCCACACCTTTCTGTTTTCTGCTCCCCCCTGCATTTGTTACAATTTAAACGGATTTTTACATCTTAATGCTGGCAAAGGCATGACACATGCGATTTACCATACAAAATGCACAAATGTACATATAGAATGTGTGTATGGTATATATGGTATGCAAGTGTCGTGCTGTACTTTATCCGGGGGATTATTTCTGGCTCTGGGAGAAGACAAATTTTATTTATATTGCGGTGGCTCCTATGCCTTATCCCCTTATATCCCCATTTTTACCCCCGATTTGGCCCGGCATATGCGTTGTCAACACGTTCGCTTTGCTGTTTTCCAGTTGGCCTGGCCCAAAAGAGGAAGATGAAGCTGATGCCGAAGCCGAAGCCTGAGCAAATTGTTATTCCATGTTTGCCAAATGCTTTGCCACGCTTGTTTTTAGCGCTGCTAAAGTTGCACCAACCACTCCAGCCGAACTTTGTGCACTTGCAGTTTAAGAAGTCTTGGCTGGGAAGCCAAAGACCCAAAAACCCGAAGACTTTAAGACTTTTGCTTAAGGAAACCTCGGGGTTTTCCTTTCCGTTCCTTCATTTCTTCATCAGTCTTCATCTTCATCAGGGCCACCGCATTTCCTCGCAGTTCGTTACCATTCCACAATTAGCCAAGCAAAAGTGGCCAGAATTTTCCGCTCCCAGCCACATTTGCATTTGAAAGCTGCGGTCAGGATTTGTTTTTGTTTGCCACGTTTGTTTGTTCCCCTCCATCGAGGGACTGCGATTGCGAATGCGAACTTTTGTGCAATTCGGTCGTAAATGTTGTCTTATTCCAGCCTGTCCGAGCTTTGTTTTGCGGTTGCTGCTTAAGAGTTGCGTCTTTCGACATGCTAATAGCCATTAAATTCAATTGTGCCCAGCTTCCTTTCTACTCTCTTGCCCCTTTTTGCCCCTTCAATCATCTCCGGTTAGTGGTGAAAAACGGGGGCCCAAAGTTTCCTATTGCGTTCTGCGTTTTGCAAATGTAAATGCGAGTCCTGAGTCCTTAATTTATGCATACACACGCCACTACAATGAGTGGGGGATATTCTAGCAGAGAGCCGGCCAGATAACGCTAACGGTAGAGGGCTTAAAGCCGCACTTAAAGCCCTACACATTGTATTCGTAACAATATTATAGATATGGTAAGGTATTGATACCAGGGAATTAGAGTCCAGTAAAAGATTTTTTCATGACTAAGTAATGGACTTTCTATTAAAACTTAACTTAGCTTTACAACATAACTGATATTGCAAACTCATAGATCTATTTTTTCTAAACTAAATAAAAATCAATTTTAAAATAATAATCATCTTTTGAGGTCGTCTGATCTGTAGTTGTTCCTTCAAGCCGTTCCCGAGGTATTCTAATTTGAAGTTTAAGAAATATTTTAAAGTTCCTAACTTAAACAATTTAATTGCACAGTAAAATGGACACCAACAAATTTAAAAAATATCACATGTAATTCTTACCCAGTTTTGTTCCTCACTTCTCATTATAATTAGTCCCTAACCTTCCAAACGTATACGTAATATTTTCAGGTAATTATGTTACAAAAAAGTTACCTAATTGACCTGCTAACTCAAGCTGATGCAATAAGATCAATGCTATAACTGCTTCAGTGCCAATTCGCCGTAATTTAATTAAGCTAAGGCTTCCTGCATTTCCCTGCCAACGAATGCAACATTTGCTCAATCGTAAAACTCATTAGCACAACTCCTTTACCGCTTCTCCTCCTTCCATTTTTGTTGGCAGTCCAACTTTTTACCTCCCTGTGGTTGACTTTTTTCCTTTTTACCTTTCTTTCTCTTTTTTCTTTTTAGTGTGGAGGGAGTATGGGGGATACACTCCTTCCGGGGAATTTCGTGCGCATTGTTTCATGGATTTTTGATTCGTTGTCGCCTTCAAAAACCAACCAAATGAGCGCCACTCGCACTCGACGTGCTTAATGAGTTTTCTGCTGTTACTGCAGCATGAAATGTTCTTTCGGTTCATCACTTTGCCAAGTGCAGCACTGCAGTTTTTACCACCTGGCGGGAAAAGCGGCTCCTCCTCCTCTCTGCCTGTCAGTTCCATAATTTAAGGCGCTGTTCTAGTGGCATTTCGACTACATCCACTTGACTCCGTGGCGTTGTCGTCGTCGTTCTCCTACCCGGCAAATGCAAATGCCAACTTAAGTTGATTTTAAGTGATAGAAAAACAACAGGGAGGGGTGGGTGATGTGGATCTCGGATGCTGAGACGGCTCACTCTCGAGGAAAACCCCTTTAAGGACCTGCAAGCCGCCGTTGCCGCAGCCGAAGTAAACCGTCGCCCACACCTGGCAAACATTTCGAGTGCGCTGCTCATCACCATCATCGTCATCGTGGACCTCCCCCTTCCGCCCCCCCTCCCCCTGGAAAACCACCCATTCACCAGGTGGAACAAGCGCTGACAGTTGACTTTTCGCATTGCACGCCCCGAGCCTCCCCTTTTCGGGCTCAAACTCCACTTGACTCGACTCGGTCTCCCTTGTAGACCAAAGTGAGTTTGCTCAAGTTTCGTCTTGGTGCTCTCCACTTTTTTTTCCCCATTTCTTTTTTGACATAAAAGTGAAAAGCATTTAAATATAAAAGCAGCAAGCATACAACTACAGAAAAGAGCAGGCGGCGAAAGGCAGGGGGCCGCTACCTGGGCACTTTATAATTTTACTCGGCAACATTGGGCCACATTGTTTCGCTGGGGGCGCCAGGTGAGTTGTAGTAGTAGTAGCAGCAGACTAAAGTGGACTGGAGACTGAAGACGAAAGCCTGAAAACTGAATACTGAGTACTGAATACTGGGAGCCTCCAATCCCCGGAGACTCGGAAGACAAAGACTCTATTTCATTTCCTTGCGTTCCGCTGCGTCACCTCAATGGCATAAATTAAATGCACGATTTCATCGCCTGAATGCGATTTGTGTCAAAACCCATTTTCCTGTCCTGTCATCTGTCTGCTGGATGGACACTCAAAGGTCCTTTGTCCTTTTTGTACTCACCATTGTGCATGGCCACACTCTTGTCCTCCACGCGACTCACGTAGCAGCACAGCTCGTCCTGGCGCTCCGCGTTCTCGATCAGCTCCGCCTCCACGGAGAAGCCCCACATCTGCTCCAGAGTGGTGCGCTGCAGCTCCACCTGGTACAGGATCTTCATGCAGACCTCCACGAACTCGTGATTATGTAGCTGTGGCAAAGGGAAACATTAAAGGGTTTTGTTAATTTTCAAGTAATTTGAGTTTAAAGCGTAAATGCCCCTCTATGATTATCCCAGATTCCACTAATTAGGTAAAGAAATATGAAGCTTTTTAAATGGAAATTTTGATACAGAACGGGGAGCCATTTTAATTATTTCGAACATGATTTTCATAAAAATTCTCTATCAATTTCATTAAAATACACACCATTTGTAATTACAGTCAAATATAATATTATAAAAAGTATCCTTCCAAAACAAAATAATTATTCTACATTTCTGGTTATACCTTTATTTTAATTAGTTTTAGCTAATAATATTTCTATAAATATTTGTTCATTATAAGTTAAACTAACTCTCAAATGATAAAACTATCAGCTCTGTTTATATCTCAGTTAAAAGCAGAATTTAAAGAATCCTGAAGTTCGATTTGTCTTGAGTGCAACTTTTTCAAAATTTATGAACAATTTTGGTAATATTTTTCCGACACGAAAGGACGACATATCGATGGAAAGTGAGTTTGAGGGCGCGAGTTGAGTGCCAAATTAGCCGAGTTACGCCAGCAATCATTGGGGGCAGGGGCAGGGGCATAAATTGATTGAGTGGAGTTACTGGGAGTTGCTCAAGTTGTTGTCGAAATTTATTGAACTGCCAACGGCGAAGGAAACTTTTTATCAAGCCCACTGAAAGTGCCCACCATCACCAGCACCACCACTCACATTCGCACTCGCATTCCAAACTCCATTTGCAGTTGCAGTTGCACATTTTTGCCATTTGCCAATTGGCCTGGCCCAGGCCAATATTTACTAGCTTGTTGTTGAGGTCGGAGTTCGGATAGTTAGGATTGTTAGGGGTCGGCAGAGGCAGAGCCAAAAGGCCGGGGGGTCGAAAGTTTTCAGCTAGCGGCTGACTTGGCAGCTGGCTAAAGTCTCACCTAGACTAATCGTGTGCCAACTGAAGGGGAAAAGGGAAATGGCCAACGGGAAAGTTCATAATTTATGGCATTATGTTTTTGGAAATCGAAGAGTAATAGCCAGAGTGGGTGTGGAGATGAGCTAATTGTGCAATTGGCTACTTTGTTGCAAGTAGCTGCTGCAGGAGAGTACACTCAGAAAATGAATCGCCCTGAATTTTAGAAAATCGCCTATGGATTTGCTTCACTGGCGATTTTTTTCTTTAAAATAAAAAAATTTTCTACTGGTAAAGAAAATTTTCTTCCAATTAATCAAAATTCATTAAATTCAAGAAATATTCCAGAAATATAGAAAAAAATCGCCAGTAAAGCAAATCCATAGGCGATTTTCTAAAATTTTTTTTTGAGTGTAGGGATTTATCCGAAAAATCTAGTTTGGGTGTGAAAAATATTAAGAGTACTTTGGAAAAAGTTTTCATTTTGAAAAGTGAAACATGAGCAGTTAGTTATAGCACTGGTCGACAAAAAAAAAGCCCAAGAATAAAAGCTACCAAACCTGAAAGGATTTTAGCTGTAGAGAACTACCTCATACTTGGAAACTTTCCATCACGTCGAAGTTTTGAGAAATCCGTGGTCAAAGTTCCAAATTTTCGATTTATAGGTACTTTTTGCGACTTAATAGTAAGAAAACCCTTTGTAGCTCAGAGCCACAATTTAGCGGAAAAGGTACTTGGAACCTTTAACTTCAAGATTGTCCAATCACAAAGTTGGGCGACCTCTACTTCTTTAGGTACAATGGATTTTACAGAAGTACTTTTTGTCACTTTTTTTCATCTATAGTAGCCTGATATTTTTAATGTATTGTATGTGTATGGGTCTCAGTTCAACAAGGAAAATATCAGGCTACTATACATGAAAAAAAGTGACAAAAAGTACTCCTGGGGTTGCATTTCTGCGCAACATTCTCTAAAAATTCCAAGAAATCACCTCACGCTTGATTATGTATTATTCACATGAATTTAATAATTTAAATCGGCATAATTAAATGCCACGCAGTTAAAGCTTACACAGGCATTCCACTGCAGTCCCATTAAATCTGCAGTAATTCAGGGACATCTTCCACCCAACTCTTTGAATATTCCACCCCAGACACGTTTCCAAATTCCATTTGCACAGCTCCACATGCAATTTCCAAGTTAAATTCGATAAGTTGAATTGAACTTGAAGTTGGAGACTGGCACCCTCTCATCCCTGAACCTTCATGGAATCTAGTTAGCAGAAGGGGGATGGGAATTTTCACATTCTGGCTTTGATTATGTACTTACATAATTTTCAATCAGATCGTTGCGATGCGGCACAAAGTAATTGTGATCCTCCATGTCACGTCGCTTCTTGACGCGCACAAAGTGCTCCATGGGATTGAGGTTGCGACGGGCGCAGGCGCTGGCGAGGAATTCCTCCACAGACATGGCATCACGTAGATAAACTGTCGAGTAAGCATTGTCGGGCATTGCAACTTTGAAAGTTTTTTCCGGTTCGTCACGTGAATTCATCTGGAAAAAGGCAGAAAATTCGATTGGATAAACAGACATATATACATTCGCTTGGCTCTATATATATTTATGTACACGTACAATGTCATTAAGCAGTCAGGCACAGACATTTGCGAGGCCCACACACAGATACAGATACAAATACAGATATAAGCCCCATACCCAGCACCCTTATCCACATCCATACCCTCGCTTATTCTCGAATATGGCCACACGGAAGTGAAAATTGAAAAATAGCAAACACACACATTTGTACCCGCAGTCGCTGCCCCCCGACCCCCTGAAATGTAATGAAAAATGTCGCCAGCAGTAGCTCAGGCATCGGTAAAGGGAACACAGAGAAAAAATAGACAGGAGCAGTCCAAAATCAGGATAATTGACTCAAAATTAAATAATCTGATAAGTTTCTTCGAAACCCTCTAATATAAACCAAAATAAAGTCTGCGCTTGGTGTGAAAATTAAGAAATTAAAATCCGGATCCTGCTAACCCTTTTATTAATATTGTAGCTCCTCTTGATATATATCAAAAAATTTGTTCGATTTTTCTTGAATATTAATATTCCGTTTATTCTCTCAGTGCAGGAGCAGTCGCGGATCCGGACAAGCTGCAGGATCTGCTGCAGCACCGAGTTGAGTTTGAAGAAAACTCAGTTAAAATGCTTAACCGTTTCCACAACGTCATCGTCATCCAATGTTAACTCGGTGATGAGGCTTCCTGCTGCTGCTGTTCGTCCTTTTCGTCCTGCAGCTCCTAGTGCTCCTTCCCGAACTGCAACTGTAAACGAATCAGGTGGCCCAGCTGCCAGTTGTCGGCTGCTGGAAATTGCATTTGTATTGGCAGCCATTGGCAATGGGTTCGTTCAAGTTGGCAGCAGCAGTTCCGCAATTCCCCCCCTAGCAAGAGGTCCTGGCCAGGTAATACACCCACACTAACATACACACATACAGAGGCAGGACAATTGAATTAGTTTGGCAGTCGGCAAAGGGCTGCTTCTCACTCACGGATCCCAGCTACAAGAATTGACGGAGAAGCTCCGTTTGCATTTGCATTGCATAACAATTTTGCATATCGATTACGGGATCATTACGCCAGACCAAATATATCAACTTTATATTCATGGAAATATATGTGAATTTTTGCTTTCATTTATGAGAAATGTGGATTATAACGAGCTACAGGATAATAGGTCAAATGGAACCTTTTAAGTGCCAAAATATATAAAAATTAACAATTATAAACAGCTATTTAATTTAAACAAATTTTGTTTTGCCATTCTGATCGTTGTTTATCTTTTTAGTAAAAAACCCTATACATTTTTATTTTGCTAACTTTTTTATTGAAAAGAGAATAAACCAATTTTGTATAAGCAATTTGCTAGATAAACATGTTTTGTCAAATACCAAAAACACTTTAGGAATGAAAGCTCTGAACTAGTCATCCAAGAAGAAGTAGGTTGGTAAATTGAGTACTTAAAAGTCAATTTTATGATTTCCATTGTCAACATGGGAAAATGTTAATCTGTCTGTTCCTGATTTCGAGCACCAATTGTCCTCACATTTGCACTGTATCGGAGATTGGAGCCCTAAAAGACGATTAATTCTGCACGAACGCTTCTCGCACACTTAACTCTCCTGACTAATTAACTTTTGATTGTTCCCGACTGAGTCCCCTTAAGGCCAGGAAATTTTCAGCTTTCTGCCATTGTCGATGGACAGCTTAATTAAATTTTAGCCAGGGTATTTCAACTTTTGCGAGATGGTTATTTCGACTGCCGTATAACTGCTGCACTGCCGATGATAATTTGCTTTGGAAAGCTTTAATTTTATTTGCCATTTCTGAATTGCAGCTGCAATTTCTGCTGCACTGCAGTTGACATGTTCGAAAAATGGCCAAGTGAAATGCAGTTACACGGCGGTAGATGTTGGTAGTCGGGGAATTGGCTGGTAGTCGGTGGAAATATATGAACCAAATCAAATGCACATTTTTCAAATTCATTGAATTTGCAGCGCATTTACAACGCAACAACTCCGGGTCTCTCATTTCATTTGTTTTTCCCTGGCAATCCGAATGCGAATCCAACTTTTTTCCCTATTTTCCTTTTTTTTTGCAACCGAATGGCAGCGTGACTGCTGATAGAAGGTGAAAAACTGGGTGGAGGCAATTGTGCAGCGTTGGCAAATTTAATTGGAAATGAAGTGCACGCCGGGCAGAGCGAAGCCGAGAGTGAGCCCCATGAAATCCGAGTTGTGCACAAGATTATACTGTCAATAATCGAAATAAATTGAATTTATGAAATGAATTTCATTACAAACACGAGATATGCACAAATTGGTTATACTAATTGAAGCTTAACAAACAGCACAAGTGAGTCCTGTCCTGCTAATCGACTGTCCACATTGAGGTTGATATAATAAAATGCCTCCGGGCTATTTGCTTATTTGCTGGAATTTAAACATCTCTTCGTTCTGCGGACGGACCGCTTCTCGACTTGATTTAGATTTGATTGTGTTGAGGTCATTAGCAGGGGAGGGGATGGGCCGGCATCTGATCACCATTTGAAATGGACTCCTGCATTATTCACTTAAAATATGCAAATATTTTCTTTTGCCAAGTCAACTTGGGTATTTTTTCTCTCTCCTTCTTTTCCGCGGCTTTTCTTTTGCCTTTTGCGGAGGGGAGAAATAGAGACGAGAGACCCTTCATAAATTTCATTATTCTTTTTGTAATTTTTGATGGCCATTAAATGCAAATTATAAAAGCCAAAATACACAAAAACAGCAAAAGTCTAATGGACAGGGGCGTGGCCAGTCGACATATTTTTTTTTTTTGGCGGCCATCCATTTAAACATTAGCGCTCAATTTAGCTTTTAATGCCGTTTCCGTTGCCTTAAATAAAAATTCAATTACTCAGACACACACACACACGCACACGCACAGCTATAAACACACAAACAGTCACGAGTTGTGCCGTAAATGCGTTTAAAATTGAAATAATTTTATTACCCATACGCCCCGTGGCCGCACATAAATGCACACATTGATGCGGGGACAGCCATGAACGCACATAAATGTTTGTGTATATACACTCAAACAAAAAGTAACCCTAGATTTTTAAAGGTTCGGAATAATGATATTTTTAAAAATATATATATTTCACAAATTTGGAATTACTTTTAATTATAAAACATTTTCTGAAGTAAAAAATGTATTAAAAATAAATAAGTAATTAAACCATTGTAACTACTGTCTAAATTTTTTCATTAAATAATTAAATTAAATATCGTAAACAAAATAAACAAACTCACAGAAAGTAAAAACATAATTAAAAAAACGCAGAAAAGCTTTTCCGTATCCTAATGAATAAAATATTTAATTTAAAAAATTTAAAATAAAATACATATTTTTTTAATAATTTTAATCAGGGACCGAAAATAATGATTATTTTTTTTGAGTAAAAAATAAAAATCTCCATTTAATGATTATTTTGTAAGCAAAAAAAATATCGCTCAGAAATAATGATTATTTTGTGAGCGATATATTTCGCTCAAAAATATCACTCAAAGTGGGATTGCATCCGTCCTACGCGGAATTTTACAAAGATTTAAATGTGCTCTTGTAGGTAGAACCACGGAGCACATATTCCGTTAAGAAAAAAATAAATTTTCTTTGTATAAACCGCTTAAAAAAAAAAAAAAAAATCATTTTTGTATAAAAACACTTTCTGTGGGAATCGAACTCGTGCTTACAGCTCGGTGGACCAACACACTAACACCCAGCCTACATGTCGGGTTGGATCTAAGTGGAATAGTTCATAACATCTTGTTAAGTCGTTTTACTAATAAATAAATGACATAAAGTTCTAAGGTTGATACAACTTGTTGTATTTAAGCATACCTCATGTCAACTAAAAACCGCGTTTTAAAAAGTTTATACAAAGAAATCACCTTCTTTTATTAACTCGATGTGTGCTCCGTGGTTCTACCTACAAGCAGAAATTTAAAAGTTTGTAAAATACCGTACAGAACGGCTGTAATCGCACTTTGAGTGATATTTTTAAGCGAAATAATATCGCTCACATAATAATCATTATTTCTGAGCGATATTTTTTTCGCTTACAAAATAATCATTAAATGGAGATTTTTATTTTTTCACTTATAATGATTACGGTCCCTGATTTTAATATTAATTTTTCTATACTATAACCATATTATACTCTACTTTTTTGAGTGTACACCTGTAGTATTTGTGGGATTTCACTCACCTGCATGGAGCGACGACTGGAGCCGCTGTTGGACCGCGACAGCATCGGCGGTCGCCGCTTGGTGGCCCCGCGTCCGGCGAGCAGGTTATTGAGCAGCGAGGGCGAGCGGGCGCAGATGAAGGCGTGGAACGAGGAGACCGTGAACACGCCCAGCTTGTTCAGCGTGTTCTTCGTGGGACGCGACACGTGAGTCAGCAGCGACTGTTGAATAAATGACGAATGCGAAAAGTTTCAAATTAAATGTGAATACAAGTTATTTTTGGGACACACACAAAGACCCTGGCAGTGCCCCCCCCCCACCCAAAACTAATTTCGTTATATTTACGATCCTTTCAGAGAGCATTAAAAAGCAGAGCACCCACACATACACATACACATACTGGTACGCTAGTACGTTCGTACACCTATGCAAATAAGCCTTTGGCATCCTGCAGTCGACTGAAGTTGTTCTCTTCACAGGTGCTGAAGTTGTTTGCATTTTGTGGTTATTAATAATAAATAATGTTGCTTTTCAGGCACACAACTGCACTTACAGCCCCGTGGAACTGGAACCGTCACCCCATTTTCCAGCCTGCCATTAAAAGCGCAATCAACTTTCAACCCTTTCAGTCAGACGAGTCAGTCAGTGAGTCCGTTTAGTTCAGTCAGCTCAGTCAGTCGGCGCTCGCAAATCCTTCTAAGGTTGCCAACAGTTGGCGCGGGCAAAGGTTGCCTTTAAGCCCATTTAAGATGCTTAAACTTTTGTTATGGAGATTAATTGTGCATGTTTGGGTTTTGATTTTGCCAGAGTACCGAAACGTAGCGCTGAATTGCCTCTTCCTCGGCCATTGTGCAAATAGGTAGAGGTAATTATAGACTACTCGAACCCGTAAAGGGGTTTAAACGGAATTGTAAACGGGTTTTGTTGTTAGAGGGATTTGGGCCAATGCCATTGTGCCGGTCTTAAGCTCTCGACCAGGTTGTGAATCTGCTTTTGATGTTTCTGTGAACCGTGCTAAAATTAAGCCTTGTGGTGGCTTTAGGGGCCATTGTTCTGGCATTGAGCAGTGATTAGAGAGTAGTTCATCAAGTTTATTTTGTGCTGAATTTCCTGATTAATTTCCCTGTTTTTAAAGCCGCCACGAGAGTAACAAAGGCAGGATTTAAACTAAAGCGAACTTTAATAGGTAATTTACTTGTAATAATTGTAATCTAAGCCCTTTGCCCTAAATTCTAATTAGAGTAGCTGCAAAAGTATTAGAAGCTCTGTAACAATTTGTTTTGTCACTTAATGCCCTTTTGAAAAGATTACTCTATCTCATGTACAATTTTAGAGCCAAACTTTATTTATTTATTTATTTATTTATTGTGGTTGTCTAAATAAAATATTTACATTGCTCTTTATTGACACTATAAAAAACAAATACTAGAAGAGACTGTACATCAAACACGTAAATAAATTACGACTTTGTAATCGGAAAAGTTGTAAAAGCTTTTACAATTTTGAATCTTTAAAGTTTTCTCTAAAATAACTTTTAGCAGAAACAAAATTGGTGTATTTTTTCATCCATTTATTTTAATTGTCCAAACAAGTAATTAAATCAAATGTATTAAGAAGTCGCGTTATTCCCCATGCAATAAATGGCGCCCAACGTGGGGCATTCTCTTCAACGGTGCCCAAATGTGGGCAATACTTTGTACCCTAACAACTGTCCTCGTTCAGGATGAATTATAAAGCCGCCAGCAGGCAGTGCTTCCGCCATTAATTGCATTTGACTTATCTCTCTGACAGGTCGAATTTTGGGGGCACTGGTCGACAGTCGTTTCTGGGCCATAAGCCATAACTCACCTTCGGATTGGGCAGCTCGCCACTTTGCAGCGAGGCCATGTAGCAGCGCAGCCGGAACTGCTCGCAGTGGAGCCGCTCCAGATTCTCCTCCCACTGCAGTATCTGCGTCTGGATCTGATGACGCGTCTCCTGATCGGTGACAACTGATTGCTGCAGTTCGGCCATGTGCTTCAGCTTGTGATCCTGCGGGGCGACAGAGGAAGAGGGGACATAAAACCGGGTTAGTGCTGGCATATGCATATATATAGGTACCAAAGTAGGGGCAAGGATGTGTGTTAGTCGTGCGGCACTGCGACACTCGTTGGTGGGTTATGAAAGCATCCGAGGCATGGCATCATTAGCATTTCATGGCAGCTTTGTCCCACTGCTGCTGCTGCTGCTGCTGCTGCGGTGGTTGCCATTTGACGAAAATACATAAATCACGCGTCATGTGCAGCTAAAATTTTCCAGCTTTTCCTCCCCGGATTTCCCCCTTGGATTTTCTCCCCTTGCGCAATTCAAATATCTCTCGCCTGCTCTGGCCTTCCATCCTTCTGTCCCTCTGATAGCTGAAGTGCGTTGGCAATGCACCAAAAAAAAAAAGGAAAATAAAAAAAATCCCCTTTCGACGTGGAGCCAACGGGAGCTGCATATACATGCCCCTGTTTTCATTACAAATACCGTTTGACTTCCGCCGCAGCTGCCCCCCCTTTTTTCGGTGGTGGGCCAGGCGTGGCACCAGAATTCAGCATTTGAAATCCCACTTTGGATCCCACTTTCACGTGCATTTATAGCACGCTTGCATAGATCTCACGGAGCACGTGATTGTTTCATTTTGGTCGCTGTTACAATTCAGCTTTCCCGCCGTTGTTGTTGCTGCTACTGCTGCTGCATTGAATGCGAGTCAGTAAGCTGACAATTATTTGCAGATGTAGATGCAGTTCCATGTTGTAGTTGCAGTTGCAGTTGCAGTTGCTGGCTGCCATTGCCATTGCAATGGCAACAGTGTGTGTGCCGTGGGCGTGGCAACAACCTGAATAGGCACTTTCGATGTTCGACATTTTAATGAATGTGTACACATAAACAGGCAGCGGCAAAAGGACCAAAAGGCTCGTCGGGATTGGGGTGGTGCTACCTGGGATTACGTGGGTAACTACTGGCACTGCTGCTGCGTATTTGAACTGTGCGACGTTGAGCCTTTTCAATGTTTGTTTTACGTGGAAATAAATCAAAGTTTTGTGCATTTTATTTGCACATTTCACCTACGTATGCTCGATATGACAACGTGTGCGATGCTGCGGTGGCATCAAGTCTGCAATCGATATGTGTGTGGTGTTGTGTGGTGGCAGTGGCACCCTCACTTAATTCAATTCCACTAAAGATGGCAATGATTCGTAGTTGTGGTCTAAGCCACAGCCATTCGGCAGGCATAAAGTTGGTTAATTATTAAACCAAAATCCCATTATGCACTGCGACCGCACACACACACACACAGAAAGCGGCTGAAGGATGTTCGGGGTGAGATTCTGTCTCCTTGAAGGAGTTGTCCTCCTCTTGGTCGCTGTCAATGGCACTTGGCACTTGAGGAAAGCTGCTTATTTGACAAACACAAACCGGAAGGAGGCTGGGTGGCCTCCTCCAAGAGAGAGAGAGATAGACCCACTATACACTATCTCGGGGCCCCGACTCAGTTTTTTGATTATTTACAACACAAAACTGTGTGGAAGGGAGACTTCCAGAGGGGCAGGCAACAGTTTGTCCTTGTCAAAGTAATATGGGCTCTTCCTGGCCCATAAATAGCTCTCGCCTGCTTGACCATTAATCGCCCTGGCCATTGTATCCATTGTGCTGCACTCCATCTCCCCTTTTGGAGCTCCCCGTTTGGAGCAGGCCCTTCAAGGGTTAATGGCAATGTTAATGGACTTGTAATTGCCATGCAATTGGGAGTGTAAATCACGCAAACGATAACTCCCGGCTGCGAATCGCTCCAGGGTGTTTGAACTCCACTGGGTGTCCAGTTCGAGAGAGAGAAATGTTCGCCGCACATGCAATGGAAATATTTGACAAACAAGGAACGCTATCTGCTGCACTCAGGAACAGTAGCTATTCGGTTCTAGTTTGCTGTCCTTTGTTTTGTACCAACGTTCAAACGTAATAATCCTATAGTGCCCATAGAATGAAACAAAGGTAGACTAAGAGGATTTCATTCGTTCCCAGAAAGCTCAAATTGCTAAATCTATACATTGACAATACAATATCAACACAGGGAGAAATATTCAAGCACATGGTTCTTAAATTGAAAACATTCGTTTTTAAAAACCGTCTGGGCACAAATGTACTTATTATTATTATTTAATATCAGAAAAAAATGGTGAGAAAAGTTTAATGGAGTTTACTCTTCAATACTTCGAACTGGACTAATTGTTTACTTGTTTATTATTAGCTTATTATTTTAAGAACCTTTTCATCTCAGGTGAGCTCGACAGAACTCTCTCTGTAAAGGAATAAGGCTTTTCCAGGTATAAAGGTTATAAAGTTGCCAAATTCAGAGAGATATTTAATTAAAAGGTGTGGTTTTATAAAGCCTATTGCTTAATGGCCTATTGTTAAAGAGCTCCTTTGTTTTCCTGCAGACGGTGCTCGTAATTTAAAGTCAATCTCCTTTCGGGTTAGGCTTCTTCCGTTTGGGCAACTCCCCACACTGAGTGAGAGTACCGCCTACCCATTATTTTGAGGCTTCCTTCCTCCCGGCCCCAAATCCATTTCACTGCTCCTCCTGCGGGAGGATATTAAGAGCACTCCCAGGACGAAACAGGGGATGCACTTGTGCAGCAGCAGCAGCAGGCTGGTCTGAGACTCTGGTCACGGTCTCGCTGCGGTTGCCGCTTGTTTTGACACATGTCACGCGCTAAGTGACAGCCCCAGCCACAGTTCGAGCGGCTCCTTGCCGGAGGATCCGAAACCCCGGCACCGGCTTGAGGTCCTGCGGACTCCCTGCTTTCATCTCAATTCCCGTGAATTTTATTATTGCTGCATAGTTGGATTCCCATCTATTTTCCCCATTTCCCTGGCCGTATCTGTCGCTCCTTGACGATGAGTTTTTGCGGTTCGCCTATTTAGTTGTCCTGCCTCCTCTCTCTCTCTCTCCTGCTGTCCCTGTCTTTGTCCCCCAGATCCTGTCCCGCTCAGTTGTCGTGCGGTCGTGTTCCTGTGGTCCTGCCGTTGTCTGTTGCGCTTTCATTAAGCGCCACTTGAGGCTGCCTCTGCCCCTGATGATGCCACCGTCCCAGAGCTCACATTTGTGAGCCAGCTACACGGGGCGAAAAGAGGGGGGTTTTGGGAAAATATCTAGGGGCTTCGCAGAAATAATGCACATGACGTTAATCTGATTGACATCTGATTTATGTCAGTGGCACTTATTTATTATTTTTCTCATTCCTAGTGCTTGCATTTCTCCAAGGGAATAATTATCTTTTGTTTTTAGAAATGTAAACCACATTTTCAGCGGGGGTAAGATAAACAAATGTGTTTATTTATAACTTTTTACCCGCATTACTCGGGAGTGCTATTATAAATGTGATATGTTTGAAAAATGATAAATCACATATCAAGAAAGATGGGTAGAATATTTTCCAAATCAAAAAGTACTAATATTCCAGTAATAAAAGTCTTATTTTTAATGAAAGCCAATCTAATTTAGGCCCCCAGTTTTTCCCCCAGTGTGTCAACTGAATCTGAAGCTGGTCGGGAGCTGCCATTGCCATTGCTAGATGTACTTGTTATTATTATTGCTATTCTTGTTGTTGTCTCTGGTCTGCCATTTCCGCTTGAGAGTCGAGAGTTTGGAGAGTTCATGGTTCTTGTTTTCTTTTTTTGTTATTGTTTTTGCTCCTGTTTTCGTCCCGTAGCTGCTGTGTTTTGGTTTGATATATGTTTTTACTCGGGAGTACAATTAAAAAATACATTTTACCATTGTTGTGTCCCCGTTGTCAGCATTCAGCATTCAGAATTCAACGTTCAGCGTTCAACGTTCCTCGCATGACAAGCCAAAGATGCTTGAAATGGCAAAACCACTGGTACAACACAATAACCAAGTGGGGCAAAACAATGGACTGAAATAATAATCATGCGACGGCAGTGAGGCAAAAGGACTAGAGGACTAGTACTCGTGACCCCGGTATCAGTTTATTTTGTTTGCCACTGCTAATGGGCCCTGTCCTTGTCCACTTCACTCCATTTCCACCTCAACTCCACTTCGGGCTCCACGATAACAATCAATTAGAGGAGGACGAAGAGGAGGAGGCCCAAAAGGATATTGAGTTGTTCAATGAAGCTGGCCCTCTCCTTTGAGCCCAGCAGCACCTGCTCAGATGACTTTTGACATGGCTTGTGCATTAAATGGCTGCTCCATTGCAGTCAAAAGTCAGTGGAGGGTTCACGTTCATGTTCACGTTCACTCTACATAAACCGCATAAAGAGGTAAAGAGAGATGGGGGGCGCTCGCCCATCGCCCCTTGTCAACAAAAGGCCTGAAAAATTGTATATGGCCTGCATAAATGCTGACCACAAAATGATGCCACATTATATAACGTGTGAGTGCTGCAGTTGAGCGGTGCTCCCCCTAGAAACCCAAACCCAAACCTCTAAACTGGCGCCTAGGTCTGTGGCCACAGGATGAGCTGTGTGATGGTGTTGGGTATTCGGATGTTGGGTATTTGGGTGTTGGGTTGCTAGGATTGCTGGGTATTCCTAGTTCCCAGCTCCCAGTTGCTGTTGACAATTGAATTGAATTTTCCGCCCCTGACCACAGCCACGCCCACTGTGTCAGCGCCTACATAAAGCATATTTTCGCATCTGCATGCAGCAGGCTCGCTCTGTTCTGTTCTGTTCTCCTGACTTTCCACTTCCCAGGCCAACGAAAAACAAATCAAAAACCAAAGCAAACGCATTCTGCGCAGGGTTAGTGGGTGGATTGTACGGGGGTCCTGGGGATTAAGGGGCTACCATTCTGCTGCCCGGCTGCTGTCCTAATGTCCTCCTGGCCCCGGTGGCAACCATATGCCAGACCCATTTCCTGTGCAACTTTGGACCAAAAGTTGCAAAAATATTCGCACGTTTGGCCAAAAACAAAGCTCAACCACATATGTATGTGTGTGCGTGTGCCTTTTTGTGCCGGACTTTCGAGTTCAACTCGTTTCTCATATTTCTTGCCATAAATTTTTACCATTTTGGCATTAGTTTATGAACGGCCACACCCCCGCCACCCACCCACACACACACACATAATGTGTGTGCCAGGTCAAACTAAAGTTCTTTTTTCCCATCATGAAGAAACCTCGGGACAAAAACGAACCGAACAAGTAAATTTTATGGTAATTATAAACTTTATGGTTTCATTAAAAAATATTGAAGAGAGAACAGAGCAGAAAAAGTAAAATAAAACGAAAATGCCGAAAAAAATGCACAATACGAGTGGGAAAATGGGGAAATAAGGGCTGTGTTGGCGAAAGGGGGAGCGCATTGTTTTCCCGCCTTTTTGCCCACCCCAACCATCGAAGTTTCTTCACATTTTGTGCGGCTTTAAGTTGGTCTAATTAAGTAAAGTTTTCGGTGTAAGTTGAAATTAACTAAATATGCATTTCATTATAATTTTGGTTTACAAATTTTCGGTTTATGGCCGGGCGAAGCGTTGCTAGCCATCAGAAAAGCCAAGTGAGAAGAGATATGTATTACACAGTATATGCATGCGAATGTGTTTGCAAGTGCGGTTGGGTTTCACTTTAATTATTATAAAATTAATTGCACACTTTAGGGCTTCCCCCGAGTGCGTGAGTGCATCTGTGTGGTTGCTTTTGTAACTGGAGTGCAGAATTTAAATCTTCAATGCTGACGGAACATCTGAAATGATTGCCTACTTTCCGGCTCAGCAGTCAAGAAAAACAATTTTCATTTACTAAATGTTTTCATAAAGCGCAATTTAAATATTTTACCGCCATTGCGACTGCACAGAAATTGCATTAAGCCTGCCAGAATTCAGGACTGTTGCATCATTTAATTAGTGCAATTATTTAAAATCGATGGCGGCCGCAACAAAATCATTTGGCCGCAATAAAAACTGCGGTTAAGGTTTTTCAAAAAACTCAACAACTGGGTGAAAAGTGAGTTTAAAAGAAGGAGATATGTTTTAAAGACCGAAAAGTAATTTAATGTCTGAATCAAAAGGCAATATCTGAAATTCTCTTTTTGTAAAAAAATAAAATATGTGGAATTAAAACTTCTCTGAAAAGATTTTCATTAAAAAAACCCTTTCATCACTGAAGAATTAGTATATTTTTGCAGCTACGTGCTGAACATGAATAATTTTGAATTATTCCCTGTTCCTTTGCGAGTAAATATAACTATTTTCGATCATAACATTCAATATGAGTTATTTTTGAGCCTTTGAACATACATGTTCGTTACCAGAGGGATAAAATTGTGTAAAAAATGTTAAAGCAAACAACAGTTTAAAACCAGTGCTTCGGCCAGGGATTGGAGCTGGAATTGGTAGGCGTGGTGTGGGCGGGGGGCGGCAACGAAAAGTGGGCGGCAGTGAGTTGCTATTGAGTTGAAATGACAGCAGCCATTTCAAATTGAAAGCATTCAGGAGGGGATGAGGGCAACAGAAAAAAAAAAACGCGAGTAGCAAGTGAGCCTTGTTTAGACAGCGCCGCCATGGCAATTGCACATCAGGTGCGAGGGGGGTTGGGAAATCCACCCCCACCCCCTCCTTTCAGGTGAAAGGGAGGTGATGTGAAGCTGGTGTCGTAGGAGTCGTAATTAGAGCGTAAAAACCAGAGCGTACGAAAAACCAAACGCGCTCGGGCAGCTACTACTATTTTTTTACGGTCCTGCATTGTGAATATCTCTGTGTGAGTGTGTGTAAGCTTACGAGTGTGTGTGTGTGTGAGTGCTTTATGCGAAAAGAAAAATAGATAGCTAGAAAAAGAAGCAGCTGGAGGAGAAGTATGCCCACACATTCCATATATATGTGAGAATATATATATAAGGCAAAAAACTAGAAAAGCTAAAGCAAACGAAGCGAAGTGCTGCCAAAACCGCCCGTTCTCCCTAGCCACCCCCTTTGCCTCCCCCCGCTGACACATATATGATTATTTCCGAAAGGTGACAGCTATAAAAAACAACAACAACAACAAGCTAGCAGCGTAGGCGTCGCACAAAAGTAGAAGGCAAGACAACAACAAAAAGTGGCAGAAAAAAAGGACAACACTGTTGCTCTTTTCACAGAAAAGGGGCGGTTGGTGACCCGCCCACACGCAAACACTCACACACTCGCACACACAAAGGGAGCAACTAGAATGATGCGTTGGTGTGACACCTTTTTCTTCTTTCCTTACTGCCAACTGTATCATCTTTCTTTTGATTTCATTCAACCCTGGCAACCCTTTTTTTCGGTATTTTTCTAGCAAATTAATTAACAACAAATGGATCAACGCAGTAATGCTAAATACTAAATGCAAACTGCATTTATGGCCGCTCCTTAAGCTCATTTAATTAATATTCATCCAACAAGTTTGTTTTTTTGGGGGAAAATGAGGAAAAGCGGAAGCAATGGGACCCAGAGCACTCTTATGGCAATCTCGGACTTCCGCTCAATGGTTTTTGTTTTCTTTCTCTTTCTCTTACTCAGCAATTTCTATTTTTTTTTTCGTTGGCCAGCGAAGTAAACACAAACAGGCCGAAAGTGAGAGAGAGAGAGAGGGCGATAGTGAAACGGAGCAAAAACGCAGCAGTTCAAGGAAGTAATTATGGTTTATCCAAAGGGACAGATAGTGGAAGATGTATGAAGGAGCACGGCAAAGGCAGGCCTTCTCGCTCTGGTCATAACATCAAACTACAACTTTGCGGAGCAAATGAGAAAAAAAACGAAATTAAAAAAGGGCGCCAAGAAAAAATGGAGGTGGGCGGGGAAAACTTGCAGAAACTGGGGCACACAGAAAAAATCGAGTACAGATGATGATTACATTATGAGTTATTTAAAGTTATAATTTTCTTTGAATTTAAAAAAACAAACTTCTTGATATTTTACATTAAATGTTAGATATTCAAAATAACCTTCCAATTTTATATTACAAGATTTTACTAGTTAGATTATAATGAATACCTTAAAGATTTAGAACCTAACTAAAATATTCCAATCAAAAATTTACAATCATAGAAAATTAGAAAAATTTACCTTTGCACTTTAATTTATTTGTTCAATTACTTATATATTTTATTTTACTGTTGTTTTTAACATTAAAAAATCAAAAATCAAGATTAATATTATCCTTTAAAGTTATCTGCTGGATATTAATTACTGCACTAAGCAAACTTCTACGAGTCACTTCTTATAATAATTTCAAAACTTTCTTTTGCAGCATTTCCCATAACCGGAAGTTGTAATTTTCCGGCAAACACTGTAGCAGCTGAGGCAGCAAGAGCAGCAGAAAAATCAGAGGCAGGAGCTGGAAAACAGCAGCAGCGATGCCGGCGACAGAGACGAATGAATCAAGTTGTTGAGGATAGGACAGACAACATAATTGTCTTTCGGAGTCCTTCTAACTAACTAACAACCAACAAGAAAAACAAGGTTGCAGTGGCGGGGGGTTGGTGTAAGAGTGGCCAGAAAGAAAGGCAACTGAGAATGACATGATGAAAAATAAATAAACAAATAAAGTTTACTTTCTTTGGCGGTACAGAAACTCCATATCTCTTCCTCGATTTCCAGTTGCCTGGTTTATCCAGAGCATTTATCGTGGGCCAAGTGCAATTTCTTGTAGTTTCCAGCTCGAGTTCAATTCTGTTTGCTTTTGCTTTTGCGATTCGTTTTTCCATTTCTCCTCCTTTCGCTTTGTCTTGCGATTTGCGACGCGCAAAAATTTCCCTCACTTTGATTTGGTTTCCCCCAACCAGCGAAACACCCATCCCAACCCAACACCCCTTTCTCCTTGTTTTCTTTTTACAAAAGTTTTCGCTGGAGAGGAAAATAAATTGCAGTGCAAGGAATTTTACGCTGTTTGCCGCGAAATTGATGGGGAATTGATTTGAAAGCAAATACATAAATAGTTGCAAGTAGAAGCAGTTCTCCTCCGCCCTTTTCGTTTCGACAATGGCATAAATCTTTGGGGAATCGCCTGAGACTGAGAAATTGGTCGGGAATGCGGAAAATGCGGGCGGAAAATGCGATTGTTGTGTTCCGTCGCCTGTTGTGCTGCTGACTTCTGAGTTGACAGCGCGATATTGAGAAATTGCTGTCCTGCCGAGGATATATTTGTGGGAATTTGTTTTTCTAGTCGATTACATTAGTCAGTAAGTCAGGTATGGGAGTTGGGAAAGAGTTATGGAGCTGTCGATTTGATACGATTAAATATCAAATACCAAACTGTCTAATGTACCGCGTTTACTTAAGAATTTAATCTTTAATTATTTTTATAGCAGGCCAGTCCCATCAACCTCGATATGTTAACGTTTTTTGAAGTCTTAAAATTCCAAAAGAAAAATATCAGCGCTGGTTTATATTTTTTGTATTATTGACTTTCTCTTAAAACAACCTTTCTCGACATTGCAAATAAATTCCAGGGCAAGATATAAGGACTATTCCTTTTCGTTGTCAATATAAGTGGAATCCTAAAATACTTGTAACCGCTTTTTAACGACGACATGTTTTGCCTGCCCTTAGAAAATGCAAACACAAAATGCATAGCTGCAGTGATGTGAAGTTAATCCCCATTCGAGATGGGCTTCCTAATTTAATTCGCCCTTCATCTGCTATTCAATTCCGTGCTGCATTCAGTACAGTGCGATTCATAATAGTTCAAATCCTATTTGCTATTTGCACAAAACGATATGATCGATGATGCATTCGTAAGCGATGCCAATTGATGGGTTATTTGTATGCATGCCATTCAGCGGGGGCTCAGTCGGCCTTATGGCGACGAAACGCAGCTTTATCCCTTTTGACATGGCTGTGTGTGTGTGTGCCGACTGCTGTGTGTGCCATTCATTTTGCATTGCTGCCACTTGGCAAAATTGACTTAACTCTCGAGCAGCAACAATTTCCTGAGCCAACACAGAGTCGGCAGTCTGCAGCGAAATGCGAAATGCGAAATGCAACCGCAATCGCAAAGCCCGTGCTCCTTGGATTGCATCCTGGAATTCTCTCCAGGTGCTCGGTGTACCGAAAACCGCAACGAATACTTTTGCACGCTCGCCAGCCCACATTGAATGTGAAATGTATTTTGGTTTTGCGTTTTTGCGGCCTGTACATTACATATCCATATATATATAGGTATTCCTCACTTAATGCCAACATATTTACTTACCGACTCAATGGCCTTCTCCAGCCGGAAGATCTCCTCCTGGAGCAGGTGAAGCGTTCCAGTTTTTCCACGATGCCTGGCAAAGGCGGCGGCACAGGCGCTGTGAATGCTATTCACCCAGTTCTCCAACTCCACCTGAGGAAAAGCGGAAAAGAGGAGGTTAAAAATATGGAAAAAGAGGAAACATTGTAACAAATTGCAGACCAAATGCACCGCAAGCAATTTGACGTGGCTCCCCAGCGCCAAACGTCGAACTTGTCCCCCAAAGCGAAAGGCATCCAACATCCCACATTCATCCCACATTGCAGCCATCCTGCACCCAAAACCCATTTCATCCCCGCTCATCGCTGGCTATCAGTTATGCAAATTTAATGACAAATCACGTTGGGCCACGGAGAGAGTTGGCAACCCAACAGGACGAACAGGACGAGCAGGACGAAGGGGACGAGAACGTATGCCTTTGAGACATGTAACAGTTTAGGGCTGCCACAAGGATGCTGCTGCCACTGCAGCTGTTCAAGGCAATCTGCCAGTTGGCAGTCAGTCAACGCCACCTCAATCATGGCTCACACTTTAAGCCGCCCCCGGCCCTCCACCTCTCTCTTTCCACCAGTATATATCTCACTCTTTCTCGCTGTGAGAGACTTTTGCGGGTTGCGTCAGTCAGCGCCTTGCCAGCGTCCTCGTCCATGTCCATGTCCTCGTCCTCGTCCTGTATCTGCATCTGCATCTATGCACACTCACAGAAATATGATTTCGTTTTTTTTTTAATTTACCCTAGTTATGGCTTTGGTAGGAAACTATAGCGTTTCGCATCAAAATCATTGAGTCTAAATAGCCATAATCTTACAAATTTTAATTCAATTTTTTTAGTTATTTTAAAATAGTTCAATATTTTTTATCTCAACGAATATATATTTTTAAAAATTCATATCTCAAAGAAATTAATTTTAAACTTCCTATTTTCTGTTATTTTTCTATTAAAAATAATTTTAAAATTTCTATATTTATTTATATTGTTCTTTAAATCCCCTCAATATTTCAATCAAAGAATTTAATTTTATGAGGCATAAAATCTGTTTGCAATTATATTTAAATGGCTAACACTCATTAAGAAATTTAATTGCTTTATTATACGACAAAAAAATCCAATTGAATGTATTTTTAAAATTTACATTTGAAAGTTTTTTTTTAAATATTTTTTAGAGTGCATCTGCGTTTGTGGTTTCTTTATGGCATGCATTTCAGCCAGCCTGGCGATTATGAGAGAGCAGGGCGACTCGGACCCGCGAGCGCTGAACTCGCCTTCGCCCGCCTGCTCGCATATCCTTGCATATCCTTGTGCAAACAAATTTGCGCTGCCATCTTTCTATGCTCCGACTTCGGACGCGGCAAGGCCAGTCTTTCAAAGTCTTTCCTTGAAGGACTTCCCTTGGATATTGACTGCTCGAAATGAGAGCGAGCATATCCTGGGGCCATTTCTTTTTCCCTTTCCCTTTTTTCTTATCCAACCAACCCCATAAACCAACCCAAGACTGTAGTAAAGATACTCACCTGACAGGGCGCCTGGAAGAGATAGGCATCGCCGAACGCCGTGCTCAGACAGAAGATGTAGTCGCGTTTGGGATGCTCGGGTATCGGTTGCATAATTGCACCGTCCACGATAATCAAGTGCTTGGGCGCCGCCTCCACACTCCGGCCCTCCCGGGAATCGCACGGATAGAAGAGCAGCGTGGTGCCCTTCAGGCACACCCAGTAGCCCTTCCAGCCCCGCTTTCTTGCCAGCTCGATCTGGTGCTTCTTGCGTAGTAACCATTTCTTTACCGATAGGAAGCTGCAAGCAAACATTTCGGTTAGTGGGGGGTAAAACACTTGAGGAGCGGGGGTGTGTGTGTGGTTTGGGGCAGGGTACTTTCGTGGCACTCGTAATCCCTGGGAGAACTTCAACAGCTTCGCCATCAACCCATTAACCTTCGAAGCTAATCAAGATACTGCGAAGGGATGGGTCATGTCCTGCGTACATAAGTCTTCAAGCGGTTTATCATAACAGCGTGGTGATGGTAATAATAAGGGTCGATGTTTTGAATACCCTGGCATACTAATTTCTCTATATTTTTAAGATTTTTAGTGGGTGCATACCACTAAATGTAATATTCCGAAAATATATGGTTGACTGACATTTTTTAGGCCTAAAAATATTTAAAAATTTTAAAAATATATATTTCCTAAATTTAATATTTATAATATGAATTAATTTTTTATTTTTTTATAATAAATGAAAATGATATTTATGATATTTTATTCTATGATATTTAGCCCTTTGAAATTTTATCTTATTCAATTCATAACTCTATTTTGTATCATACGAATTAGGATCCCCATTAACAAACCCAAAAGACCATCATACGGACAGTCACGTTCGAAAAGACATTTTTATATTGACCTGGCTGCTAATACGAATCAAGATTAAATAAAAGTTATGGGCTTACCATAATCCCATAGCTGCAGTGCTTACCACACACGGGTTGCTCCTAACTTTGATACCCTCTATACGGACATAATAACGTTAATCCCCCGGCTACGGCTTTCTCCACCTCTGACCAACCCTTAATCACTGTGAAATTATGTTCCCCGAGGAGCCTCCCCGACTGGTGTTATTTATGATGACTTGTTGGACGTGAGAGAGCAGGTTTGGTCACCCACTCCATGTCCTTCTCTCTACATGGCTGCCAGATTACATCTACCGGAGGCATAAATTCCCAGATTCCCTGGAGGAGGAGGAGGAGGAAAGAGGACTCTGAGACTCCGATTCCAACTCAATTTGAACTTACCCGGCTTTGCGAACAGCTCCCGTGCAATTGAACGAGGATGCAGCGGTGCCAGTGGCCTTTGCTTTGTATGGTGACGCCATGACACTTTCCCCATCATCTTCATCCGAAACGGCGGTAGTTAGGCTCATTCGATCATCGTCCGAAATCTGCAAGAAGTAATCAACGAGGGGTTGAGAATCAAGCAACAAGAATGTGTATAGTCAATTTAATTAAGGTGGCGGCGCCTGGGCAACACGTACGAGGTTTCGGTTGCCGGCGATAAAATTCAATAAATCGAAGAGAAAATAATTGAAATAATTAAGTCATAATTAGCTGGCAGTAGCGAGGGATGGTAAGCCCCTCGGACGAGGCGAAGCCATTTGAGACCAATAATGGCCAGGTTGCTGCTGGTGGCTGCTGTGTTGTGCCGACAGCAACATTTGTTACGTATGTCGTCGATAAAGCAATTTGTCTTCTCTTCTCGCCTGCATTTTTAGCAAAGGATGGAGGAGGAGGCTCTGGGGTAGTTGGATGGGGGTGGGGGGGAAAGGAAAAAGGACCGACAGATAGAGATAGGGCAGGCCCAGACAACAATTGACAAAATGGCTGGGCGAATCACAGGGAGAGAAGGGAAATAAATGGCGAAAGGCAAACTGTTACTTGGCAATGTTATTTCATCAAAAGCCGGGTCGTCCGACTGACTCACTAACTGACTGACTGACTGACTGACTGAATGTTTGCCGTTGGCCCGCCTGGCCATCTACCAACTACCATCTCCCAGCTTCCTTCCGCTCGCCTTGCAGGCATTTTTGCCCTCTCCGCAGGAAGAGGAGCAGCACGAGGAGCTGGAGACTTTCGGTCCATGTGGGAATTCAAGCCAAGACCAAAGTCGATGGCTCTGCTCGGGCTACGTGTCCCGCGTGGCAATAAAAATTGGTTTGCCCATTCATTCGTTTCAATCGAGAAGGTGGACCACGCCCATCGCCCAACTGTCGCTCACTTGCTTTTCATGCCATTTTTATTTGAGTTCCCAAGGAAATCAATTTACAATGTGTTTATTCGTTTCGTCTCTCCTTCCTGCGATGGGTGAGTTCCAGGGTCCAGGACCTCCTCTTCAGTCCCTGGTTACTACGATACTCCAGCCTGTCAGTCAGACTCAGACTCACCCCACATCCACATTGCCAACGTTTTGGCAATTTTCAAACATTTTTGCTCATATGCATGTTTTACAAGTTATTTATTTGACTGCCTCCTCTTCTTTTTGTGCAGGGGTGGGGAAATAAAACGGGGAGGAGGTTTGATGTTTGCTCACGGGGGAAGTACCACCCGTGGCGCAGAGCCCTCGTCTTTTGGCAGCCGGGGTCATGTGTACTTAACCCACAACAGCGTCGAGTTTCGAGTTCGGAGCGACCAAGTTTAATCAAATTTTATATTAATCGAAGAGCAGTGCAAAGGCATGCAAATAACCAAAGGAACTCAACCTGAGACGTGGCTTGCTTAGCGACTGAGCGACTGAGCGACTGAGCGACCGAGGGGTTGTCGATTCGATGATGGCCAGGAAGCGGAGGACTCAGATCAAAGCGGTTACAAGCTGAGAGGACCTCAGTTTGGTTCGGGGATGGGACCTCAGTGCCCCCAATCGATATCTGTGCGTGTCACTTTAAGTGGCTCGAAAGAGTCGGTCGAAAATTTAAAAGGAAACTTCGAAAGCACTCCCGCACACCTTGCAGCACTCCGCCAAAACGAAATAGTTTCCGCTTGCTCAATGAAGTTTTCCATGAAATCATCAAGCCGAGCGGAAGCTGTCGAGTGGAACTGTTGCAGGAAGGGGGAGGGCAATTGAAAAGTGGGCGAAGCATTTAACATTTGAATTTAAGAACTGACCCAGTGTAAAATCTACCAGAACCAAGGCAACTTTCTACTAATCAAATTTTGTGATTTAAAGGGGTGCCTTTGAATAATAAAGACTCAACTGACCCTGCGAAAAATCTCTTAAAATCAAGGCACCTTTTCCCCTAATCAAATTTTGTGATTTACAGGGATCCGCATTTTACAACTACCCTTTTACGGCAGATTACTACGCATTTGGCATTCCTGCTGGTCATCCCAGGAGAGTTTGGCCCGAGTCCAAGGAGTTTGTCAAATGATTCATGAATTTTTAATTGGCCCAAAAGTGGCAGCAGGCGTAGTACATCTACCTGCCGACCTGTTTCTTGAATTTCATCAGGCGAACCAAGTCCCTGAAACTGACAATGGGATTTCCACCTCTGGACAGTCCGACCCTCCGTCCATCCATCCATCCATCCAACTATCCTCTTCTCCTTCCGAAACTCACACCGAATGGCTGGAAAACGTTCACATGGGTAAGCCTAAATGGGCAACCCAAAACACGAACACGAATGCGAACACGGCCAAACAACAATCACACAAAAGATTAAATGCCAGCCAGTCGGGGCTTTCCCTGGGTTTCTGGTTTCTGGTTCTCCTGGCTCTATGCCGGTCCCTCCATCACTTTACCCACCTGATTACTTTGGGGGCCTAATACGCCATATCTCAGCATCGGTGCAAAATCAAAATTCAATTTACGCACAGACGAACCCGCCCACTTAGGCGCACTGATGGGTTCCATATATATATCCCATATATAGTCTACCCCCCCCCCCCATCTAAACTGAGCTGAGCCAGGTGCTTTCGTTACGATTTCTAATCAAGAATTGATTGTGATCCCTCGATGCGGCTGTCGTTCACGTTTCAGCCATAATTATCAATGACTTTTGAATGTCAAATGTGGACGAGATGAGCTCGGGGATGCCATGTCATTGGCACTGCCATTGTCACCTCTCCCTGTCTCCGCTCCCCATTCCCATTTTCAACATCTTCGACGTGGTGATGGCGAAAATCTTTTCATATGTCGCTGTCAAAAATTACAATATTTGATAGAGTGTTTATGCAGGGTGTTCGACCTCGCAGGAACCTATAAAGCCATACCAATATATATACATTTATTGACGAGGGATGCGGTGGGTTGGGTGGCAAGGTGGCAAGGTTAACCTGGTTTTCTGGGGGAAAAGTTATTCGGTGGCTGTGGCACGTTTCTGGCATTGCTGCGATTAAGTGAGGCATTAAAGAAGTTTTCGTTGCCGGCGCAAATGTTGTTAGCCAAACGGAATTGATTCAAAGGCGAAATCTGCAAGGGTGAGATAGATGAGGTTGGTTGGGCCAAAATCGAAAGATACAGAGGAGATCCATCAGCTTCGATTCGTTTCTTTTTTTTTCTCACAGTCTCACAGTCAAATTGCTGCATTGCAATGCGAAAATCAATTTGGAATTATCCCTCAGCTCATTTCATTTGGAGGTAGAGCAGGTTTCCACGGTGGTTGGTGGTTGGGTGGGTGGTAAACCTGCAATGTCATTCCGATTTGATTAAATATTCCAGCCAGCGCTGAGCTGAGCGCCCCACCTAATTGGCTGAAGGTGAAACTGTTTAGCATTGAATCAATCAAAATTAACAAGCGACTCGAGCAACCATTTGGGAACGCTGTGTAGTGCAGTGTAATCACACTGGGACACCAGGTGGGGCATTTAGGTATTCAGATCATGTGGACGGGTAACAAGCGTTAATTAGACCAAAGGAGGATGGCAAAACTGGCAGGTATGGCCACCTTTAATCCGTTGAATCCAATTCATGTTCTCTTTTAGCGCTGATCTGGCCATTAATTAATATGCATGCCCATTCAGTTGATAGGGCAACTGAAGCCCCCTCTAATCCGCAATCTCCAGCACCATTCAAGCTCACTCATTTGAATAAGTTTATTCTCTGTATTCTATGTATCTTTGTGTCGGTTCGAGCACTGCATGTAAAACCCTTGACCAATATATCTATTTGCCTGTTAAGTTAACCAAACGAAGCCAACAGAGGGATGCAAAGTAAACACACAGAGGACATGGTGCGTGTTTCCAATGAATTCTGAAGTTGTTACTCACATTTAGAAGCTATATATCAGTGCATGGCATTCTTTATCTACCTATTTTCAGATGCTCCATGCACTGGTTGCCATTTTCCCATTCCCATTTTCCGATTTTCCCGGCCACGCCCACTCTCTCACTCTCTTTCGCTTCAGCTTTTTCGGACAAATGGCCTTTTATCACTTTGAAGCCGTTTGATTCATGCGTATTGCAATCAATGCCATTCATTACCGAAAAACTAAATACAAGTACCAGTTTTTCCCACCCCCAGTTTCCCATTTACACCCTCCTATTTGTCCGTGTGCTAAGAGCTTTTCTCGAATGGTTGGGGGTTCGGTGCTCGGGGTTCCGAGGGGGGCTAATGCTCTAATTTATTGCTCCTTTGTGGAGCCAGAAAAGGAGCCCAGGAGCAGGTCGAGCGTGAAAAGGATGCTTTGGCTTTGATCAACGTTTTGTTAGGCAGCCCAAAATGAATTTGTACCAGACAGACAATACACTTAACTGAAGGAATTCGCGGTGGGGTGAGTGTGAGTACAACTGTGTGAGTTCGAGGGGAAATTGGTCTCTGTTCTCTCTGCCAAGGCGACATTTTCTCACGCGATATTCATTCATTTCCACGGGAGTAAAAGTTCAAAGCATGCCTGACAAATGTATCCAGGAGCACAAGCGATTGGGATAAGGTATTGCCAGGCTAGCAGATTACAAATAAAGCGTCCTAAATGAGCAACGGAATTTTTTACAATTTTATTTGGCCGCACACATTTTGCTATAAATTACATATCTTTGTTAATCTTACGATTTACCTACATAACCTAGGCAAAATTTATTCGGAAACATTCAAATTAAACTGAATTTTACATTTTAAAATAAATAAAAATTGTCTAATTTAATTCTATAATTCTCTATAGAAGAATAGTTTATTAAGGATTTTAAAAAAACCTTGTGACCCTGTTAAAAAAACCTTTTTCTTATTTTAAATTTAGAAACTACTCAAAATAATAAAAGCACAATTATATTTTAAAAGAGATATTTGACTAATTTATTAGAATTAAACGAATAAAATACTTTCCAACTATTCTATTAGACAGTCTCTATAATGTTTCAAGATATTCTAAGAATGATTATTTCAAGACAATATAAAAGTATATAGAGTTTAAAATGAAATCGCTGAGAAAATTGGACAGAAATAAATCTTTGAAACAGACCAAGGAACATTTTCTTGGACTGCAGTGCAAGCAGTTAAATAATTAAATACCAGTCTCAATTATGTTTAATTCTAGATAAGAACTCTTCTTTCTTATCAATAGTGAAGTAATATGTAATCCCTTAAAAATGTGAATAAAATAAAACCTTTTAACAGACCCCCTTAAGGATCTTCTCTTCCTACCTTGCGAAGGAACATTTCGTTGCACTGCTTGGCGGTGCTGCGCCAATGGCGATGGCGATAACGGGAGTTGCCCAGCTTGAGGGTGCCCTGGAGATCGGCGGCCTCCTCGACGACGCGCCGGATGCACTGGTAGCGCAGGCGGTTGCATCTGTGGATCGGCTGCATGGGCACCACCCCATGCTCCGGTTCCGATTCCGCCCCCGAACGCACCTCGCCCTCGTCGTCGTCCACCCAGGCACTCAGCACGCCCTCAACAAAGTTGTACAGCATTTGGATGTTGGCCTTCATGGGCGCCGACCCGGAGGGCACCTGGGCCTCCGTCTTGATGAGCTTCCTGTTCTGGCACACCTCCCGCAGGAGATTCTCGCCAAAGTGCACGGTTTTGTGGCGCCTTCGCCGCGAATTCAGCGAGGCTGCCGAGGCGGACTTCATCAGCTTGCCATTCGAGTGGTGCACATAGGCGGGCAGTGGTTGCACTAGTGTGGTTGTGGGCTCCAGCCAGCCGAGCACCGGAGCTTCTCCAAATCCTGCTCCTGCTCCTGCTCCTCTTGCTCCTCCTCCTCCTCCTGCAGAACTGGCCGAATCGCCGCGCTGCAAAGTATTTGGCTGGGAATTGCTGCGATAGTGATGATGCGGATGCGGAGGATGCGGCGGCGAGGGCAGTGGCTGCATCTCCAAATCCAGTTCAAGGGGCGCCGGCTCAATGTCATCCAGTGTGGTGGGCGGCTGGGCCAGCTGGGTGCGCAGCCGATTGAAGTCGGCGGCACAGCGAGGCAGTGAGTTGCACTTGGCGGCATTGAGGCATTTGCGATTCCGGCAGCTGAGTAGCGGGGCACACGACCGGCAGTCGTGGCAGATGACCAGCCGGCGTTCGCTAGCCACTCCCGTTCCCAAGATCCCACTACTGGCGGCAGGAGGTGGAGGCGGTGGTGGCGTGGCCGTGGTCGAGGGTGTCGTTGGCACATCCGAACCCATGGCTCCGACCAGATGAGTCGGCACCGCATGCAGTTGCACCTGAGCCAGCTGCTGATGCCTCGCCAGATTCACCGAGCTCACGGACGACGTGATGCACTGCCTCGCCTGGCACTCCTGGTAGCGGCAGTGCGGATCCGTGCAGATGGGCAGCAGTGGACAATCGGGATCGGTGCAGGGTCCTGGCGATGGCGAGCGTGGCGCCCGTTCGGCGCTCGAGGACTTGCGCTTGTGGCCACCGGATCCTCGCTGGGCGGACATGTCGGAGACGGTGGCCGATCTCTGGGTCTGGTGGCGCCGGGAGCGCTCCTTCCTGCTGCCACCACCACCACCGCTACTAGACTCCTTGGCCTTCGGCACATATTGATAGCGTTCCTTGTGCGGCTTGGCATACAGTCGTTCCAGGTGGGCGGTGTTCGAGGTGGCTGTACTAGCTGTCCCCACCACCTCGCTGGCCGAATGACGCAGTCTCCGCTCCCGCGAACGCTCCTCCCGCCGCTGGCACAAAGGAGTGTGCGACAGGGCACTGGGCACCGCATAGCCACTGGGAATGGTGACCCGTTCCAGCGGCTGGGTCACCTGCTTGCCCTGCGACTGCAGCTTGTGCAGCGGATAGGCTATCCAATCGGCAGTGAGCTGTGGCTGCTGCTGCTGCTGCGGCTCCTCCTCGCTGGCCGCTCCACTGTGGCCGAGGGAGTGCCTCTTGCGATGGCTGGTCTTTGACTGATTCTGGGCATCCTCCTGGGAATTGGAACGGGGCTGGGCATCGCCACCGCTGCCATTGCGGCGATGATGGGATCGTCGGGACTTGGCGGCTCCTCCACTGCTGCTGCTGCCCTGCATCTTGGTGAGCCACTCCACAATGTCGGTTTTTAGGAGGGAAAACTCACAGGGGCCGGAACTCTGACGGGAGAGGGGTTTCTTCAGCAGCTCCGACAGAGCCTTGGCATAGGCGGAGCCCACTGCCTTGTCGGTGGCATCCGAGGGCAGGCGTTCCCTTTCCTTTTTACGCGGCAGATGATCCAACAGCCAGTCGGGCAGCTCGTCCTTGAGCACCGTTATCTCCGAGGGACCCGAGGAGGTGCGCACCGGCGGCTGTTGGCTAGCGGGACTGGCGGCGCTCTTCTGCAGCTTCAGCCACTCCATGGTCTCCTCACGAACCTGCGATCCACCCTCTGCCGACCTGGCGGAGTGACGCTGCTGGGCCCGGCGATCAAACCATTCCAGTTGCTCCGGCGGCTGACGAAGCGCACTCTTTGACATGGTGGCCACCTCCTCGGCGCTCTTCTGCCTCCTCGGCGGAAGCTGAGGTCTCTGCTCGATGCGCACATGGGCATGACCACTACCAGTGGGTTCTGTGAGCCTCACCGAACCCTTCCGTCGGATGCACTTTTGCTCCATGGTCTCCTCATCGCGTGCCCTCACCCGCCGCGTGATCTCGAAGATGTCGCCGTTGATCTGGTGATAGAACTTCTCCACCTCAACGCCCCGATCGAATTCCTCCTTCGCCGTGGGCTTCGAGTGGGAACGCGAGGGTGGGCGTGGCGGGGGCGGCAGTTGGTTGCGCGACTCCTCATCTAGTTTCTTTTTCTTGTCATCACTCTCGTCGGAGGAGGCATTGAGCAGGGCACCCGAACCCGCGGCACCACCATCCACCACCCAGCTTATCGAGCGTTCGCCACTGGTGGGGGGTCCTTCTCCCTTCTGGAGCAACCTATCCAGGCTGCCGTGATGCGACTTGATGGCGGTGGCTCCCAGGCTTCCTCCTTGCGTCTCGGCCAGCGATTGGAGGCGACATTGGGCATTGCAGATGCAGACACCTGGTCGCTTTTTGCTGCCGAAGCGAAAGAGCTGGCTGGCCAACTGGGAGACATTCTCGCCGAGGCCCAAGCCCAAACCACCACCACCACCACCACCACTGGAAGCTCCTCCTCCTCCAGCGGCGGCTCCACCCGCATCCCTTCCCGAGGCCGTTGTTGCCGATGTCAGGCGATGTCCTCCCGGATGGGCCACCGGTGTGATGTCGACGATCACGCAACAGCAGTGCAGCGAGAAGGATTTCTTGGGATCGCCGTCGCTGCTGCAGTCCGCCCCGCCAGCACTTCCGTTTCCGCTTGCAGATCCTCCCGGAGCCCCGCCACCTCCGCCGCCTCCTCCTCCGCCGCCTCCTCCTCCTCCTCCTCCTCCGGCAGGATGATCTCCTGCTGGATGATCGGCACCACTAAGGGAGGGCGGTGCACCACCGATCGCACCACTATTGCCGCTGTGATCGCCGCGCTCGCTGTTGTTGGCTTGTTGGGCGGCCAGAATGAATCCGAATCACAGCGGCAGCAACGGGGGCGATGTCCTTTTCGACGTCCTTCGTGCACTTGACGATGAGATCCCCTCCTCAGTGGCCCATGCATCCGGCGTTAGTCCGCCATTTTACGGGTATAATCTCTGCACTTTGCACTTGGCACTCTACACTTTGGCCTCAACTATTTAGTGTGGTGATTATTATTATTCATTTGATTAATTAAACTAAAAGCTCATTTTGCGGCGCAGTCATTTATTACAGGGGTTGTTTTTCGGTTTTCGCTTTTCGTTTTTCGCTTTCGGTTGCTTTGGTAATTTATCTCACACGCGTCGCACACATTTATCTATAATTAATTATTTTTACTTGTTGCCAGCAAAAGCGAGTGGCAAAAAAGAAATCACTTGGTGTGCTAGTCAGTGTGTGTTGTGTGTGTGTACATATTTATTCGAGGATTTATTTAATTATATTTGCTTTGCTCTATAAATCACAAAGCAGTTGGCCTGGCTTTCCCCCAACTTTTTACTGTTTGTTCTGGTTTTTGCGAATGTTTTCCATTATTTTCCAGTGCCCGAATTTAAATTGTATTTTAGCTTAAAGTGTTGCGGTTTCAATTTATTGACTACAATAGAGGCAAATCTTTTATTTTCCCAACTAAAGGGCGTGTTGAATTTTAATGAAATAAAATCAAGTCAATTTGAAAATTAAATAGATTTTAATCTGGTTATTAATTTAGCTAAGCTCTGTTGCTCAAAAGTTTAAATGGAAAAATATTTCCACAAATACTAATTGGTGTGTGGGGGGCCAAAAAGGATTTACTAAATGTTTAAGTCTTCTTTATACTTTTTAATTCATTTGCTTTTCATTCGAGAGATGCCAGATATTTCGCAAGATTAGCAAGCCATTTTTAGAATTCCCCATACAAAAATAATCCCTGACAAATACCCAACATCATGTGAATGTCTAGGCGTGGGCGCTTTAATTAGCATATATAAGGGCTAGGAAAAACAATGTTGCATGCTACATGAGTACATGCGAGAACCCCTTTTTCCTCTAGGCCAAATTCTCTGTGAGCTTTCTTCGGTGTTATTTTAAAGTTGCTCTGCGAAAAGTTTTTGCAACTCGTGCGCAAATATTTTGTTTGTTATATTGCTAGCATAAATTTGTTGGCTATCTGCACAGACACTCTGAAAGTGCGGGGGCATATATTTATAAGCGCATACATAAATACTTTTCGGGCTGGCAGCAAATGCATAAATTTCATGTCTACATCTACACGGAGATATGACTCGGGAACTGCTGTTCTACAGCTCTACGGTCTACGGTCATGTTTGTGTTTATGCAAAGGAGTTTGCCAAAGTTTTTTTTTTGCGTTTCTTTTCCTTTCGTTTCGTTTCGGCTGCTGCCAAAAAGTTTGCTTGTTAAGTGAAAGGATTATATGATCCAGTGGCGGGAGGTGCAGAGGGGGTGCAAAAAACTTAAAAATACACAGCCGAATAAAACAACAAAACTTTTCCTATTTTTATGTTGTTGTGAGCTAGCTGCTCGCTGCTGCACCTACGAAGAAATCCCATACACAACAACTTGCCACAAAACTTGAGTTGTGTTGATAGTTTTTATAGCCTACTTTTCTGGGCCGCATGAACAATGTGAAATTGAGGGGTGATGGGGTGGGGGTTTTGCTCTCAGCTTTCAGCTTGCGAATTAGTGTCTTAGGCAGGCAGGGGCAAAAGTTTTTGGCCAGCTTGTCCCGTTTAGATTAGAGCCGTCGATAAGTTTCAAGTTTGCCACATTTGCCACACTCAGAAAAAAAATCGCCCTGAATCTTAGAAAATCGCCATACTTTTTAAGCCAAAGGCAGCTCGCCTTGCCTTTTAGAAAAAATATTTCTAAAAATTAGAAAAAAAATTTCTTAAATTTAGGGTTAGTTTTTGCAAAATTGAATAAGAAGAAGAAAAAAAAAATCGGGGAATCGGGAGTTATGCCGACTGGGTGGAGTCTGTCGGTGTGGGGTGTTGTTGTTGGGGTTCCCGTTTTTCAACTTATTTTTCTCTCCTCTATTTAAACACATGGATGACGTCACGATGCTTGTACACAAACACACTTTTAATCTTTAATTGTAACTGAAATAATAACTGAAATTAATATATTATTTATTAATGATAAACATAAAAATCAAATAACTTACTATCTTGAGGAAAACATTTTGGTCGCTCGCGGGATTCGAACCCCTTACCTCACAGTTTGCAGTCAAACACTCTACTAGCTGCGCCAGGGAAGCATCACGAGAGGCGCTGTACAAAGTACATTCTCATTCTGTTCTCTTGGGTTCTAGGTTTATACTCTTATTTATCCATTATGTGTGTGTTAGCTTACCTAAATCCTTATTTGTATTAAAGTATACATTTTAATGCGAAAAAAAAAAGACGCAAAAAATGTCCGCCTCGACGTGGGATCGAACACACGCTTCCGAATATAAGCGTAGAAAACAAATAATCCGCTCGCATTAGACCCCTAGGCTACCGATTGGGCCAATTTTCTAAAATGTAAGGCGATTTTTTCTTAGTTTGAAAGAAAAATTTCTGAATAACAGAAAATTTTTCTAAAAGTGGATAACAAGAGGAGTTGATCTAATCAGGGTAAGTTTTTCTTATTATTTAGAAAAATATTTCTGAAAAATAGAAATATTTTCTGAATTTCAAGGCGATTTTTAAAGTATGGCGATTTTCTAAAATTTAGGGCGATTTTTTTTCTGAGTGCATGTGTTTAGTTGCCAACTGTGTGTGCGTGCTGGAGATTGCCGAGCGAGAGGCTCAACTAGTTGGCAACTTGGGAAATGAGAAAAGAGAAAGTAAGGAAGGCCAAGGCTTTCCCCCCTGGTGGCCTAAGCCACCACTTGAAAAGGTGCTTGGGCGCATTTGTTTAGCGATTTTCGCTTGATTCGGGCCAATAAAGTTAATTTCTTTCTACCCCAAAAAAAGGAAAAGTTTTTGGTCCACCCTGCCTCCCACTAGCGTGTTAAATGACATTTTTATATCGTTTCGATTGTTGTTTTCTCGGGGCTGAAAAACTTTTACTAAATTGACAAGGACCAAAAGCGAAGGTTGAAATTTCCCTAGCACGCGAGTGGGAATCTCTGTGGGCCTGAATAAGTAAAGATGGGATAAGTGAGATAGTAGTTTGGCCATCCAAACAGGTAGTAAAGCTGCTTTGCTCAGTTTAAACTCTGTTTTGGGCTCTTTAAAAAGTTTCTGAGCTTACAAAGAATTGAGAAAACTCGAGGCTCATACGGTTTATGGCAGGATGTGGCTCAGATAAATTAGATTTCCCCTTAATGCATGGCCAGCCACAGGCTTTTCGGCCCTATCTCTCACTTAGTGTGTGCGAGTTATTTACTTTTAGTTGAAATTATTTTTAATAGATTTATCCACATCAACTGGGGCTTTAATGCGTTTAACACACACACACAGGACGAAGGACCTGTATCCATAAATATAAATACGTTTAATGGTTGGTAAGGACAAACAACAACAAAATGTGCCACACCAAATGCTGCAGCCTGCTCTCTCTGTCCCTCTCTCACTTTTTAAGCTATCTATCTCTCTCCTTTTATCTGAGACTGTGTGTGTGTGCTGGTGTGTTTGTGTGAACTTCGACAGGCATGACGTTGATAATATCCTTGCACATGTATGACGTTGCTGCTGCTGCTTCTTCCTTGGCTCGGTTATCCTTGCAACAGAAGGCGCAGCAGCCTTTTCAATATGCCACCAACACTGTTATTATTGTTGTTTCTCTTCTTTCTGTTCGCATCTTGTTGATATTTTATTAGCCCGACTTTTGTGGGCCAAAACAGCACGCAAAAAACAAAAACACACACACCGTCGCACACATTTTGTGGAAAAGTTTTTCCCTTATTTTCTCTTTTTTTCGCCTTATAGCATTTGTGTTATTCTTTTTCCGTTCGATGGCGATTTAAATTTTCGCCCGCGTGCTAAAAATATCTGGGCAATGTACAAATACATATATACATTTGTATATATATAGGGACAAAGGCGAGAGAGAAGCAAAACAAGTCCGCCATATAACATGGAATCTCGACACGACTCGAATCTCTGGCGCGTTTCAAGTTTTTCCACTTTTTTTTCATTTTTTTTTAGCGAGTTTTTCCTTTTTCACGTTGTTTTTGTTGTGCCCCCAAATGCCTGCGTGTGTGTGTGTGTGTGTTTGGGTGCTGCCGCTGTGTTGGTAAATATGTGTTAAGTGCGTTGGTATTTGCCTGTACCCTTGTAGCCCCTATAACGTTTGCCGCCCCCCTAAGCGCCCCACGCGAATCCTTCACAGCTGCTCTGGCATTTTTCAACACTTTTTCTGTTATTGTTGTTGGGCGGGATTTTCATTTGGTGCGCCAGGTTTTGCAACTTGTTAATTTGACTTTAATGCCTGGCCTGACAATCGAAAATTTTCGTTTGATTTTCCCCTAGCACACACCCATACAGACGCCGTGCTTTCTACTTGCTTTCTCTTTTTGCTGTTTGCTTTTTTTTGTTTTTATTATTTGCTTTTGCGTTTAACTTGTGTGCTAAATTATATGGTCTATGG